ATATCGAGTGTTGATGTATGCTCTAGTCCGAGTGCCTTCTTATATCCTACTAGCGCCTGCTGGTACATCTCCTCTGCCTCGCCTAGCTTGCCCTGATCCACGTAGAGAAGGCCTAAGTTATTAACTATATCGAGTGTTGATGTATGCTCTGGTCCGAGTGCCTTCTCATATCCTGCTAGCACCTGCTGGTACATCTTCTCTGCCTCACCTAGCTTGCCCTGATCCGCGTAGAGGTTACCTAAATTGTTGACTGTGTTGAGTGTTGATGAATGCTCTAGTCCGAGTGCCTTCTCTTTTCCTTTTAGTGCCTGCTGGTACATCTCCTCTGCCTCGCTCAGCTTGCCCTGATCCGCGTAAAGGTTGCCTAAGTTGTTGATGGTGCTAAGTGTTGATGTATGCTCTGGTCCGAGTGCCTTCTTATATCCTGCTAGCGCCCACTGGTACATCTCCTCTGCCTCGCCCAGCTTGCCCTGATCCGCGTAGAGAAGGCCTAAGTTATTGACCGTGTTGAGTGTTGATGTATGCTCTACACTAAGTGCCTTCTTATATCCTACTAGCGCCCGCTGGTACATCTCCTCTGCCTCACCCAGCTTGCCCTGATCCGCGTAGAGGTTGCCTAAGTTGTTGACTGTGTTGAGTGTTGATGCATGCTCTAGTCCGAGTGTCTTTTCTTTTCCTTTTAGTGCCCGCTGGTACATCTCCTCTGCCTCGCCTAGCTTGCCCTGATCCGCGTAGAGAAGGCCTAAGTTATTGACTGTGTCGAGTGTTGATGTATGCTCTACACTAAGTGCCTTCTCATATCCTGCTAGCGCCCGCTGGTACATCTTCTCTGCCTCGTTCAACTTATCTTGATGAGCGAACAACAGACCTAGGCTATAGAAGATCCACGGCGGTAGCGCCAAGTCACTGGCTCCATGTGACTGTTCCAAGCGTTCGTCATCCACAGCTCGGTACACTCGGTTGCCGTGCGGCAATATACGTCTGCGCAGCTTCCAGTACTCAGGCTCGGATTCTTCTGGTACCGTCCGCGCCACAAGGCCCGCAGCAAGCCATGACAGCATCTTTCTTTCACTGCCTTGTGAGAGTTGACAGCACCATTTATGAAGCACAGAGTGCATTGCGTGGCTTGATGTTTCCTCTCTTGCATTAACAAGCGAGTAGTGCGACAGAAGCTGCAAAGCGCCTAAGAACTTGAGATCGCTCCCAGCAAGTTGTAGCAGCCACCCTGGCGTCTCCATCTCTTCATCCAGACGCGAGGCACAAGCAACCAACTCGTACCACAGGTCTCCGCAGTCAAGAAAGCCCCATAGCTTGAGCAGATTTGCAGCCTCTTCGCTTTGACTCTGCACTTGCTCATATGAGATTGTCCATGTCGTCAAGACGCTGCGATCGGCATACTCCTGCAGTGGAAACCTGTCTTGCTCCTTCATCAAATCTTCCCAGGTGCTGTCGTAGTGCTTTGCGTAGTCCGATGCAGACATGATGTTGTGTCGCAGATACGAGCCGGCCTGAGTGAGTGCAAGAGGAAGTCCGTTGAGCCGCTTGATGATCAAGTCCACATCTTAGAAGCATACGCCGCAACGGTCAGCTGTGTTTTCCGAACAATAGTTTATCATCTGACTCACCTTTGATCGACTTGCGAGCATTGTTCTCTAGTATAACCTTTGCCTGCTCATCATCGACTTTGTCGACCTTTAAGCCATCTCCATGGCGTTCAAGGCCTGCTAAGCGACTCGTAATCAGGATCGATCCGTGATCTGCTGGAGGAAAGGACTCCTTCACGTCGTATGTCTGCGGGTCTTTCTCCTTGTTAAGGTGATCGCGATCGACGTTGTCGATGATCAAGAGCCAGTGCTGGTTAGAAGGTAAAGATAGCCATCGGAGAACACCTCCTACCACTACGTCGAAATCGATGTTCGAGTGTTTCAAGGCTTCTGCAGCGTCTGCCGTTACTTGATCCCGCGGTAGCCTGTACGCGATGTCCACGAACGACTGCTTCAGCCGGTCTTTCGAAGATCCATCCAGCCAGAACACTGCGCTGTATCTGCTGTGGTGCTTTCGAGCAAACTCGACAGCTAGTTGTGTCTTGCCTATCCCACCGAGGCCATGTACGACAAACACTTTGCGGCGGGTAGGGCTGGATGTCTTAGGATGGAAGTAGTTCTCGAGTCGCTGCATCTCAGCATCACGTCCGACAAACCGGTTCGCCAAGGGGACACCCTTGAGACTGAACGCAACCCTGTGTTCGCCGCTATCTGTACGCATCATGTGTCAGACAGTAAACTCTTTCTGAGAACTCTCTGGAGTAGAAGAAAAGCAGAAGTAATGCAACAAGGGACTAGCTACATTGAAGTCGGGCCAAAAGCTGCCTCGGAGCTGCCTCAACCATCTCTTCGATAACATTGCGCACAGTCTGATACTCCTCCTCGTTCGGCTTGCCGAACTTGTTCATGTCGAAGTGGGTCCGCTGCAGGCCAATCTTCTGGGCCGCGTCTAGGCATCCGGAGCTCTCGCTCACCGCAAAAGACTACGCTGAAGGTCAGTCGCATACCACCTCTTGCTGTATGCAGGACATACCTTTTCCCGCTCCTGACCCAACACGGCTCTCACATTGCATGGCCTTAGTTCGAAGAAGCAAGCAAGCAGTGTCCTGTTCTGCGATGACGTCCGCACCTTCTCGAAGAGGTGCACCGTCTCCAGCAGTAGCTCGTCGTCCGGATCGAGTATACGCAGAACCTCTCCCTGCACGGCGTCTTTGTACAACTCTTGCGCAGCTCGTATCATCTCCGTCTGACTTAGTCCTGGGGCTCCTCTGAATGGCGTTCCTAGGAAGACGATGCCAGCGACAGCGTGATATATGTTAGGCCACTCGTTGGGAAACCGCTCCGCATCTAGGAGTGCCTAGAGGTGTTCGAGATCACTTAGTTAGCCACCATTTTAGGGCGTGCAAATCCACAACTCGAACATACCTTCAAGACCACCAGCCCGCCAAAACAGTGAGCGACAAACAGCAAAGGTCGCGTCCGAAAGGAAGAGCCCTAACTCTCGTCAGTCTCTTGAGGTCTTGTGCCTATGTCCAGCGAAAAGCGCAGGCGATCTGAACCTTTCTTTGACGTTTCAGGGCCCTGAGAAGACGATCTGCCACAGTGTTGACGTTCTGGCGGATAGCTTCGTCTCCAAACCAACGCGACATGTAGCCATATCGCATTATGCGGGCATTCGGTACCGCCGACGGGAGCATCGCTGGGTCCGAGAGCCAGTTGACATATCGTGGCCGCCCTTCTCCATCCGTGCCGACATTCTTGCACCATGTGTCGTCCGGGTGGGCGCCGATGCCGTGGATGGCGACGATACTGTGCTCGTGTCTTAGTGATAGCTCTCGAACGTGCGGAAGTGCGGCGTTCTACTCGATTGTGTCGGCGGGAGTGCTCGTTGATCTATCGTTTGCGGATGGCTCATACAGCACCTTCAGCCCTGTGTCGTCCTCGGTCACGGCTCGCTAGCATTTTAGTGCCCGATTAGTGCCCGAAAAACCACTACAAGCGCGTAGTGTGCTCACCATGCTGACAACTTAGTCGCGACTTCTGTTCGCAACAACTCAACTGTGGGATGGCAAGTTGTACGTTAACAATGTCGTGACGGCAGACAGTCACCGCATAGGTGTCATATAAGCAAGGCTGAGGCTTAGATGTTCTGGACAATGCGCTTTTGCTTCAGCTGTGCCTCAGCTGTGCCTCAGCTGTGCCAACGCACTCAGCCTTGTGCGGGGGCAGTTCAGCCACCCTTTCAATCCAATGCTGCCTGAAGCGCAGCAGTGCGATAACTGCTTTACAGCAGGAGTGTTTAAAACCCATTTTCCCATTTTACTTTTCCCGGCTCTAAGTGGCTTTTCATCCCCATATCTGCCACTGCCGCCCCGTGAAATGGAAATGAACCGCATATCACCTCCATTCTCAAGGGCCCACCAGCTCTGCAGCGACTTTGACCCTCACGAAGCTAAGGGGTCAGCCAATGAAATCCGACCACCTGCCGCGGCTCTGCCGGGCCAGCCATGCATTCTACTCAGCGACTGCATCCGTACGAAGCAGTTCCTGATCAAAGAGTTCTGGGCCCATGATCTCGAAGTCATGGCGCCGCGTCTTTGGGTGATGTCAACTCAGTCAAGCGCGAATGTCAACCCGCTGCATCGACAAAAGGTCAAGGGGCGGGAGATTGTCGTCACCGAAGATCCTCGCCTACACCTGGTGTGGATCCACGACCGCATCTTCATCAAGCCCCTCCCAAGATATCTCCTGTCACACGCGTTTTGGGAGCAGTTCCTGCTCAGCAAGTCATCCACACTCACCGATCGCCGAGACACAATACGGAAGGCAGCGATGGGATACTTGCGGACATACCGCCATCTGATCCAGCACGAGTCTGACTTCGTCATCGCTCAGCAAGATCACCTTCGCCTCGTCCCTAAGGATGTGAGCTGGACGCAGTTCTGTGAGTTCATATCGGAAGTCGTCAGTATCCATGACACCGATGTGTCGGACAGGTACTGCTATGGCGAGTTAAGACTGTCGCGACTTAACGTCTACGCCCCGCTTCTCCTGCGCAAGTTCTACTATGAACAGGCACATGGGGAGTACAGTGATTACTTTGCGAGGCTATACGGACCTATATTATTTATCTTTGCCGTGGTGTCGACCATTTTAAACTCAATGCAAGTTGAGATAGCAGTCGAGCGGGTGGCGGCCAAGCATTGGGTCTCACTATGGTCCATCTCCCGTTGGTTTAGTACTATAACCCTTGCAGGAACGGCGCTCATATCGCTCTCTTTTATCCTGCTATGGCTATGGATGATCTTAGATGAATGGGTATTCGCTATCAGATCCTTGATCAGGAAGAGAAAAGAAAAGCGTGGTTCGCTATCCTGCTAGAGTTGTAACGGCTATCGGCGAAGGAACGTGCCTTAGGAATCGAACCAAACTAGCGCATTCTAGTAGAGTTCCACTACTAGAGCCTCAGGGCGTCTCTCACTAGTCAGTCTGCCTTTTTTCTCACGGATGATCGTGTAAGTTGATCCAAGGCTTGCATAAGGTGATGAGATTCCTTGAAAAATGCTTGCGGAGGGGTAGCAGCCAGAAGTTAGCTCTTTCACAGAACACTGAGTTAAAACAAGCAGAAGTAGGCAAAGCAGCTGCATCAATGCAGGCGGAAAGAGCGTAGCTTCATGCAGTAGCTAAGGATCGGATGCGAGGAGATAGTTTTATGCAGGAAAGCTGTCCCTTTATCCGCTTATCTTTGTTTGTCGTCCCTCTCGAGATGACAGAAAGTCTCTTTAGGGTCAAGTAGATATGCAAGAACCACTTCGGCTTCTCCAAATGCTCTTTGCCTTTTCCCTTAGCGTGAGGAACGCCGCACACTGCTATGCAACGGATGCGTTTCGTCCCGTCTGCTAGCGCCCACCGGTACATCTTTTCTGCCTCAGCTTGCTCTGATCCGCGTAGAGGTTGCCCAAGCTGTCAATTGCGGTGAGCGTGGATGTATGCTCTGCACTAAGTGCTATCTCTACCGAGGCTTGAACAGCTTGCATCTACCGAGAGATGCGGCAGTTCGATGAGGTACAAGATACCGTGGGACGTGAATTGGCGTGACCATGGGGTCCGATCCTCATATCTACGTTTTCTGTTAAGGAGGCTATGTCAACCATTGACAAGGGGCTGAGCATGTAGCAGATGGCGCACTCGTCGCATTGTTGCATTATCGCACTTTTGAGATCCTATGCTGAAGCAAAAACACTTTCTTTATCACTCGGAGCTTCATGTTACCGGCTGGAGCGATAGCGTCGAGCCAAAAACATGTATGATGGCGCATGTGGAGGCAACAGGAGGGGAGAACGCCCGACTACTGCGCGTCGTGTATGGGATTGAGGTGATCTGACGACTCGGGCGACCTGCGGCAGAGCTCGAGATTTTGTCGACGTGTGGTAGGGGATGAGATGGTGTTTTGTCTAGCTTTCTCCGTTTTACGCCAGCCCTTGACCCTCTGCAACCCTTGTTCCTTTTTTCTGTCTATGTTCTGCTACCGAAGTTAATGAGTGCTGTCTCCCAGCTTTTCTGTCGGCAGTGGTTGTTACTCTCGGTTGCAAGATGTACCCATTCGGCAGTAGACATCACCACCTTTCTACAGGATTGTCTTACTATATATAACTAAAATTCAAGCGCTCAGCGCTCTGCAACATCCAATGTAAGGCTTTTGAAGAAATAAAAGAGAGGAAATAGAGTTAACTACTGAATAGAAGCTTGTCTGGTAATAGTACGATTCCCCACCGGCGCCGTTCCCGAAATACCGGATCCCTCCCAGCGATCTTCAATCTTCGGCTTGCTTTTAGTAAGCCGATAAGGAAACTGGACCATCAACAAAGCCATGCCGCTCGACATTTAGGAAGGAGACTTTTGCACTACTACTGCAGCGGAAATACGGGAATAGAGTGGGACACGTAGATGTCTATACTGTAATTATAGTAGACATACCGCACAGCTTTGAAGTCGCTAGCGTTCTAAAATCCTCATGCCGCTAGGCAGCGGGGAGAAACAACAACAATAACAGCCGTCATTGGTAGAAGTCAAGACCTCGCTGTGATTCTGATTCTCTACTCTAATCCGCAAAAACTGATGAAGCCGGGCGAGTCAAGAGGCTCTTTCTTCAAGGAATCCCCATCCATCTTCTCGAACACGTACTTCCGACTAAGGTCTCTCCGGTAGAGGATGTCGTGAATATGTTGCGAGACTAACCCGCTGACTTGTTGAAGGAAGTCTCCGCGCAGCTCAGCTAAGACCTCCAGGAACACTGTGAATAGAGAGACCGGCAGTTTTTCCACTCTGATCTGGATCAGCTAGGGACGGAGAACAGGTACACCGAGAGACTTACTCGTAGTTTTGGATCCCGTAATCGCCGCCAGTTGGCACTAAAGCAAGGATGCCCGGTGAAAATCTCTGCTGCATCAGATCCCAGTTCCGTCCGCTGCAAAGTCTGTTCTTAAGAATTTTATATCTTCTCTGATACTCAGCATTCGGCGCTGTTCTCTGCTTTGAAGGTTGCTTCAGCCCAGGATAAGCCTCCGCCATGATATCAGCCAAGGCCATTGACGACGCGCGTCCGAAACCTTCTTGCTGCTTCACAGTCTTACTTAGGCTTCGTATTACCCGCTCCGGTCTTTCGATTCTATGTTGATTCTCCCGTTCATTGCGATGTTCAACAAGACGTGTCAAGTGATACCGTCGAAGGATTGCGTTTGTGGAAGCCGCCGTCTCCAAGCTATCGAGGGCTTCTACAGTCTGTGCAACAGTGTTGATGTGTTGAGGGACTGTAACATCCGCCTTTCTCCGGACGCTACTGCAGGCATCCCGTAGTTGAAAGAATGCATCAGGGCTGGCGATTGCAAAGAAGAGACGAGTCAGCAGCCACAGCCCATTTTCGTCTTCGCTATTGCTGCGTTTGACGAACGTTTGGTAGACTTCGGCTGATTGAATGCTGCTTTGGGGGATGTGTTGCAATTCCTCGAAAAACTTGGAACTGTTAGCATCGAACGGTAGGCACTTCTTGGATCGCTTGCTGCTTTCGATCCCCATCCCATGGTCATTCGATTTTCTCTTGTGTCCCTTCCCCTTAGATGTCGGCTTACTCGAGACGCCATCCGCCCCTTGTCTCAGTCTCATTCCTTGCCCAACAACACCTCTCTCTGCCGGCCTCTTAAGTGTTTTCTTGTCTCGTGCACCACTTGCTTTATAGTCGTTGTCATTGTCAGTACTATTGTAGCTATCGTTTCTCTCCTCCTCATCCTCGTCCTCCTCGCCATTCATGTCTTCCTCTTGCTCCTGCTGCTCTTCATCCTCCCCCCGCCAACACATCATTTCACGTTCGATAAACCCAGCAGGACAACTCTGTGTCTCGCAATCACGATAGCCATCGAAGTTCCAGCTCGCATCGGCATAATTGGCGGCTTCTGCGATCGTGCAACCGGCGCTGAACCCCTCGTGGTAAGCCCGAGGAAAGGTTATGATAACCTCATGAGGATTCTGATGGACAAGACTGTAGGGGATGCCCCATTCCTCAAGTGTCTTGTGTGAAATGTATGTTGCAGAGTGGCGTAGAAATTGCGCACAGTCGGATGAGTAGAGAGAGCCGTTGGTTGCTTTAAGCTTCTGTTCGAAGAGGTGGCCGTTCTCTGACGACACTGTAGTCCAAATCTTCTCTCCTGTATAGAGGTAGTTGACTGAGAGTAGCCAATAATCCTCAATATGCATAGTGAAAGGCGCGCCGAATGTGTGTCCAGCTTGGTAGGCGTACGGCCAGTGAATCCCGGGTACACACATCTTCGTGTCACGAAGGCGGTCACCTTTTAGCGGCCAGATTGGGGATTTGCTGGGCAAACCTATCCGTGCTCGCGAAGCCTTCGTCCGTACATCAATATCGAAGCAATAAGTGACATCTTTGAGTCCGTTGTCACTTTCAAGGAGCTGCTCGAATCGCTGCACGAGCTCGTTGGCTGACGATGGATTGGTGGTAGGCGGCTCTGATAACTCGGACTCAGACGGAAGGACTGTATCGACCTCCTCGTGCTCAATCTGAAAAGTTCCATTGTTTTGAGAATGAACCAAGAATTTGTGCGCTTGTTGCGCGGTGTTGAGACGTCTCAATGCTGTGCGGCCAGCTATGCTTTCTGGTAGCAACACCTTGCATATTCCAGCCTTTTCTGCACCAAGACCACGGGCATGCTCCAGCAACGTAGGGAAATCGTGCCATTCTTCCGCGGTAGGGCGAAGCCGAACGACGCCGTCCTGGATATCATGAGCGATGGAGACTGTCAACTTCTCATTTGTTCGTGGCGAATCTGCCAACGGTGTAGTAGAGGAGCGAGACTGAACGTGCTCCTGGTTCTGGGTGGACGGCTCGATAGGTAAGGTGTCTTGATAAGATCTTTGAACAGTGGATGGTTCCAAGAGTCTGACACTAAGGAGAGGTTGGTTTCGTGTACCAAGATTTGGCTCTTCGGGTGCTTGAGAGGATGATAACTGCTGAGAAGTTATTGTATCGGAAAACAGTTGATGAGGTTCTAGAGCGTCCACCAAGTTTCGGCATGGTGGTGCATTAGCATGTGGTCGAAGGACCTCTTCGGCTTGGGTTGACTTTCTGTCCCTGAAGCTTTCGCAACGAGATGTATCTGTATCAGATGTTGCATCACGTGACAAATGGAGAGGATGCGTGGGGCAGTCGGGAGAGTCCACCGGCTCTTGCTTCCTGGAAATCAGATTGGAGGCTGCGATGGCGAGTGAAGCGATTCCCGTTTCTTGATCATTGCTGAGGGGCTGGACAACAAGATGACTTGGTGGCAGACCATCGGTGGCAGTCTCAGCGGCGGGGGAGACAACGGGGCTTTGGACGACGTGGCACGCCCACACAGATTCTAGCTCTACGGAAAGAGCGCGCAGTTCATCATGAATCAGCTCAAACTGATCGGGTTCGCTCTCAAGTAATCGCGAGATGACAGATTCGACATGTATCCGCAGATCTCGGAAGACCTGTAACATCAGTACGGAGCATGCAGAACCAAAGGTCGGAGGTTGTTTACATGGTTTACAGTGGAAGCCATCAACGGAGCTACAAGTTAAAGCATCACTACGTGCATTGGGACTCCTGGGCGAACTATGTTGGAAGAGAGAGGCTGCGCAGAAGAGTCACGTGAGAGCCGCAGTTTTGCGACTGCGACAAAGTCGCAAAAGGTCAGCTAGCTTCTTTGGGTCCTTGGCATCAGGGATCGCGACAATACAAAATCGGGACGCAGCCGATGATTACCGCTGCAACCTTGATATGTGTGGGATAGAAGCTGATGAGTGGAATCTGGTTGTTACCCAATAAGAAGTCGGAATGCTACCCAGACAATAATGCATCTAGAAGCTGTACTGCCACGCCCAAAATCGGGCCAAGAAGGGTCATGAATTTTCCAGACAGCCCTTGCACGCGGTCTTTGGCCGCCACCTCTTGCCCTCACCACCGCCGCCCGCGACGGCGGCATCTAACCATAACTTGACTACACTTCTACGGATTCTGGAAACTCAGAAGCGGCAGACGCATTGTTGGAAAGGAACAAGGTCAGGCTCTAATACTTACAAGAAAGGCCTGCGAGCTACGACAGAAGAAGACCACAGCGTTGATCACGTGATGCGCGGAAAATATCAACTCGGGTCTCTAAATGCCAGAACGGAGGCGAGCCTGGAACACCAGCATCAAGCCGTGAAAGTTGCAAGCGCCTGTTCAGCGCTCCTCCTTCTGCGCTCTCCTAAATGGTTCGCCGGAAAAAGGTCATCGTTCTCGACGTAATAGGGTACCCGGGTAACAATGACTGCTTCCAACGCATTGCCAAGGGTTGCCACTACGAGATTGACCGGTATGGAATGAGTTCAGCTGAGAGCTGGCGGGGCCGTGGGCCGGGCAGCGTCCCTTGTTGCTCGGAATGTTGCGTCCGGGGTCGCGGTGTTGGGGAGAAGGTTTCGAGAAGCAGCTGGCCCATATCGTGGCATTGATCCGATCCTAGTTTGAAATCTGTAAATGAGGGACCTTTGCACCAACCTCCGCTTGGTCCGGAGAAGGGAACTGCGCTGCTTTCCAGACGTGCGCGTGCTCGGTCAGAAGCGTCCCTCAACGGGCTTTCTTCCATGCTCGGATGGGCATGTGGTGTTCGTGCAGGAGCTGATGATGCCTATCAACCAAGTCCAGTTTGGTTGGCGCACTGCCTTAGAAACCTGCGTGCGCTCAGCTCGCACACTCGTAAGCTCCTTTGTCAATGGGGAAATCTCGAAATCTCGATCCATACATTAAGAGTAGACGTCTCAGCTGCTCGCGGTACATCAGGCATTTCCGTCTATCCGCTATGCGTGGGGCACGGCATGAGACTCATGGAGGACTGTCAGTTGCGCAATGCGCATGGCCGGCACTGGCACGACTCAGGCAACGCTAAAGTTTCTGGCAGCGAAAAGCTTGATAGCCATACTTTCGTCAACTGGAACAACGCGTGAGTCTCGGCCTGTACTCGTACGCATCAGTGAAGCCTGCCTCAGGAAACATCATCGTAATCCTCTCACTGAGCAATCGTTCAACGCCTTCCTTCGTCTTCACATATACTACAACGGAACGATGAAGCTTGTGGGTAGCTAAGTAGCCCAATGTGACGATCCTCATGATTGTCCCTTCATTTCTTGACTTCGGTCCTCCTCAAAGCCGGTCCGGATGCCAGTCTACTCTTCATCCACGATCTCAAGCTTGTTGATCGGATTGACTTTGAAGAGATACGATTATTCGCCCCGTAAGCGCCCTCGACCAAAGTGAGTCTCGATCCACTACGGGTGACTGCGGACGAGCTCGGCTTCCCTCTCACTCCGTACGATGACTCTTAGCCGGTGGAGGTTTTTGTTCGTCTTGAACAACCGCGGTAGAGGATTTGTGGACGTAGGCACCGACTTTTTGCTGCACATTGGCTGGAATCTCACGAAAAGGCGTTCGGTGGCTAAGATACTCGCTGACTATATCCTGCAGACAGCTGTTAAGTACTCTATCTCGCGTTGAGGCATGGTTCCGGTAGCGGTCAATATAACGGAGCTCAAGCGGGTCAATATTGATGATTGAAAGGACACGTGGGGAAGCACGTGAGCAGGTGAGCCTCAGGCATCAAAGCACGGACGAAGCGGTCAGCGGCGTCAAATACCCCGCAAGCCGACCTCGAACCCATCACGGCCGCACTGCCGATCCTCTTCAGTGCCATCGTACCTATTGGACTAGCCGTGCCGCTCCTCCACCACCACCCACCGTCCTGCGGGAGAGCGATGATGGAGCGGCACGGCTGCAGCTGCAAATACAGACTTGCGCTTGTGCGGGGATATTTCCGCTACCCCAGCTTCATCGCTGTTTGCCGCGATTCTTCAACCTCCGCGCAACCTTCAGTCGCCCTAGAACAAAGCATTCGCACACCTCTCGAACGATACCATGCTGGTCCCATATCGACGGTCCGATTGAGACTCAGACAAGCGTTCTCCGCCCACCGACACGAAGCAGCCGCCGGCTCAAGTAAGGTTGAAAGGGACGGACTTTCCGCTGGCTTCTTGCCGCCCTTTCACCTACGATGGACCACGCCGGCGAGCTTCTGGTCCTCGCGCATGACCTGTATGCGCGCCAGGCCGCGAACTCTACGCAAACCGGCGCCTCGAGTAGCAACAATGGAAGACCTCCGATATACAAAGTGGTTGGGCTGATACTGGCAATCGCGTCCGGTCTATTCATTGGAGTGTCCTTCGTCATGAAGAAGGTGGGACTCCTCAAGGCCAATGTCAGATACAACGAGGAGGCGGGTGAAGGCTATGGGTATTTGAAGAACGTTTGGTGGTGGGGTGGCATGATCCTCATGACCATCGGGGAAATCTGCAACTTCGGGGCATACGCCTTCGTGGACGCGATCCTCGTTACACCACTTGGAGCCCTGTCAGTCGTTGTCACCACGATCCTCTCCTCCATCTTCCTAAAGGAACGTCTGAGCTTTATCGGTAAGGTGGGATGTTTCAACTGTATCATTGGATCCGTCGTCATCGTCATCAACGCTCCTGAGCAGTCGGCGGTGGCTAGAATTCAGGACATGAAGAAATTAGTACTCTCTCCAGGCTTTCTCAGCTTTGCGGGCATTGTCATCGCTATCTCTATCTTTCTTGCACTCTGGGCCGGCCCTAGGTACGGGAAGAGAAGCATGTTAGTCTACCTTAGCATCTGCAGCCTCATTGGAGGCTTGAGCGTTGTGGCAACGCAAGGTTTAGGCGCGGCGATTGTCACGCAGGCAGGTGGTGAGGCGCAATTTAACCAGTGGTTTCTGTACGTGCTTCTAGCATTTGTCATTATCACACTATTGACGGAGATTGTTTATCTGAATGTAGGTAACGTATACGGCGAAGTTATCACTAAGCAACTGCTAACAGCCTGGGCGCAGAAAGCGCTCAACATCTTCAATGCAGCGCTTGTTACTCCGACATACTACGTCTTCTTCACAAGCTCCACGATCGTGACCTCAGCAATCCTTTTCCGAGGCTTCAAAGGAACGCCTGCTACTATCTCCACGGTCATCATGGGCTTCCTGCAGATCTGCGCTGGTGTTGTCTTGCTGCAACTCTCAAAGTCCGCAAAGGACGTGCCTGATGCCGCAGTCTTCAGCGGAGATCTCGATCAAGTTCGAACCGTCGCCGAGCAGAAGGAACCGGAGTACGAGCCCAAGGCAGACGCCATCCGCGCCGGAGGCGCCATTTTGCGCTCGATGTCGACCGTGAGGATGAGGAAAGAAGTCGAGGAGGCTAAGCGGCTCCACGAAGAACGCATGGCTCCTATCGGGGAGAACGAACAGGTAGAATTCGACGGCCTTCGTCGGCGAAAGACCATAATTGCGCCTGGCCAAACCCCACTCCAGCGCCGAAAAACCATTCACCCACCGCTCGGCATGTCCGAATTCCCAGACGACGAATTGACGACTTCCGATGACAACCACCCCGGCTTCTTCACCTTCCTTAGCAGCCGCCGTCGTCGTTCGACGCACCAACAGCCGCAATCGCCACGCGCATCCATGCCCCTGAACCAAATTTCACCCTCTGAAGGCTCCGGCCCCGCCCCGACATCGGATCCGCCATCCCACTTCTACGGCCTCCCGCAGGGCCTCAAACGGCCCGACGCTCCAGAACACGTAACGTTTCAGTTCCCCTCCGCCGGCAAGGGTCAGTGAGGTACTGTGTCAAAGAGGGAATCTTGTGCTTCCAGAATGTTAATAGCTTCCCGGGCCTTTGTTTGTCGTGGAGAGCTATTTTCACCTGTCTCGGAACTTCACCTGCCGCTTCACCAAACATCAACCCATGCCGCGTCTAGCATGCTCAAGCTCCAAGTGGATCAGGACGCTGGAGAGTGATCTCCTGTAACTGACGGTGGTACCTGAAAACACTGTTCAAGCCGACTGAAACACTACGATTGGGTGCGAGCGCTACCTTCCACGACCGAAGCAGATTGCCCGCGTAACCTCCCGCAGACATTGAGGGTCACGGTGTAGCAGTTCCGCTGCATGCACGTGATATAGCGGCGTGAATGGCGCGTTGTCCTCGCTTCGGGTGACGGCTCTAGACATCCGTCTCATCCGCGTTCCGTTCCTCCATGGTCGCCTTGTCGCTGTCCTGGTTTCCTCCGCCGGTCCCCTTCTTCTTCGTCGTTACCTACTCCATTGCGCGCTTGTCGCCGTGGAGAACCGCTGGCGCTGAGGCTGCCGGTGCGGTTGTCGGTGTTATCGGTCCCTGTCCGTTTGCTTGCGCGGCCCTGGTAAATTCCCCCGACTCCGGCTGTACCTGTGCTACCGTCCTTTCTATCACGGTCGACGACGGCGCGCCGAAGACGGGCTGGTGTACTTTGAAGGCCGTGCTTGTAGGTTCTAGATCCGGGAGCTTGGAGGTGCTGTTGAGCTTCGTGATGGCGTCAGATTTGGATCCTGTCTGGACGCCGGGCATCACGGTTCATGCTAGTGAGCGGGAGGAGGCGTGGAAGAAAAAGCTGGGGGAGCAAGATCTAGAGCACGAAGCGTCAACCCGTTGTTTCCTGTCAAAGAATTCTTCACCCCTGCAGCTGCCGCACAGCCCGGCTTGGGCGCCACCATGTCTAGAACAGGGCCGTAGGTGCTGAAGAGTGTGTAGAGCGCGCGGCGGAGGTCGGGCTTTTGCAGCTTGTCGGAGAGATTGGAGCAGTAAAGGTTGGCTGGAGAGAGGGGCATTAATGGTGTGCTGTGTGCCGATGAGGGGAGTCCGCATATCTGGTTTGGCGGAGAGCCTTGGGAGGGCTTTCGGGGTGGTACGGAGCGCGTGGGGAGGGGTTCGGATGCCATTGGTGAAGCTGCGATCGTCGTAGTAGATTGGGGGACGGTATGGCGGACGGCGGGATAGTTACTCTACCAGCCGAAGGGATAGGATTGTGTATAGTATTGTACCACGTCCGAACAATAGTATGCGTTACCGTAATAGCTACGGAGCCAGTTAAGGGAGCGTCAATCCACCAATGGAACAAGTTCGGTACATGTCCCTGGCAGCCATCGGAGATGCCACAGCGGGGATTACATAAGGCGAAGCGAACCCCGCTTCTTCTATCATATAGGTAGAAGAGGTAAGCCTGATGTGATCAAATTGGGATTCATAACATCATGGTTGTGAAGATGTTTGGAGTAAATTCCAAGGGCGACCAGTATAGGCGAGGGTTGTTCCTGTTGGTTTACGGTGTGCTCGCTTGGCTCGTATTTAGGGTACGTCAATCTAGTCAGACTCCTACTTACAGAGCAATTCTAATACTGCGTTTGGCGGTTGACCTACAGCTTGTCAAGGTCATCATCGACCGCCTCATCCGCTCACCTCTCCGGACTACACCGGGCCCTCTCCCCGCCAAGTTAACGTCTCAATGGCTCCAATTCATCGACTTCGCTGGCAACCGCACGTCCACCATTCATAAGCTCCATCAGCAGTATGGTCCGATCGTCCAGATCGGTCCTAATGAAATTTCCTTCGCCAGCATCGACGCTATTCGGGACATCTATTCGGGCCAGAATCCGTTTATGAAGTCCGCCGCCTATGACAACTTCGGCAGGAAAGGGGCATTTCAAATGCGGGACAAGGAGGACCATCGACAGAGGCGGAAGCGGATTAACCACGTATTTTCGCAGAGCGTGCTGTTGGAGATGGAGCCGCTTATAAGGGATGAAGTGGAAAACCTATTGAAAGTGGTGGATGAGAGGTGCGGGGAGCCATACGATGTGCTGCATTGGTTTCGCATGCTAGCACTAGACGTTGTTGGTTAGTCAACTTGTGGAACCCATTCGTTATGCTTGTTAAAGCTATCATAGGCTTGCTAAGGTGGCTAATCTTGGTGGTGGATACCTAGGTCAGCTGTTCCTAGGCAAATCCTTCGGTGCGCTTAAAGATGATAGGCCTCCTCCCTACGTTCACCATCTCGACAATGCCTACCTAGTCTGGGCTATCCAGGGAATTCTCCCTTCGGTCTATAGGTTCACGTCTTTTCTCCCCTTCAGATCTATTCAAGACTTTCTAACCGCTGGCGACTACGTGTATGATGTAAGATATCCCCCTTTGTATACAGTATTTTTCTTCCACAAGAAACAGCAACACAAACCAGTGGCGATCTGCTCACGGTATGGTGATATGATAGTATGGCGCCGCCGCGTTCTACGACTACCTTCAAAGCTACGGTCGGACCTCAACGCGACGCTCGCTATTGACTAAACTCATCGCTGGCGATGTTGATAGCAAGTCTGCTCCGTTATCTGATGAGGAGATATGCGTCGAGATTAGCAACCTTGTCTTCGCCGCCTCTGATACCACAGGCAATACGCTGACGTACCTGTTCTTCGAGCTGGCGCGGAACCCGTCATGGCAGGAACAGTTGCGAAAAGAGTTAAGGGACACAGAGCCTGTAGACGGCAGCGTGCCGCAGTATCAACAGATCAAAAGCTTACCAGTACTGAACTCTGTTATCTGGGAGGCGCTGAGAGTACATCCCGCCGCGCCAGCCAGCTTGCCGCGCGTTGTCCCTCCACGCGGCGGACGGGTGGCCGGGATGGACCTGCCGCAGGACACTGTTGTCTCCGCGCAGGCTTACACGGTCCAACGCTTACTTCCTACATTCCCCGAACCCGACACATACAACCCATTACGATGGATGACGACTGATGGTGGTACAGATGAGATGAAAGAGCTTATGTTAGCCTTCGGCAAGGGAACGCGAAATTGTTTGGGACAAACAATGGCGCTGATGGAGATGAAGCTCACGACTGCCGCTCTGATCAAGAGGTTTTCGGTGCGTCTAGCAAGTCCGAGGACAGTGGATGATATGGAGATGACCGATCATTTCACGCTAATTCCAAGAGGGAAGAAGTGTTTACTCGTATTTGAAAGAGTTGAAGAGAAGGGTGTGTAAGGGAGACTTTCCTACAGCTTATTATAGTGTATAGGCAGAAGCCTTTTATCTAAACGAAATAAGCTCCTTACATGTATTCTTGAATGCTTCAGTGGTATATAACCAGTGATTTCTACAAAGTAGTGGCTTGAGTATAACTTTTAAAGTTCTTTTAGTGTATAATAACTAAGTCTTTTTTTGGATTTAGGTTTGGGTTTGGCTTTCTATGTTGTAGGCTTACTGTAGTCGATTGGAGTCATGATCAAAGAGGATAGAAACAGTACTAAGGGACTCAAAAAGATGGTTGAGTGTCGAATGTAAGTGCAAGAATGGTTTCAGAGAGAGGAGTTCTTATTTGAGTAGAGCGCACCGTTTTTGTAAGGGAAATAATGCTGCGTACATACTTGGTTAGATGTTGCGTACCTGCGTACCTGAGTAATGTAATTGTAATGATTACCTTGATCACTACGTGATTAGAGTATTCACAGTAATTACTCTAATTTCTTACGCTGACCTTGCCCACAGTCCACAGTGATCACTCTTTCTGCTAAGACTGCGGTCTGATCTTAGCTCTTTGCCATGGACCCAATAACATTGCAATAGAATGTTGGTGTTCAGGCAAGTCGCTGTAGATACTCTCTGCGCCGAGAAGTGGTGGAATCACGTGCCGTGTCTTTATGATTGCATTAATCTTGTTCGAGAGGCTGCACTCATCAAGAAGCGGTTATAGGAAAGCTTTACATCGATGTAGTCAGTTAGCATAAGAGTATATACGTATTTCAGCCTAGAAGCCTTTAATATCTATTACACCGTCCTCTTGTTAGAACGGCACGTGATTCCACTACCTTTCGGCGGGGAGAGTACTGGTACAAGGGGTCCAAGGAATTAACGGGAGCCTATCCTATTGGCTATATTTCCTGCGTTGCTAGGGGCTTTCGTGGCGTCTTCCGGCCATTCTCAGCAGTGCTAGCGGTCGGATGCGCTATGAGGGTGTATCATATCCAAACGATAATAGATATGCGCTACAATTGGCCTAGGAGAAGCAAGATTGTTTGTTGCATGGAAAGCCCATCTGCAGGCTCTTCGCCGGATGCGCAAGGTGCTTTGGTGATTATTCTGTAGAGTGCATGAAGACTCTCCCGCTACTCGAAAAGGCAATAGCTAGTGGATGCCGCTGTGGGGAGAAGGAATGATGGGTCAGTTATTCTTTTTCTGCCATTCTGAGTGGTGGAGATATTCTGTCGCAGCTTAAAGCATCATGCAGATTAGCCACCGACGAACCTGCCGCTGGGTGAACTACTGTATCGCTGCTACTGCATGATCCTGCTGTGCGGGGAAGCCGGTCCGCCCTCCCGAAGGACGTCGATGGGCGTTTAAGCAAATTCGCTGCCAAGACTCGGAACCCCCACCGATGTTTCTTATATGCTGATCTCGCCCCGGTGGCCTGACACGCGCGAATCGTCAGTTCTTTCAAACTTTCAGAACTGCATTTGCGAGAAAATGTCAGCTCAAAGTCCTTCTACTCAACAGCTATCTGCAGCGGAGGATGCTCACCCTCCGCCAACCGAAGCAGCAGCAATTGAACCGGTGAGAGACCCTACTCTATGTCGAATGCGTAAGAGATGTGGAGAACCCTAACTGACTCGTGTCGCGCTCAGGATTCGAGAGATAGTGATTCATCGTATAACGATGAATTGTAAGTAATTAGACTCGGCACTGAAGGGAGGAGAGCCTGAGTACGATTTATTAATCTTCGGGTTAACAATAGATCGATATACACAGCGTCCCTGACTTCGAGCATTACAAACTACCGTTGGGAGAATGGGCGCCGTTACCATGCGTATGGAGAGGATAGTGAGTTGGCGATGAAAACTGGTCGATGTGATTTACTTCTGCTGACTGTATGCAGCATACATCTTGCCGAATGATGAAGTCCTACTCCCACTGCAAACTGGTGCGACAAGTCTACTGTGAGGAAGGCTAACAAGCATGTAAGCTAGGACGAAAATGACCGCTTGGACATGACGCATCACATGATGCTTCTGCGAACGGATGGAAAGCTGCATCTAGCGCCAATTGGAGATCATCCTCAACAGATTCTGGACATCGGTACTGGGACCGGGATTTGGGCAATAGAGATGGGTACGTTGAGGCATGGCTGAGTCCATCTTTTCACAGATGAAATATGATTGTAGGATGTGACTGACCAGATAATTCATGAGTAGGAGACAAGTACCCGTCGGCAACGGTATGACGATTGTTTCCACTCGCTCTCAAATTCATTCACGCTTGCCCTTCATCAGTATCCCTTTGTATGCCGACAGCTGACACAACATCTCTCCCAGATTTTGGGCAACGACCTAAGTCCCATTCAACCAACCATGTACGTCTCCTGCCGCTTGATAACAAATCCCTACACTCAGCTGACCTCGGATCCGGGATAGGGTGCCTCCTAACGTTCGCTTTGAGGTTGACGATGTTGAGAAGCCTTGGCTGTTCGATATGGCCTTCGACTACATCCATTGCCGCTATATGGCCACTGCGATTTCTGATTGGCCTGGGCTCGTCGCTCAAGCATACAGGTATGTAGTTCTTCCCGACCCCGCTCTTCCCGAGGAACTCATTGTCTCCTCCATCCGTCATCAATCTGCTATAATTAGGTTGTTGATCTCACGAGAAACAAAGGTTTACCAAACCTGGCGGCTGGGCCGAATTCCAAGATTTTGATCTGCAGTACTACTCCGAAGATGGGTCGCTCAAGCCAGAGCACCAGGTCCTGGCATGGATCAACAACCTGCTGGGTGCATCACGCAAGGCGGGCCGGGAACCTTGTCCAGGCCCACAGCTGGAGAAATGGATGAAAGATGCAGGGTACAAGAACATCCATCATGAGCGGCTTAAACTTCCTATCGGAACCTGGCCAAAGGACAAGTACCTGGTGAGTATCTACAACTTTGCAAAACGTACTGAATAGACAAGTCTTGTCCATTCAATCTGTTCGAAGCTCACAATCGCATTGCTGTAGAAAAAGCTTGGGGCATGGAACTTCATGCAGATCCAGGAGGGTTTAGAAGCCTTCACTTTGCGAATCTTCACGAAAGTCCTCGGCTGGGAGGTTTCGGAGGTACAAGTTATGCTAGCCCTGGTGAAAAATGATCTGAGGGATCCGAGCATCCATGCTCAATTCGATTTGTACGTGCTTATACTATCCTATGTCTGGTCTACCTCTTATCTCCTTTCTCCTCTACTGTTTCCCACCTTTTTCCGCTTCGAGAATTGTCTGCTGATCGTTGTTCTTATGGTTTAAACAGCCATGTCGTGTACGGCCAGAAGCCGGAAGCTGAGTAGTGGAAGATTTGGCTCTTGTACGCAGCATGCGCGTAGTTGTATCTGGCCACGGTGCTCCTCCTTGATGTGTTGTCATGAATGAATTCATGCTATTCATGTTTCCCAGCATTCTTGATTGAACTTCACCTACCACATTCGATCGCAGCGCTCTTAGAACGAGTTCCCTGTCGTGTTTCTACTGCATCTTGCTCCAGTTCCGCTTCTTAAGTTAGCCTCTGCTATTTCCGGCCCGTTTCTGCTATGTGCACTCCTGTAGCTGTACAAGAAAGCCTCAGCATTACTGCATCCGTACCAACCCGCGATGTTGCCAAATTTCTACCAATCTGCGGTAGAAACAAGGAGCTGCCCCAATCAATTCCAATAATACATGCTTCTTGTTCGGTATCCAATCGGTTCAGGTGAATTGTGCCAACGGCTTCTTGCATTCTGGTGTTGTTAGGAAACCTCCAATCACCATGTAATTCCCTGTCTCTCCCATGCACAAGTTTGAACGTCCTCGCGTCTTCGTGTTGTTGCGTTTTACGTTTTGACGTATCATGGTATTCCCCTCGTTACAACAGCTGTAGGTGAACTCCAGACCCCTATTTATTACCTTCTTACACATTGTCTTCTCCCTAATAGAACGCAATTAGGTTACTATACGCTCGAATCACTCAAGAGCGATTCGAGCGTATAGTTTCAGATAACCTCAAACGCGCCGCGCGCGTTAATCTATTACCATACCGTCTAAGATAACTCTATATTGCAATTTGTAAATCTAGCTAACCTCGGTCCTCTAATATAGCAGCTGCGTAGCGATAACAAAGAGTTAACCTCTAATTTCGAGATTCTCTACAACATTAGTCTTAAACAGTGACAGATAGTATGTCTTATCATATAGGATGCTGCATATATGTAGAACTACTTAACTCAGCCACTCGCCTGGTAAGCCCTAGCGAGCAAGCGCTGCGAGGCGAGCCGATTTGGGTGGTCCTCTGCTAGCGTGGTCTCGCGAATCTTAACAACATGCTCTAGTAGTGCAATAGCCTGCTTTACTTGACGATTCACCTGGTAAGCTTTAGCGAGCGTACACTGCGAGGCGAGCCGATTTGGATGGTCCTCTACTAGCGTAGTCTTATGAATCTTAACAACATGCTCTAGTAGTGCGACGGCCTGCTTTACTTGACCATTCGCCTGGTAAGCTCTAGCGAGCTCGTGCTGCGAGGCGAGCCGATTTGGGTGGTCCTCTACTAGCGTAGTCTCGCGAATCTTAACTACGTGCTCTAGTAGTGCGATGGCCTGCTTTACTTGACCATTCGCCTGGTAAGCTAGTAAGCTTTAGCGAGCGTACACTGCGAGGCGAGCCGATTTGGATGGTCCTCTACTAGCGTAGTCTTATGAATCTTAACAACATGCTCTAGTAGTGCGACGGCCTGCTTTACTTGACCATTCGCCTGGTAAGCTCTAGCGAGCTCGTGCTGCGAGGCGAGCCGATTTGGGTGGTCCTCTACTAGCGTAGTCTCGCGAATCTTAACTACGTGCTCTAGTAGTGCGATGGCCTGCTTTACTTGACCATTCGCCTGGTAAGCTCTAGCGAGCTCGTGCTGCGAGGTGAGCCGATCTGGGTGGTCCTCTACTAGCGTAGTCTCGCGAATCTTAACTACGTGCTCTAGTAGTGCGATGGCCTGCTTTACTTGACCATTCGCCTGGTAAGCTCTAGCGAGCTCGTGCTGCGAGGTGAGCCGATCTGGGTGGTCCTCTACTAGCGTAGTCTCGCGAATCTTAACTACGTGCTCTAGTAGTATAATAGCCTGCTTTACTTGACCATTCTCCTGATAAGCCACAGCGAGCTCATGCTGCGAGGCAAGCCGATCTGGGTGGTCCTCCATCAGCGCGGTCTCTTCGGTTTCGACGATATGCTCTAGTAGTGCGAGGGCCTGCTTATGATACCCCAGATCCATCAAACTCGTTGCGCTAAGATCATAGATAGGCAAAAATTCTTCCGATGGTATCTCTGGGTCGATTTTGAGCTGGGCGAATATCTCTTTTAGAAGACGACTAAGTCTAGAATCGTCCCGCATATGTGACAGGATCCGGCCGCATCTGAGAAAGATCGGGAGGACCATGGCTACGGGTCCTAGTGAGAACGCTGTCTTGACCTCGATAGTCAGGCAAGACTGTATATGCGGCCGTAGATGCCTCTCTTGTCTTTGCCATGTATCAGAGACAAAAATAGATAGTGTAAGGATAGATGCAGCGGCGATCCAAGCCTGGCCTTGCTGGTTCAACTCCTGACGATCCTTAGCCCAAGCGTGCGTCAGTGGATGCATAGACAGTCCGGGCACTCCGTCTGAATCGTGCCGTGTGATTAGAGAAAGCGAGACAAGTAAAGAACTAGCTTCGACGAGACGGTAAGCATCCCATTCGCTTCCTTCTATGACCATGAAGTCGGGTAATTGGGAAATGTGCCATTGACGTAGATTGCCCAGTTCACTCGTGTTTGTGTGGTTGGCAAGGAGAATTCGTCTGGAACCTTCCCATGCATCTTGGAAGATCTCTAGAGGAAGAATGCTAGAATGCAGCATGGATAGAATTTCAAGCAAGCGCAGAGCATCTTTTGCGGCCTGACTTTCGGACCGCTCCAGCATATAAGCAGATGCTTCGAACGTAGCGTAGACATCCCGATACCTAGACTGCGCCTGACTGGGCCGGTATTTAAGAAGTCGTTGGCGTTGCCGATGATACACTTCCGGATATTGGTTCAATCGGCCGTGACCATTGCCAATGTATGCGCCGGCCTGGACCAGCGCAAGGGTGTGTGATCCTAAGAGGCTGACAACAATCTTCGCTTGTTGATCGTAAGACGGCCATGATTCCTCGGGAATCTCTGCTGCTTTAAGCAGAAGCCGTGTGGAATGGTGGACATCGAGACCAGCGAGTGCCTCTGACCCAGCCGTGTTGTAGCGGCTGCAGCGGGAGACACGAGATGTTATGATCACTGCGCCGTGAGTTCCGGACGGAAGGTACGGTTGATAATCAAAGTCTGGGTCGTCGGCATTGTCCAGGATAAGGAGCCAGCTTCTCTTCTCGTTTGCGAGGATTCGAAGAGCATCGTCAATCCTCTCGACTGTGGCTCCAAGGATCCTTGCAACGGCGATGAAGCCACTTTCAGCGATAGAAGGACTGCCGATGTCGACCCAGAACACGCCCCAAAACCTGTTATTGTCAGCCAGGATGATAAACGTGTAATCAAAGCCACGGATGTGACGAACTCTTCACGCATCACATTCGCAACCTTCAGGCAGATCTCGCTTTTCCCCTGTCCTCCTAGGCCAGTAATGACGAACCTCCTCTGCTTTCCAGCACAGGAAGTCTTGTCACCGAGTAAGGCGTCCTGGATTTGATCCAGTAGCTCGGCGCGTCCGGTAAACAGATTGTTGACTGCACGGGGAACCATCCAATGGACGTTTCCAGCGGGCTCAGCATGGCCGGCATTAGCGGCGTCTAGAGTAAAGCGGTCAGTCATGTATCTGTGTGCAGATGCTGCGCACCTCCATTCTATTCCGTACCCTGTCTACGATGCCGATCGATCACGACTGAATTTCCACCCTCGACCATCCTTCGAATCTCCGGTAGCAGCAGCGCAAAGTTCTCATCATCCATCCCGCTAAACTTATTAAGTCCGGAATGGTCGGTGTTCAGAAACATCATCCTCTTTCCGAGGAGACTGGCTGACTGTGCACTTACGAACTGAACGTGGTTAACAGGTGAGATAGACCAGCAGAGAGGACTGTAGACAAACCCGTGCCTTCCAAGGCCCATAATCGGCATCCCTGTTCTCGTAGAAGCACACAATATCCCAGTCGCTGTAACTGTGCCAGAAGTCTGACGAGAGAGCATGTAGACTTGGGCTGTCTTTCTCCAGCGACTCCAACAATGTAGAGTCAAGCCTTGCAAGCTGAGCCAGCCACTTACCGTACACCGCTGCATCGCTTCCCTGGAAAGGCGCGCCAAGGAAGATGATGCCTGCGACGGAGAGGCGTATGTCAGTAAAACCCCGCTGATGGACGGCGATGACGAGCGCCTAGTTCGATTAGCGGGTGATATCGAAGTTCAAGGTTGATACTGAACAGACCTGCTGGATGACAAGACCTCCAAGACTGTGTCCGATCAAGATGAGCGGCCTCTGGCGTTCCTGTTGTTGCGCTTGCTTCAGAGACGGACTTGGCCAGTCGCATCGATTATCAGGCGGCTTAAATTCGCATGCTGCCTGTGCTGGGACAAGACATTTAAGAGCTGTTCAGCGCACTGGCGCAAGCTCGTCTTGACCTTCTTATCCCTCCAGTCGGATTCGTAGCTGTAGGTGGCGATCCGCGCATTCTTGAACAACGGCAAGAGCAGGTCCCGAGGCCACATGACCTCTGTTGAGCCATCGTTTTTGTCGTTGCCTTGCGTCTTCTTGTCCTTCCAAAATAGCGCCTTGGACCTAAGTCTCTTGGATGCGACGACACGTGGGGCAGGGGCTTTCTTAACCCACGTGTAGAACGGATGAGCGCCTAGACCCTGGACGGCGACAATGCTGTGCGAGGTTAGCAGGGTGCGCAGGGTGCGGGTTCGCAATTACTCTAGCGTACTCGACTTCTGGCGCAGGTCCGGGTCTAGTCTCGCTACACCAGATGTTCAGACCGCTTGATTTGACAGTCTCCTTTGTGCAAGCCATTTCTTAGACGCGCATGCGCGCCAAAGGTATAGTACGTCGAGGCCCCGAGCCGGTAGTGCAACTGCACATAGTGGGGTGAGGTTGTGGGAGGGGACCCTCAGCCTTGCACGGCTGCCTAGGGCGTGCGCTGTCACGTGACTGCGCTTATCGCTCCAGTATATGAAGGTCGACTCAGGGAGTACGAAAGCCGGTGCGTTGGAATGCATGTGGAAACTCAAGTTTCAACTGCAGGACTACGTGCCTCTAACTCTTGGCCGAACCTTCCAAGGGGGACAGGCACTTTGGATAAGCCGGAACGGACCGAGCCTTGGCATACTGGGTGTCATCCGGAAGCGAGAGAAGTTGCGAGTACGGAGTACGAGACTGCATTATGAACCTGAAGCAGAAACAGAGTGTGTACATCGAGAACTTTGCCTAGAAGTCAAAGTCCTGTTCCGAGGCTGATCTTCCCTAGATAAAACAGAGACTGGTTTTGCGGCCACGATTGATGTGAGGCTGGTACGTCTTGATCTGAGCGTTAAACGAGTGCAGATTTATTCCTAGGAAAACAATGCACGGTGCATCATCAAGCTTCGAACCGGTGAATTGCCTCATGCTCAACTTATACCTCTGCTGAAAGTAGTAAAGCTAGCCGTGGGGCTTGCTGGTATGTCCTGTTTGAAGGAGATGACCAATTTGTCGCCCGCAGCTCGCAACGCGACGAACTGGAGGCTAAGCTTTTTGCGGACGGCCGCTGCCCGAAGTTCGCACTCATCGGCCTGAGTGATGTCGGCAAGACCCCAATTGCGCTTGAGTTGGCCTACCGAACAAGGGATAAGATGCCACACTGCTCCGTCTTCTGGATGCTGGTAACCAGCATAGAGAGCTTCTAGAAAGCGTACCTAGAGATTGACCGCCAGATTCAAATACCGGGTATAGAGGAGGGGAGAGCAGGTGCTAAAAGGCTTCTGCAACACCACTTAAGTCAGGAAAGTAGCGGCCAGCGGCTGCTGATATTCGACGATACCGATGGTTATCGATGTTGTGGTTTAAGACTACAGGCAACAGGTCCGAGTCGACTAGTCTGATTAACTGCTTACCGAGAAGTACTCGAGGATCTATAGTTTCTACGAGACGGAGTCGAAAGACTGCGGTTAAACTCGCTCATCAAAACGTGATTAATGTCACTGAGATGGACAGCAATGCTGCGGCTCAAGTTTAAGGGAAGTCTTTAATCAATCAGCAGATCATCAACGATGAGAGGACCAAGCTGGAGCTGCTTAGTAAGTCGTTGACGCGTTTCGCAGAGGTCTCATCACCGCTTATGGAGAAAGTGGTACGGAAGAATGAACAACACCGAAATGCCAAAATGTTCTTGATAAGATATACACAGGAAGGCATTGCCAACCAGATCATTAACTCGATTCACCATAAGCACGTGAAGGAAGTACATACAGTACCAGCTACAAAGCTTTTCCGCGTGGCCGCAAGCCGCAGGCGTGATATTCCCACTCATTTTTAATGATCCCACAACTTGCCCTCATACGGCGAACATTTCACCCCGCAGCCCCTCCGCAGGAACGGCACACCGATAGCATCCAGGCCGGTGACCAGCGAATCCGGCACGCAGTGCCACCACTCGATCCATTCAGTTCTGTGTATGACGTATCCCTTCCCGCAGACGCTGCACTTCTTCCCATTATCTTGCTTAGCCTCATCCACAGTGTGAAGAGCGCGGACGACCGAGTCCGGTGCGTCGGGTGGGAGGAGAGGGAGGAGGCTCAACGGAGCGGAGAAAGGCATAGAGGTGATGGTACGAAGACTGAGCTCAAAGAGAGAAGGTGCGCGGCTGGCGTGAGCGACAGATTGGGGGGCAGCGGTGGAGGTGTGGCGGGTTGCGGAAGGGAGAAATCTGATGTCCTCGGGTGTTGTGGATGGCGGCGGCGGTGAGTGCCGCTCAAGCCGTCCGTCGAAGGTGAAGAATGTGACCGGCGTTGATGCGAGATGGACCGGGTCTTCTTTCCATAGGTTGAGTGGATAATCCACTCCGATCTTGGGAGCAAACCAGTTGTCTTCGCGATTGGAATCGCCGATTTCGCGCATTCTTTCGGCGTACACTTCGTGCAGCTTCAGCAGCCACTCGAATTGCTCCTGCGAGCCTGGAGAATTGGTGTGCTGCAATTTGAGCCGGAGCTGGGCAGCCACCGCTTCCATCTTTTGCGGGTTGGCCGGAAACCTCCAGTGCCCTTGTTGTGCCAGCTCGCCATGAAACCGTGTGCCTTGTACGAATGGGTTGGGCAAGACCGTCAGCCGTTGCAGAGGACCTCGTGATGCGACGAGGCCGAGCAACTCCCAAGGCAACCACCGCAGTCTGTTGCCGGCCAAGTTCAGTTCTTTGAGGTTGCGAAGGTTTGCGATCGCAGAGGGTATCTCAGTGAGTGCGTTGTTTCGAAGGCTGAGCACCGTGAGGGTCTGAAGGTTCCATAGCTCCCGCGGAAGCGAACGAAGCGAGTTGCGGGAGAGAAATAGCTGCAGCGAAGGCGTGAAGGGCGCGTAGAGGTCTGAGTCCGAACGAGAAGAGCGACGAGAATCGAGCACCGCATCAGCAGCACGAGGCGCTCGTATGAGAGCACGGAGCGGACGAAGTGTGGCGTCAGAAATTGCGGTCAGTGAAAGATCACTGCGGAGATGTGCATTAGCAAGCCGCGCTGACGAGGACGTCCTCTAGCTTCCGTCTTACCTGAGATCCACCATCTCTTTCCCATCATCAAGGCATTGCTCGATGATCTGTCGTGCGAGACCTTCCGTCACTGCCCCGAGCTTACTGGCCGTAGGCGATAACATGGCGATTGCTCGACAACCGACACGGCCGACCTCGTCAGGCAGGTCGGCCACCTCCGACATTGTAGTGTCCGCTCCGAAGCTTGACCTCGTCGCCGACGCAGCTGAGTCGTCGGTCCCATCGCTCCCCATCCAGACACCGCTGTCCACGTTGCGGGTGAGGTCCACCTTCGCCGCAGTATTGTTGGAAGCTTCAGCGACCGGCTGATGGTCCCACCACGTGCCTCTGTACTGCTTCTTCTTGCGGGGAGTCACATAGTTGTCGATTGACGCCTCTGGGCCGTCATCGCTCGAGAAAACGGGCGGATCGCTGGATGTGTTCTCGTCATAACAGTAGTCAATTCGCGCGCGCTTGCGACGGGGGAACGTCGAGGGCAACGCCGGGGGAGAGCTTGGCAGATCTGGAGAGGGGGAGCGTGAGTCCATGGCGACCGGGTGAGTAGGAAGAAGGAGCGACGCAGAAATGTATGGTGAAGTTCAATGGCAAGTGTGGAAGTTGAACCACGGCGGCACTCGACGCGACGCGATTTGGCCGCCAGTTGCGTCACGGAAAGCTGGAGTGACTAAGCGAGCAGGCTGTGCTGTGATTGGCTCTTTCTCTGCGCGTGTCGCGCGACTCGACGCGAAACAAATGATTATCACGTGGCTCAGATCGTAGCACTCACGAAGCCGCTTGGAGCTGCCGCAAGGCGCACAATGGGCATCTAGAAAGCTGGACGGCAGCATTAGTAGATCATCACAGGTCCAGCTCAGTCGCAGATTTGGCGTTGAACAAGCCAGACCTTCGCTCTCTGGTGATCAAGCTCACGTGATCAGGCACAGCCCTGTCCCTTGGCGCGTCGCGCTCATTATCTTCAGGACTCACAAACTCCTCCAAGCCAGTCACAACTCCCTGATTCACCATTGTCTTCCATGTCGTAGGTCTTCCCTAAGCTTTAACAACCTTCTTTCTTATACTCAAACGCGTCTTTCGCCCCAGTATCAGCGAGCTCCGAAACACCGTCGACGATGTCTTTCCACCTCCCCAACCCGGTCTACCACGAGAACTAAGAGATAAAATCTACATATACGCTCTCTGCCCGGAGCATGGTGTCACGATCAAGCCGGACTATCGCAACGGACATGCCGATCCCCGTGATTGTAAATTCAGACGCGTACAGCCGTGGCTTCAGCTGTGTTGCGCACAAACCGCCAGGTCTATGGCGTCACATCACCCATGCTTTACCGCGAGAATGTTTTCACGTTGAATATGACATGCCTGGAAGCCGTGCGTTTCCTACAAAACATGCCTCTACGCAGCTGATGGCTGATCAAAAGTCTCAACCTTGAGAGAGATCTCATGTTCGCACACTGGGATAACCGGGATCATGCTACCGAGCTCCGCGAGTTTCTGGTCCGCGATATGCGCCTCTAAAACGTTACCCTAGCAGTCCCGAATGATATGGAGGCTGGAACGAATGGAAAGGACGAAAGCCAGTATGAATGGTTCATTTAAGATCATGCCGAAGCTTGCTTACTTACACTTTGCCCGATCGCTCAACGTTTCGCTTGGGTATCTAAGTATGGCCTGGATTGATACATACTGAGAGCGGACTGTACCTCCACAGACTGTCGGTTGTTGGTGCCGAGGCTGGATAGGAGATCAGTCCTCCACCACATGAAGCGGACACGATGGTGAAAACTTCGCACACCCGCCATGTACCGCCTCAGAGGCCACGATCTGAGGACCTGGGCTTGAATTCAGATATTTCAATTTCGTGTTCAACTTCGTACTCAACTTCAACGATCAAGGGGCGAAGAGATGAGCAACAGCTCTCATCGCGTGATGCGGTAGCCGAAAGGGGCTGAGACCTTACGAACTGGGCATGTTCTGGCAAGTGGTAACTCCATCTGGCAAAACACGTTCGGGTCGAGTGCACATTACATGACTAAATAGGCTAGGTAGAACGGTCGACGGGGCCGAGAGTATTGCTTTCTTAGGTAGGCCTGAGCTCTCGATTGTCGGTACTTATTGTCTGCGATTCGACCACTCTCGAAAGGCTTCAGCGTGGTGCCGCATTCAGGAGGTACATAGGCAGCGTCCCCAACGTCGGTGAGCTGGACTTGCTCGATGACCATTCCGTGATCGTCCTCCCGCTCGACCAAGATGTTGTTCGGCTTGACATCTACAGCATGTCAATCATCGCCAGGCTTCAAACGTGGAAGAAGCCCGCGGTTGGTTCTAAGACGTGTGAGATAAGCCGCTAGGAGCGTTGTGAATCTGTCAGGAGTAGAACTGATGGCTAAAACCTCGTGGTAGAGGTCGTGGTGGACGTGACGACGAATTCGCGGCTTGACGATTTGGGACTCAGGCAGGCCTTGTCGTCTTGGCGGTGGAAGCAAAGCTTACCGGTGTGGACAATCTTGTGATCACGCAGTTCGCAAGTCTACGCAGTGTGCCTTTAATAATCCGCTTCGCAAGTGCAATCAGCAGGTCCTGTTGGGCCAAGCTCAGGAGATTGTCGGTGATGTATCTGTGGACAAAACTAGACTGCTCCGGGGCCGTATTGTGCAACAGGCGGAGATCGGGACAGCTGCGCAAGCCGCGATACATGTCCCGAAGGTACTTGAAGCCAAATTGTAAAATATGCTTTAATATGAGCTTTTTATCTTCGGCGCTGGATCGGCAGAGAACCGCAAGGGAATTTGTGTTGGCAATGGCGCTTCAGGGGCACCTACGTGACAAGCTAGACGCGAACTTCTGTGCTTCTTGCTGGACGTAGCGTGCTGGTGATGACGATGGCAGTGTACTGGCGTGACAACGAAGCGGAACGGTGGCAGCAAGAATTTTGGAAGAAGGTGTAGGCGAATTAGATTGTGGGGGTCGGCCCGCGTCGAAGCACGTATAATAGCGAAGCATTGGAACCCAAAAGGAGCGTGATGGAGATATGTGGGCGGGAGAGGTCTAAATCGAACTCAGTGCGTTGCCGACGAGCGGGGCCTTCGGTTTTACCAGAGTCATGGTGGACGAAGACGCGAATTCAGATCTTGCCCAACGCATGTAAGAACTGCCTGGATGGTGATGCACAAGGGAGGGCTAGGCGCATTTTGTGCGCTTTTGTGGGCAATCCATCCGACATGGACTTGCGTGCATCTCGCAGCGAGGCATCAGACAGGCATCACAGAGTGTCATGTATCTGGAAAAGGGGTTACCGCTCCCCTCATCTGAGGGCAGCGTCAAGCAATAGGCGGTAGCCGGTCGGATGAACGAACACTCGGATTGCGCTGCGAGAAGTTCTCTGTAGAGTAGGTGATTTGGCAACGAGCAGGACCTCATCCGCTTGACAAGATACCAGGCCTGGCGGGGAGAGAGAGAGAGAGAGAGAGAGAGAGAGAGAGTGGGAAGAGTAAAGCATCACGCTTCTGACGGTAAATGATGGATATAGCAGAGTGGTTGGGTACAGTGTTGGCCCATACGTAGAATGGCGATGTAGCGAAGGAAAGTGCAGCGATTGTTTAATACTCCTGATTCATGCTCAGCTACAAGAAACTGGAAGGGGTAACAATACATAGTGGATCGCCTAAGAGTGAACCAATACCGAGAGGGCGTTCGATGACAGTTAAGGAAGACAAGTGCCACGAGGGAAGTGCATTGCCATTGTGCGAGAACCCAATTGCGACCGCACCATTGAACATCAGTGTGAACCATACAAGGTGGTTCAATGTCGGGTATCCAATATTACTAGAAACCGCCGGATGAGCAACGGATACCCGCGAGGCGGAAGCTGTTTGAGCCCTAGGTCCTTGTCCGGTTCACGGCCGGCAACGCCGATTCGTCTATAAACAAGGCGGCGATGCTTTCTGGCCGCACCTTGTATACACTGGCTTATGATCTATGCGCGCCGGCGCCGAAAGCTTCCCGACCCCTTGAAGCTGTCAGCAAGCACGACACTGTCGACACAACACCGGAAAGGAGCTTGAACTTACTGCATTCCAGACATGAACTTCTTGCATGCCTTGCCTAGCTTGTTATGTGCCTTGCAGTTGGCGATCTGCTTGATGCACCGGTAATACTCTTGAAGCTCAGCTTTGGGCCAGGTGTCGATTGATGGTATCGCGACGGTGTTGAGGAAGTCCCGGTGCAGGTTGATACACCTGCAGTACGCATGCGATTTATTACGTGGACCGGTCGGGATAGGGCGGCTAGTTTCTGATGTAGACGCGGTTTGAACAGCGCCCCTAACAACAGGTGACCCGTTTGTTTGCGATAGCCCAGATCGATATGATTGGCCTGCTTGTGCAGTTGGAGCCGCGCTTTGCATCGTATTCCGCCGAGGAGCCTGAGACGCCGGAGGGGCGAAGATTCCATGTCTGGAGTATGACCTCTGACCTTGGTAGGGGATCTTCGATCGTGGAGACGTGTGCGGTATGGGCTGCGGGATTCCTGCTTGCGGAAACTTGGGGGTAGTCGACGCCATCTCGGCCTGCTTGGCCCGGAGCAGGTCTTCGATACGCCGCTCGAGGGTAATTTCAAGTTCCTGCACTCGCCGATTTCCGTCCTGTTCAATACGGGTGCACGTCTCTTTGAGCTCGGAGACTTCGGTCTCAAGGCGACGTATCTTGGCCTTTGATCTCTCCTGTGGGTGCGGAACCTCTGACTCGTCATCGGCCACCTCGGTTGCCGCACGCTTCTTCCCGGTTGAGGGCACGACTCTGTGGTGAGTCTGTCAGTCATCTGCGTGCTAGCTGGGATGAATGTAATCTTACTTTGACTCCGCATACTCTTTCACCAGTGGGACAGATTCGCGCGCGGTTTCCGTTGGGCTGCGAGAGCGAATGCACTGCGGCTTCTCAACAACTTCGGCACCCAGTACATCAGCTTTGTTCGCTGCGTTGGGGTTTCCGCAGGTAGTATGGTTTTGCAATTGAGCACATTGCTCATCCTCGACGGACGGCCGTACGCCCTGCTCACGCCGCTTGCGGTTGCGCTTCGGTTGCACGGGTAGGTTGCGCTCCTCGAACTTAATCTTGTACTCCTTGAAAGGCCGACCTCTTGCACCGTACGCGTACGGTGCGGAAGCTCTACGATCATCCGGCCGCTTGGTGTGCAACATGCTGTGGACCTCAACGGTGGACGCCCGGTCCTCGCGCTTCCATTTCTGGTCTCTGGCGTTTTGGCGAAGGATCTGACGCTTACGGATTGACTGACAGGTCGGACCGCTCTTCCATTCAGTTCGAGCTGCTGGTGGCTCTTTGCATGAAACGCCGGAGGGGCGCCCCTCTGACATCTGTTAAGGCATGTCCGCGTCAGCGCTTTGATTTTAGTAGAATGAAACTGCCAAATACACATAAGGGAGCAGTAGATAACGTACATCAACGCTAGCTAGTGTGCTCTTGTCTAGGCTTTCCGACCAATGAAGCGGCACACTGTTTGGCTCTGAAGCCGCAGTGGTTTTCTTGGGTCTATGAGCGCGAAAATTCTTCTGTCCTGACCTCCGTGGCTGCGGTTTTTCGTTGCGGTTCTTGGGACCTCTTCGTCTCCCGTTCTTGTTCCATGACATGACGGGCCGTGTTGATGTGTCGTATGTAGGAAGATTCAGTTGGTCGCTACCTCGACCGATGTCGAGCGCATACGGTACCGCCTGAGGGACGTAGTCACGGCTTCACTGTCCCTGGAATCCGTCCTAGTTGCTGTTGCCCCTAATATCGGTTGGGAAGCGTATTTCTAGGAGATTCATGTACACGCGGATAAAGCGTTATACGAAACGATGTTGAAATGAGATTCAGAGAAAGAAAAGAAGCGCAGAGGATTGAAATCGTGGGGCGGGCGCTCAGAAATTCACTTCTTACAGGTTTCCCTGCGTTGAGCACAACGCATGAAACCCACACGCTGATCGCGGCTTTAGTCGCGGCCTGCATTGAGCGCACGGAGCTGATCTGTGCAGATGCCGCCGCCCAAGATGAGCCGTATCACATCCGGGAGCTCACATCGGGTTCAATTCTCGTGCTTCCGTTGGCGCGCCAATGTTGAAGCACAGTGCTACTGTGTGTATCCAAGCGAGGTTGGATGGGCACACGGCCGTGCCGGGATCGCACCCGCCCGCTTCGGCTGCCCCAGCAAGCAGCCCGTGGCGCTGTATCCGAGCCGCAATAACTCAAGCATTCAAGCACAAGAGGCTGTTTCCCCTGAAAGCTGGGCGTCGTCCCGCTGCGGTGGCTGGAGCGGCGGTCTGCATCGCCTTGAACTTGAGATGTGACGAGTCATCTCTGCGTCATGCTGAGTGACTTTCGGGAGGTCAGCCTCAAGTATGGTGCATCCAATGTCACCGGGCGGCCCAGATTCAAGCCACTGTGCGAACGGCAGCGCGATGCAGTGATAGCTCTGCTTGAGCGAAACTGCAGAGAGCAAGGGAGGTTAGATTGCCTGGGCTTGGCAGGAGTGCGGGCGGGAGTTCCCGATCTGGGGGAGTCTTGCCAAACCTGGGGCTTGGTCACGTGACCGGCGATCGATACAACATTTCTCGAGGCAAGTTGGAAGGCATGAAGAGGGCTCCATAGGTTTAGCAAATTGGAGAACGCATGACGATTTGCGTTAAAAATTCCTATAACTCTCGTCTTTACTTTCAATACCAGATACTGGGACCACAGTAAACAATGCTGAGGCAGCAGGCGATACCACAAGACAAGATTTTCCTCGTGTGATCCATTGCGGATTACCACATCACGTTCCCGAACCCCTCATACAGCACCGATGCGGAGAAGACTGGATTGGAACGCCGTTTGTTGCTGCTGTTCGGCTTTTACTTGCCTGCGAACTGCTGAGAACAGGACTTTTGCGAGCCTGGCGCTGGTGGCTTATTTCTTCGCTTCGTCAGCGCCTCGACAGATTTCGGCGAGATCTGTTAAGCGTTAACAAGCGCTCGCTAATCAGATCAGGTACATACCAGCTTGAGATCAAGAGCGGCTATACATCCCTTGCCCAGAACCGTCGATTTGTGGTAATTGCAACGAGCGAGACGCTCGATATTTTGCCAGTGCTCGCTTATCATCCCTCTCCGTTCGCACTCCTTAAGCGGCGGCAAATCTTCTCTCAGGTATTCTAGAGGCATGGTGCGGCTACAGTTGCAAGCGCTTCCATGCGTAGACGTCGCGGAGGATTCGTTTACCGTCGGCGTATTGTACGTTGCAGCTTTTCCAGATGAAAGTCTTGCATCTCGGATCGGAGGGCTACCAGCTGAGTCGAGTTCGGGGCGCGGGTCCTTTTCCGTGCTGTTGCCAGCCTGCCGCTGGGGATGGGGTGGCCCCGGTGAAGGACAGGCATTTCGAGAAGGACCTGCCACAGGCGACTGCAGATCAGGAGATCTCGCGTGGCCGCTTTGCGCACCTTCAACCACTGCGGCGCTGCCGGTCTTCCCGGTATCAATTTCTCGACCACGCGGGGAGCTTGTGGCATTGACAAGGAGTGCCAGTGCTGCTTGCATCTCGCTAACTATCTCTGTAAGGCGTGCCAACTGCCTCCGCTCTTTGATCCGCTCACTGAGCTGTGCCCTTTCAAAGTCAACCTCGACGCGGGAGGACTTCCGCTCGTGCATGATTTCCAGGTCGCTATCTTCGTCGTCTTCGGCGCGACGCTTTCGGCGGCGAGGAGAGGTAGGGGATGAGGCCAAACCTTGACTCGGAGAAGACTGTGGAGGCGTTGGAGGCATCGTAATCGCGCGCGGCCTGTTGATCGCCGTGAAATTCCGCACAGCGGCGACACGGCTTTCGGTCCTTGGCACCCGCGTGCTCGTATTATGACCGCGGTGTCTTCGCCGACGATTCGGTGGATTCGTTTTGAACTCCTCAAACATTCTCTCGAACTCCGCGTACGGCCTTCCGTCCCCTTGGAAGGTGTACGGAGCGCGGAAGAACTTGGCTTCGCGCTTGATGTGGCCGCTCGTTTGAATATGCCATAGTTCGCGGTCCGGAAGCCTCTCATTCGCTGGCCAAATCTTGCCCCTCACTGTTATGGAGAGCCGGACACGCTTGCCGCAATCGTCCTGGAGCAGGAATTTGAGCGCGGCGCGATATTGTTCGTCTTGCTCCGAATCGAAACAGACCTCGCATCTACGGCTGGGAAGAATGCCTCTGTCATTCACCGAATCTGCTGTCGCGGTTTCCTCGTCTGATTCAGACTGCTTCGCGTTCCGTCGTCGTCAGAGCACTCTCGATATGGTCAAACGGAACGACTTCAGAAGCCTTACTTCTGAATTACTGCCTAGGTCCACGACCTTTGACGCTTCAACAGCTGCCGAGGACGGCTCGTGTCTCGACCGTGGAGGCAGCGGTAACTCGCCGAGCTCGGGGAAGAATCGAGAATTGAATGATTCAAACGAACATATGGAAGCCATGATAGAGACAAGTAAAGGGCGTGTCGTGACTTGGCCGTCTGCTACGTTATAACCAGATCGTGCTTGCGGATATCAGGCAAGCAAAAAGATTGACGTATAGGGTGATGAAAGGAACAGGTAAACAGAAGACAGGATGTCGAATATCACCAAGACGCGTGAAGTTGTTGTGAGATTGTGCGCAGAGCGCGTTCGCGTCACGTCCGCGCTGCTGTAAGCATCCACGGAAGACCCTTGAAGGGATGAAGCAGGGCCCTCCTGACAAGAGTCATGACAGTTGGGGTGATCCACAAAGACCTGGTACCTGGACAGAGCTGCTAGCAACTGCATGGACCCTACGGACAGGGGATCGACGCCTCCTTGTATGCGGTACTACGCACGACTTCTTGAAACAGGTCCAGCTGAGGAGGGCTAGGAGTGTGCGGCTTGGCTAACGGCAAACGGCTTTGGTACCACATCAGGACTCAGATAGAAGACAGGAAAAAATTCACTTGCGAATATCCAGAGGCCGCTTTCGAGTTCAGGATCCTGGTCTTGCTAACCTAAATCCGTCACAGAGCGTCCACCTCTCCAGACCCGGAAGTGCTGAACCGAATGCTGGGCTCAGATCGCCTGATCTCCGCCTCACAACCTCGATGTGCTTCTCTGCCGACTTCGTCTACTTGTCTCTGCCCAGTTGAGAGCTGTGCAGCCAGCCGCAAACATCCTCCAAACAGCGACTGCGGGTTCTCCGCCCCGTGATCCGCGGTATTGGAGTGCCTTGGCATGGACAGTGCAGAGCGGCCTTCGAGTCGCGAGATTGAGGGCTTGCTGTGGCTGGCCGTAGCAGACCAGCTGCCGGTCCCGAACTGTGCATGCCCGCCTTGCGGCAGCTTCGATCGCTGTTGATCTCCACAACCCCAGATTTGTGGCTTTCCGCCCGAGCAGTCCGCAATTATTGTTGTGAGCTTTTATCCCTCAATAAAGCGACGAAGCTTGACTGTGACAACCGTTTTTAAGAGCGCACGTAACGGCAGCTCAGCGCTGGCACACCAAAGGCCATTGGAAGGCGATGCCATTCGTGCGGTTTGCAAGTCTGATGAGAGAAGACCTTGCGACCATTGCCAAGCCACCGTAAGCGAGCACAGCCTACGGAGGCCGGGACATGACTTCCGCCTCAACTCAAACTTAACGTGTGTTGACCTGTCACATTTTCGAGCGGCATCACCACAATCGACAGCATCTTAGACGAAGCTCCAACGCTTCGGACTCGACTTGTCGATGTGAAGAGTCACTCAAACTGAACCTCAAGAAGAACTGTAGCTTCAGCGATAGCAGCAGAGGCCATGGAAGGACCTCCAGTAGCGCCAGTACTAACGCAACTTCGAGGATGGCTGTAAAGCGGCCCGTCCTCGCAACCGGAGCTATCTCCAGGGCTGTACTATGTGTTGCACAGCTTATGCACAGGCGTCAGTCTCTGTTCCCCAGCCGGGTCCAGTCCAGCATCGTGCTTTGGCCCTCAGCCTTGCCGCCAATCACGACTGGTGTCGTCGAAGCCAGGCAACGAATAAGTACAGCTGCCGCATCATTTCATGCCCTTTCGCAGATCCTGCCGTTTGTCACTGCGCTTACCCTAAGATCCGCGTTCCCCGGGGCACCTGGGACATGCCCCCCCAGCTCGTGGTTACCGCTCAGGAAAGCCGCCTTCGGGCCCATCTTTGGGGCTTCGGTGTCTTTGAAGCACCAAGATGTCAAGAGGTAAGCCCTGGGCTGCGCGGCCGCGGCCACTACGCGTTTTGCACCCAGCCCCTTCTTTCACCGATTTCCATAGAACTGTTCATGTTCTTCCAAACTCTCTTTCGTTCAGATTCTTCAAGCACGCCGTCGAGGTACTCTTCGGTTTGAACGTGCCTTTTGTTGGTGTATATCGTCATGCCTCCATCTCAGACCAGCCGAGCTCGCAGCTCACCCGAGGTCGTGATATCGAACCCGTCTCAACGTGGACGATCTCCGGAGCTTGGGGATATCATATATGAAGACACCAACGACGAACCGGACAGTGCTTCAGATGTAAGCTCATGAGGCCTGCTATCGGCCACTCTGCTAAGGCATGCATCTCCAGATTGAGGACAACTTGCACGGCGACATGTCGGATTCCGACGGCGACAGCGCGGACGACACCGAAACTGCCTGGAAAGAGGTTCTCCCCAATGACGATCTGGACGTTGTCGTCTTCACGCAGAAGTTGTTCAAAAAGCGATTTCCGGTGGAAACCCGGCTTGACGACGATACATTTTTTGCCATATACCTCACCGAACAACAGAGCCGAGCCGATCTGATCCGTTTGGCGCCTCACGCGCATACGAGGGAGGGCAGGTTCAACGCCGATTATCTAAGAAAGCTCAGCCGTTACTGTCAGCGCCAACGCCCCGTAGTCGAGGAGATACCTAGTCGTGCGGGCGGTCAGGGATATCTCCCAGCAGGTCTAGCGTATTCTGCATCCTCAGACGATTCGGTAACAAGCGACGAACCGCACCAGAGAAGTCCGGTTCTCGGCGATGACCTGTTAACGCCGCCAACCTCCTCATTGCCGCGCAAGTGCAATAGCACGGCGAGGAAAAGGCGCCACTCGACCGTCAGGTCAGTATTTCTGCAAATGCGTGCCTACGGCTCACTAACCTACGCCGAAAGTCTTCCCCCACTTCAATTCTCATCACCGAAGCGACCATGCCACGGCAGAAAGACCGAGGCTATCTCCTCTGTCGCTACCCCTTCAGATACACTGTTCCAAATACAACAAATGAAAGCCACCCTCGCGGCGTTGGAGAGCGAACTCCTTCTCCGTTCCGACGACACCTCAAGCCAATGGCGGCAAAACAATCCTTCGAAGCAGCCGGTGCGTCAGCCTTCTTTCAACACGGGAACGAAGGCCGGACCATCCAGATATCGGGAATTCGACAGTGTCGGAGCACCTTCGAGCCCTCCAAGGATGGAGGATGACATGGTCTTTCTGGGCTCAGACGTCCTCAACGGCCCCGCAATCGCTCATGGGTTGCCGTCCGTCAGCTCAGACGCCAGCTTCTGGCTGTCAGAAGGGGACGTCAGGCCGAAAGACCAGAGTTCCCGCATGGGAGAGGATTTAGCGTAGAATCACCGCCGTATTCGGTCACAGACACGCGCTGACAACGTCGCAGACCGTATGACTTCGGGGCCGCACCCTACCATTCGTGTACCCTTCATGAGCTGCTCGCTAACGAAACTCCGGAAGGGAAGGCTAACCGGTTGGTGGAGATGTTCGGAGGAGCGGAGGAGGAAGACGACTAGGAGTATTAAGGGGATGGTTCGGGACTCGTGTGAGCGGTCAAACGCTAGGGCGAGGAGCGGGAAGCTTTAGTGGGATGGTGCTGCGTCATAGCTGTCTCTAATGCTGTCGGTTCATTATACGCCCCTATCACGCTGGCCGGAAAACCCAGTCATCTGCCTTTAGATAGCACAGCATATAGATAACAGTGACGATCTGGCTCCCCAGCAAGCGTCACCGCGTGCTTCACACTGATCACCGCCGTAAGCGTGATGCCAGCTCTTAGTTCGCTGCACATGTCACAGCCGTGTCAAACCAGACGAAGCCGTCCCAAAAACACGGCTCGACTCGTGAGCCTGCCGACACCACAGACAGCTTCCAGTCCGAGCCCGATACCACGTTGCGACACCTGCAGCGAGTCCGCCGCGCCTGGTGTTGGCACCAAGAGTCCTTCGTGCGCGTCACGTAGATCGCGCCGAACGGCCATGGTAGACCCAACAACCCTCCGCAACTCCACGAAGGATACGCTCGATTCTGTTGCCGGGCCGTTCAAGCCCCGGTTGCCTTGTTGCAGCCTCCTTCCACACCGGCCCGCGCGGGTGGTCTTCCCAAAGCTCACGATTCCACCTGCGGCGTTCTACGCAAAGTGCTGCTATTACCGCATTTGGACGTGAAGGGTGGAAGCCGCCCGATGCCTCATTGCCATGCCGCAACGATCTACTCGACGGCCAACCGTTGCAAGGCCGATGTCTGGGCGCAACGCCTTTGTCGGTGTCTCGGCTACGCTCCACCGGACGCAGACGCCTTTGTTGGGGCCATGGGCCTGGATATGCTCATCCGAAGCACCGGCGGCTTACTCCTCAGCGAGGCACGTGAAGAACCCAACCCTCTCAGAATCCAGCGCTTGCCTGTCAGGAGCCAAGCCTGCTCAGGTTGCGCATAGCGCCGACGGACTGCTAGTCCTGCATCTCCACCTGCGACATTGCTCAACGCCCTCAGCTCTCGGTCTCTCGGAATCTCACGCCGGTCGGGCGCCCTCTATACGGAGTCTCTGTTGTCACGATCGAGTCTCTGCTGTCACGACCCATCTCACTCCGCGACTGCATCGGCTGCAGCAAGCGCAACAGGCACATGCAAGCCGACACACCCGCCCACGACACCAATCCACAGGCGCAGGTACTGCGCCGGAGTAACTCGAGGCCGCTCCTGCTGCGCCTCTGGCCGTGCATCTGGCCGTGCATCTGCCCGCTCGCTGAGCCCATCTTCTGACTGCTCCGTTGGCTGAGGTCTTGGCTGATGTTCTGGCTGTGCCTTTGATTGTGCTGACGGGAGCGCTGCCTGCAGCGCCTCGGCCGTGTTGCACGGGTGGACGAAGAAGACGGGATACGAGGTTATCGGGTGGTGCTGCTCACCGACGACGCGTTAGCTTCCAGCTCCAACGCTGCGTGGCGTAGTGTAGCATGTCGTAGCTGAAGGGGAGGGAGGGGATGCGCAACACGTACGCACATCGAGATGCCCCCCACGACGCCTACCCGTTGCAGTTGCGAGGCGTATGCTTGCGGGACTAGCAGATCGTAGAGGGCGTCGAGGGAGGTGATCGGGTGGTTGCTGGATGGCGTTTTGGTGGAGATGGAGATGTGGAGGACGGGAACGAGATAGGTTTGGGAGAGGGCGATGTCGTACTGGACGACGACTGTCCCTGCGGACGGCGTTCCTGACGAAAATGCTATCGCAGGTGTCCAAACTTCATCGTCGTGCTCCTCGACCTCGTCGTCGTCGGAGGGGATCTCGCTGGAGCCGTCTGGCGAGGGCTCATTGCTGCCACTGCTGGGCCTTACGGTCCTGGTGATGCGCAAGATCGCAGCTTCATCCTTGCTGGCTTCAGAGCGGGTCTTTCAAGATGCGTACGCCGCGACCTACGCTTTCGAGCAGTCGCACAGACTCCCAGTCGTGCTGGCGATGCCCGTTCTGCTTGAACGCTTCAACCAAACTGACTGCTGCCAGCTGGAACTCTGCGGGGTCAATGAAGGGGAAGCCGGTGATGGCAACGGGCTCTGCATCTGGAGTCGTCCTCTCGCCGCGCACACCATCCTCATTGTGAGGCATGCTGCTGTCAAGCAATGGAGCTGCCCGCGGTGGTGATGGGTACCTTGGTACGTTTCACGTGAGGGGCAGGGCTGCCTGAAAATGGACTCAGCCCGGGCCACACCTCCGCGAACATTGGACGAGCTGCCTCACTCCCTCACAGCTGCGTCGCACCGCAACTCTCACCCAATCTCACCCCTCTCGCCAATTTCCCCAATTCCACCTCCTTCCGCGTTCCGGGACTACACTCTCTGCCTGGCGAGCAGCGACAACCGCAAACCTCCGCCTCGCACCTTCCATCCCCGCAATGCCGGCCAAGCCGGAGAAAAGCAGCCTGAAGCGCGCGCCGGTATGCCAAGCTTCGTCGTTTCTGCCTCAGATCTGACACAACCGCTAACCCGGCGCTCAATGGCAGCCTACGGCAGACGAGGAGACGGAGCTGAAGAAGCCGCGTCGCTCGCAGCGCCTCTCAGACGCGAACGGACCCAAGACCACCACCAACAACCAGCAGCAGCTGCCCTCACCCGTCACACACAAGGACTCGACGGCGACTGAAGACATCAAAGAAGGCACCGTCAGCCCCTCTCTCGAACGACCGAGCCAGCGGAACGGTCTCCCTCCACACTTCCCGAGTTCTCCGAATGCCGCGGGACTTTCGTCACCACCCTCCGACACGCAGCCCTATTCCCAATTCGTCTACCCACCCCAAGCCCAGATCTACGGCGTCGAGGATGAGGAGGCCGAGGGCGTGTGGGGGTATCTTGTGCCTATCGACAGCAAGTCCGGGGACGCCATGGTGCTGAAGCGGCGGAGCGCGTGTCCGGTGCCGACGACCATGCTCGGTGCCAAGAGCGGGAAGCAGCGGGTGGGAAAGAAGACGTACCAGGAGCAGGAGTGGGAGTACGAGAAGCAGAAGCAGCTGAACGGCATCTCGGCTGGGGGCTATCTCATAGGGCGGCATCCCGAGTGTGGTGTGTATTTTCAAGCTCCGTCACGCACTTATCCTTGCACCGAACGCTAAGGTGCCCGAAACTCTGAGAGATCATTGGGTCTAAAGGGACCGAGTTTCATGAGTGACAGCTTGTCGTGGACACAACGCTGACACCCACAGACCGCATCATCAACAGCCCCGTCGTCTCGAACCGGCACTGCCTCATCTTCAACGAGAACAAGTTCGGCGACACCATCGCCGTCCTCGAGGACCTCTCCGGCAACGGCACCTTCGTCAACGACTCGCTCGTCGGGCGGAACAAGCGCCGCGAGCTGTGCGACGGCGACGCCATCTCCATCCTCGACGAGGCCCGCTTCGTCTTCCACTACCCGCACTCCCGCAACTCCAACGGCTTCCGCCAGCAGTACAGCATCCAGGAGCAGCTGGGCAAGGGCCACTTCGCGAGCGTGTACCTGTGCGTCGAGCGGAGCACGGGGCTGCGGTATGCGGTCAAGAAGTTTGAGAAGCGCGCGGGGCCGGGCGAGCGGAGCAAGGTGGACGGGCTGCAGCAGGAGATTGCGGTGCTGATGGGCGTGAGCCATCCAGGCCTGCTGTGTCTGAAGGACACGTTCGACGAGGACGACGGGGTGTATCTGGTGCTGGAGCTGGCGCCCGAGGGCGAGCTGTTCAACTGGATCGTCACGAAGCAGAAGCTGAGCGAGTGCGAGACGCGGAAGGTGTTCGTGCAGCTGTTCCAGGCGGTCAAGTATCTGGTGGGTTTGTCTTCGCGGGCGCTGTTTTGTCACGTGCTGACGGGTGCTGCGCAGCACGAGCGGAACATTGTCCATCGCGACATCAAGCCCGAGAACATCTTGCTCATCGACAAGGAGCTGACGATCAAGGTCGCGGACTTTGGCCTTGCGAAGATTATTGGCGAGGAGTCCTTCACCACCACACTGTAAGCATCGTGTTGTCTCACGCCTGTCGATACTTCTGCTGACACGTTTGTCCTGCAGATGCGGCACACCAAGCTGTAAGTAACCTAGCGAATCCACTACATGAACCTTGGGTTTCTTCAACAGACCCCCGCTTGTACACAACTACATCACATACAGCTCGCTAACAATTCCAGACGTCGCCCCCGAGATCCTCGAACCCACCAACCACCGCCGCTACACCCGCGCCGTCGACGTCTGGTCCCTAGGCGTCGTCCTCTACATCTGCCTGTGCGGCTTCCCGCCCTTCAGCGACGAGCTCTACACGCCCTCGAACCCGTACACCCTGTCCCAGCAGATAAAGATGGGCCGCTTCGACTACCCGTCACCCTACTGGGACCCCATCGGCGACGCCGCGCTCGACCTCATCGACCGCATGTTGACGGTGGACGTGGAGCGGCGGATCAGCATCGAGGAGTGTCTCGAGCACCCCTGGATCACGAACCGGGCGGAGGAGCTGCCGGCCTACGCCGCCAAGATGGGCGGGTACGGCGGCGCGGCCGCCGCGACGGACAGCACCGACGGCCTCGTCGGCCGGCTCGGCGAGCTGGACTTCGAGAAGCGCAAGGTGCGCCGCGAACGCACGCTGCTGAGCCAGCTGAACGAGGTGCGCGTCGCGCGCGTCGTCGACGTCGACGGCGCGGGCGACGGGCGAGTCGGAGATCGCGGCGGCGGACCGGGCGGACCAGGCGCACGAGGCGGGCAGGGCGAAGACGGCACCCATCTCGCCGTCAACGGGAACCAGATGAGGACGGCGACCGCGCCGGTGAAGGTGTGGGAGAAGAATCCCAAGCTGCCCACGAAGGCGCAGAACGGCGAGACGGAGGCGAAGAAGCAGATGCTGAAGGAGGCGGAGGCAGAAGCGGATCCGGCGGCCGCGAGGAACCCGACCGAGTTCATGGGCATGGGCGGGAAGGGGGACGTGCTGCTTTTCGGGGACGAGGGGAGCGTGTACTCTGCGAAGACGGTTAGGGCGAAGCCGGTTGAGGATGGGGTCGGGGATGGGGAGAAGAGCTGAGGGTGGTGGCTGAGGGTAGCGGGTGAGGGCAAGGGCCGGGCCTTCTGGAAGAGTGAAATGGGACGGCTGTGTGGGAGGCTACATGGTTCGGGTCGTTGGCTATGTCGCTTGCACGCCTTGATCGCATCGGTGCTCACGCACTGTGCTTCCTGTGCTCTCTGCCAGGCAGGCAAGGACGGCGCTTGGCTTGGCTTGAGTCGTGGGCTCGTCTTCTTGCTCTCCCGCTCTCATGCGCGCTGTTCAGGACCATGGGCGCATCAAGGGCGTCGAGGCGCAGCATGGGGCACCCAGCGCGCGCGGGGTTTCCTTTCACGGTTAACTTACTTGTTGCTACTTTAGACGGGCAGCGTCGTCTACGCGATGCCGCGGCGGGATTCTGTCGGGCTCTACGGAAAAGCGGGATTGGCTCTTCCTTGGCTCGGTACGTGGATTAGGTATGGAAGAACAAATTCAGCAGTTCAATCTGGCCTCAATGGACGTGATGGTTTTGTCTGCTCGGTTGATAGAGATGCTAAGGAATGTGAGCCTCTCCTTGACATCTTCGAGAGAGTTCATCGTGGCATATGATTGGCCGCTCGAGCCTCTGTTTCTGCCGCTTGAACTAAATAAGAGGATTTTGCAGATGCGACCGCATGTACAAATCCAAGCCGAGAACAGCAAACCTCAAGACTGAGACTGACCTCCAAAGAGCGCCCGGAAGGTGACGCTCCTTGACTTGAAGCCACAATAGAGACAGCTGCCAATGGCATCCGCTGAGAGCTGCAAGCCCCCAGCGCGCGAGTAGTTCTCGGTGCGGGTGGCGTTGGTGTTTCGCAGTAGCAAATAGCAACCTAGAAGTATATCAGAATATGCAATCAGATCAAAGCCGATGTGGCATTTTCTACCTTTGTGGCGCAGCGAAGCGCAACTAGCCGCGCAGCCTCCTGCAGATTGTCAGAAGGCTGCTGTGCGGTGCGTTTCAGCTCGGTGCGTGTTTTGCCCTTTCCGCTTGCCTCCCCTTTTCTCGTGGGAGATACCGCACGGGGAAGTCTTTAGCGCGGTTCCAAGACGAGGGCTCCTCTTCAATGCCCGCCTCACTCCGAATCCGACTCCTCCATCATAGCCTCGTCCTCGTCCTCCTCTTCCATCGGCGCGCCCTCTTCGTCGCTCTCGTCTTCCCGCCCTCGCTTCACGCCGTGCGGAGCCGCTGAATCCGCCGCTGCAGCTGCAGGCGCCGCAGACGCAGCTGGCGGTGCAGCCGTCCCCGCCTTCGCTTGCCCGTTCGCCTGCGCGGGTTTCGCCGCCTCAGCCGACCGCGCCTGAGCCGGTGCGGTTGCCGGTGCCGTAGTGGTTGATGCGGCAGCAGCAGAGGGCGGCGCGTTGAAGATGGATTGCTGGACTTCGGAGGACGTGGCCGTGGTTTTCACGTCGGGGATCTTGAAGGTGCCGTCGAGCTTAGCGATGGTGTCGGATTTGCCTTTTGCGTAGGCGATTTTCTGGCGAGGCGGGGCGTTAGCGGGCGTGTTGGCGGGGTGGTGGGAATGGTTCCTCGTGCTGTGGGGGAGCTGGGGGACGAGAGGGGACGAGAGGGGATTGTGGAAAGAAGCGGACGAGGAGGAGCGGAATCCCAACCCACCATCTCCTTTCCGAAGAACTCCCACCCCTGCAGCTGCCTCATCGCCTGGCTCGCCGCCTGTACATCCCGAAACACGACGTGCGCCTGTCCGCGCATCTTGCTCGTCTTCAGCGCTACGACGTCGAGCACAGGCCCGTAGGTGCTGAACAGCATGTAGAGCGCGCGGCGGAGGTCGGGCTTCTGCAGCTTGTCGGGGAGGTTTGAGAGATAGAGGCTGCGCAGAAAGCAAGCTTAGTGCCATGGAGAGAGAGGAGGGACGTGAAGGGGAGACGTACGTTTGGTTCGGGGGGTTGCCTGGGGGAGCTTTTGCGGGTGGTGCGGAGCGCGCTGGCATTACTCTGGTCGCCATTGAAGGAGCAGTCACAAAAGCGACCGAGTGAGCGTCTGGTAGATGGTGTGGAAGGTGTTCTAGGCCGTGATTGTTGTCTTGAGATGTTAGAGTTGTTCCTATCTCATTTGAAGCTTCTGCCGTGTTTCGATCTCGAGCTTCATCATCGCCGAAATCTTGGCTCGCCGGAGTTTGCCCGTCACATCCCCCACTTCAAGCTGCTCCACCATCCACGTCTCCTTTCTCCACAGCATCACGAAGCAACAGTAGAGATCCCTCCCCTCCTGTTGCCCACCATGGCCCCTCCTGAAGTCCACCACCTCTTCCACGCCCCCATCGCCGACCACTCCTTCTCCGCCGACCGTCAAACCCTCGCCGTTGCCCGCGACAGCAACGTCGAGCTGTACGCGAAATCAGGCAACAAGCTCGTGCTGCAGGATGAGCTGAAGGGGCACGACAAGACCGTCACGGGCGTGGATATCGCGCCGGGGAGTGGGAGGATTGTCACGTGTTCGCAGGGTATGCCAGCAGCTTCAGGGTGCCTGGCATCTCTCGATCCCCCATCTACTTGACGGAGCGCTTCGAAGAGCATGCTAAAAGCATAACGAACGGACGCTGACCACCAACCACAGACCGCAACGCCTACGTCTGGGAGCCCACGGGCCCCTCCAACGCCTGGAAGCCGACCCTCGTGCTCCTCCGCATCAACCGCGCCGCGACCTCCGTGCGCTGGTCGCCCTCGGAAACGAAATTCGCCGTCGGCTCCGGCGCCCGCACCATCGCCGTCTGCTACTTCGAGTCCGAGAACGACTGGTGGGTCTCCAAGCACCTGAAGAAGCCGATTCGGTCCACGGTCACGAGTGTGGCCTGGCATCCGAACTCCGTGCTGCTGGGCGCGGGGAGCACGGACGGGCATGCGCGCGTGTTTTCGGGGTTCGTCAAGGGGGTCGATGAGAGGCCTGGGCCGAGCGTTTGGGGGGAGAAGCTGCCGTTCAATACGGTGTGTGGGGAGTATCTGAACAACACGGCGGGATGGGTTCATGACGTCGCGTTTTCGCCGTCGGGCGATGCGCTGGCGTTCGCGAGCCATGACAGCAGCGTCACGGTCGTGTATCCGGCCGGTCCCGATCAGGCGCCCAGGGCTGTGGTCAGCGTGAGCACGCAGCTGCTGCCGTTTGTGAGTCTGATCTGGAGCAGCGAGAGCGAGATCATTGCCGCAGGATACGTGAGTCACCCCATCAGTCAATCCGAGATGTAGCGAGCGGTCTAGCTGACATCGCCAGGACTGCGAGGCGTACCGCCTCCAGGGCAGCGAGCAGGGATGGGCAATCGCGGGCTCGATCGAGTCGGCCGGCCGGCCTGGGCTGAAGGATCAGAGGGAGGAGAGCGCGCTCAACATGTTCAGGCAGATGGACCTGAAGGGCAAGTCCAGGGATGACACGCAGCTCAAGACCGTGCATCAGAACACCATCAGCACTGTGCGGAGCTATGCGGAGGGCGGGGACGGGGTGAGGCAGTTCAGCAGTAAGTCAGCGTCTTTGAGAGGTGTGGTTGCAGTGACATGGAAGCTGACTCTGTTGCAGCGAGCGGTGTTGATGGGAGAGTCGTCGTCTGGACGCTGTGAGAAATGCCCGGGAAGCGGGGAGTAGTGCGCAGCAGCTTTGGAATCGAGAAAGCGAATTGTCCCAACACCTTTAGACATGCTCTAGATTGCATGCAGCGCTGACGTTGATTTCATGTCTCATGTGTGGTATTGATGAGGCCGCTTCTGTGCAGTGATTGTCGGAATCGACCCTTCACCACAGTGCCTGCGGGCTTCTTCCCGCACCAACCCTACGAAGCCTGCCGCCATCGCGTACAAACTTAAAGATCTATCAAAAGCCCTGCTGCACTCTACAGTATCTTGACGTCACCCTCCAGCTACAACCGCGGAACCGCGGCAGAGGTACCGGTGATGTATGAGGGGAGAGGTTCTCCCGGAGCTAGCAAGGCGTCACGGTTCAGCAATCGTCGTTGCCGCTCAAAATCCTTTCTTGGAGCCGAGGGTTCTTCGAAGGCTCCAACCACGGTGAGGTATGAGAGTATGGAAGACTCTCTGATAGCAGGAGTAGCTGATTCCTGGAGGACGGCGGATTGCGTGGATCCTGCCCTACGGCCTGGACAGGAGCTTGGGGGTGCTGGCGTAGCTGGAATGGTCGGGGTCGAGGCAACCGGAGTGTTGACTCGTCCACGTGATTCTGATCCTTCCGGGGATCCTCTGGGAGTCGGTTCGGTGCCTCGCTCCCAAGTCAGGTAGGATTGGAAGTCTTCGATGAACTAGGCGGCGTTCCGAAACTGGCGCAGGGCAAGGATGGTGAAGTGCTTGGTGTTGATGGAAGTACTTATACGCAGGCAGCATCCAAGTCGGCGTTCCGCTACAGCGTGGATGCAATCGCTACGATTCAGATCAACCACCCAGATCCACGCATAGAAAAAGTTACCTGAACGACAGAGGTTGCCAGACTCCTGAACTACGACACCGCGTCCGCCATTGACATACAGCTCCATTATGTGCATAAAAGTTGTCCGTTATGGAATTTGTTTTCCAGAGAGACGCGAGGATATCGCGAACCGCAAACACACGCTTTTAGTAGACGCCTCGACATGATGTTGACCTGTGTGCAACTATACAGAGACCATCCGAATCGACGATTCCCCAGAGTATCCGTTATACAAAACACCAAACCCCTCAAAACACGATCACATGCGAGTAACCACCAACGTTCGCATCAGCACAGCCACCCTCGGAAAAAATACTTGACATTGACGACCAAGGCCACCTTTGCCCGTTGCAAAAGCGGCGGGCGGAGCTCCCCAGCCCTGCGCCACGCATCCCTCCCGAGATCGGAAACCCCCCGCCCATACACCGACAGCTCGTGGCCGTGCGGCCCAGCCAGCTGACCAAAGCACCTCGCACCTAGGACGTCGTTCCGAAACATCAAGTCGTCCCGCCGCCGCGAGCGCTGCGCCACGGCATCGATGACGAGGTCGCGCTCGAGGACGAGCCGGTTCGCGAGGGTGTCGAGGTCGCGGAGGGTGAAGCGGTCGAGCGGTGGAGCATGGATATGCCGCGTCCGGTCATTGCAGCTGTCAGACGAAACAAGCGGAGCAGAGTCATGTGTGTAGATCAGTGGGATCGCAAGGGCGAGAGTCGGCTGGACGACATAGTGGTGGAAGTGCTCGACGTGTACGACATCTCCCCTGGACGCAGTGTCCCAGTTGTTTTCAACGCGCGCACGAAGCTGCTTCTCGATGCGTGCGAGCCGGATCCAGTGGCGCCGTTCGTGACTGGGCAGTGTGTTGGGCGTTCCGAGACGGTGGTCGGGGGAGAGGACGCGGGTGAGAAAGTCGCGCAGACGCGCTTTGGCATTGGCGTTGGCGCCGAAGGCAGAAGTCTCCGAGTCCAGCAAGCTCCGTCTCCTGGTACGGTGGCGGGGCGGCTTCGTCGTCCGTTGGTTGTTGCGTCGGAGTGTAGACGGCTGATGGCCCGGGTGGGTCAAGACGCCGATGATATAACGTGGCGTTAGGATGAAATTCCAAAAAAGTGGGTTCTCGCAAGGTGTGATGTTTTCCCGCCATGGACTGCTCAGACACTTTTCGCGTTCTTCATCGCCCCTCTCTCCTCCACTAATCTTGCCATCTTCAGCCCATCCTCAGTCTCGAGCGATTCAAACCCTTTCACAACTCCTTCGCGATCTTCCTCGCCCATCTCCTGACTCATTTTGAACTTCCCCTCCAGTCGGTGAATGTCGATCTCGATTCCGATGATGGCCTTTTTGAGCAGGTCGATGTACGTTGCCGGTGCATCGCTGACTTGCCAGGCCGACGGATTCTCCCCGCCCGTGTGATGCATGATACGCTCCTCGGATTGTCCGGTGAGGTCGCTTATCTGCTTCTGGAGGAACGAGGTTGTATCCGGATCACGGGAATCGAAGAAGATCTTCGCGCGGCCATATGCTTGTACTGCGGAGTAGTTCCACGTGGGCACCACCTTCCCAGTGGCTGGCTTCGTCTTGACGTAGAATTTCGGCGTGACGTAGGAGTGGGCTGGGCCGGTGAAGAGCACGGAGACCTCTTGCTCGAGAGTGCCGTTCGAGTGCGTCGAGCTTTTGACCGCCTCAACAAGGGCTTTGGAATGAGGATTTGCCCTCGCCAAGTGTCCGCGCAGTTTTCCAACCTCTGTGTCTTTGTCCTCGTTGATTGCGTCCAGTACCCAGGGAATGTGACTGCATTGTATAGTGGGGAAGTTCGGAGACTGCAGAGCCGTAACGAGAATGCCAAGTGGGTTTTCTCTGATGAAGTCGCGAAGCACATTGATGTTCAGTTCAGCGTGAACAGCGCGTAGATACATGATGGAAATTCTAGAGCAGTTAACAAGCGTAGGATGTGAAAATGAAGATAGACACGGGTGTTCCAATGTTCAACGGTCTTGCCTTGCGAAGACAATCGAATCTCTCGTATATATATGAATTTTCTCGATCGGGGAGCCCCGCGGACGGCAAACGGCCGGCTGTACTTGCTTCATTTGGCAAGAGGGGCATGTGGGGTCTTAAAATTACATAGGGCGTAATGCAACAACTCGCGCTTTGACCAATCATATCCACAGTTTAGTCTGGCTTCTGACGTCGTAATTGACTCCCCTTGTCCGCAATAAACACACGAGGCATCGACTTCTTCCATGGGAAAATGTCCTCATAGTTCTACTGTTCGACAACCCGAATTCCTTGCTGGGATTTGACGCTGCACACCTCAAAAGCTCTGGGGAAATGGATTCTGTAGAGGAAATGCAGAGCAAGATCAATGGGGAGATGCCAACGGTACAAGGAGCGAAGATGAGTGAGGAATATGCGCTTGCGACGCTGGCGATCCACGCAGACGATGCTGTCAACGTCCTCACAGATGTTGCGCCGCCCATGCATGTTAGCACGACGTTCAGGTACAACAACTCGGCTCTGAATCCGGTGGGGGATGACGAGGTCGGTTTTCACATCTCCCAAAGCATTGATCTATACTGATTAAAATCCAGCTCGACCCGATCGGAAACGTCCACGTCTACTCTCGCCTCGCTGGGCCGAACACAACACGCTTCGAAGCTATACTATCCGCTCTCCTTGGTGGCTACGCCATCACCTACTCCAGCGGCCTGGGTGCCTTCCACGCCATGCTCGTTTTTCTGAGGCCGAAGGTCATAGCCATCTCAGATGGATACCATGGGTGTCACGGTGTGGTTGCGATACTGCAGAAGCTGTACGGGTTGAAGAAGGTCAGTCTGTGGGACGAGAAGGAGTGGGACGAGGCAGGCCTTGGACCAGGAGATGTTGTACACGTGGAGACGCCGCTGAATCCGACCGGGGAGGCCATCAATCTGGAATACTTCAGAGAGAAGGCGAGACGGAGGGGCGCATATTTGACGGTGGATTCGACGTTTGCCCCGCCGCCTTTGCAGAATCCGTTCGTGCAGGGCGTGGATATCATCATGCATTCAGGGACGAAATACTTTGGCGGGCATAGCGATATGCTGTGCGGAGTTTTGGTGGTGCGGAAAGAGAAGAAGGACTGGCTGAGCGGGCTTTGGAATGAGAGGATGTATATTGGCGGCGTGACTGGAAGCCTGGAAAGCTGGCTGGGCGTTCGGAGTCTCAGGACCTTCGACCTTCGGCTAGGCCGGCAAAGCAAGAATTGCGAGCTCATAGTCCGGTGGCTAGATTCCTGCCTCAAGGGCACGGGAGGAGACGCGGAGGCTGTCCAAAAGACAGTGGACCGGATACAGCACGCCTCTCTGCAGACAAAGGACATGGAATGGATCAAGAGACAGATGCCGGGAGGCTTTGGTCCTGTCTTTACAATCTGGATGAAGAACAAGAATTTGGCAAAGGCATTACCCGGGAAGTTGAAGCTGTTCCATCATGCGACTAGCCTGGGAGGAGTAGAGAGCCTGATTGAGTGGAGGAGAATGAGCGATGACACTGTTGATGAGAGGGTAGAGAGGGTTAGCGTCGGGGTGGAGAATTGGGAGGATTTAAGGGATGATCTGTTAAATGCATTTAAGGAGCTCGCGAGAACTGTGTAATAGGAATAAACCCTGTCCAGGACTAAGTCGACTGGACGGCTGAACATTCGCTACCTAAAGCTTTTTTCTTTCGGATTCGGAGTACCGGTTTATATAATCAGTATCTTCTAACCACTTCTGCCGCTGAAGTCTGCCCACCAGGCTCTCCACTGGGGATTGATGCCATCGCCCACACAATATGCCGCCAACCACTCGAGCACCGTCTGCTGAGCAAAACAGCCACATCGTCAAGCTGGACGACCGTGGCACGGTTAGACGACGAGCGGCCTTCTATCTGGAAAGCGCTGCAATGCCGAGAAGACGATGCGCACGTCTTGACCTCGCCCAGTAAGTCCTGGGTCGTCTGTGGTGCGTCGCGCACTTGGCCAAGCACGCCGGTCACTGTGTATGCTTAGAGGGTCCATGCGAACTTAAATAGAAGATTTTCTTAACGAAGGCGGGGAATATCAACGGAATAATTGTGACTGGGGACTGGGAGAACGCTGCATGCGTTCAGCTCCCATTGCATCATCCAGCTGGAGTACAGAGACTCAGAGTTCGCCAAAAAAGATATTCTGCATGTGCACTTGATTCCGTAGCCCAGCTTTCGGGCCACTCAGGCATCATCGCGGCTATAGTAGGGCATTACTGTCGGTTTCAAAATGTGCGGCCGTTTGGATGGACTTCATCCCACACCCCCCCCCCCCCCTCCTCGATTGTCAAAGACCAAAACCACCTTTGCACAACATTTACACAACGATTCAACGCTTAGGATATAACTTTATACTCTTAAAAGATGTAGCACAGCTACAGCTATCTAATAGTTAACAGATTATTAGCTATATGGTGTTGCTACTCTTCTTAGTCTCTAAAGTATGCGATTTTGTGGTACACTTAATTTCCTTTGAAAGTCCGCACGCCGCTACTCACGCATGTAGGTAGCAGCGTGTAAGAAGCTTATTCAACCACGTATCCCTTAAGATATATCTAGATAAAGACTAATATAGATAGGTATAGCCATAAGGAAGATACTTAAATGTGTTTAACTAAGGTAGAAGCATTGCGTATGCTCTATGGAGTGATAAGCCTTAGAGGGGGGGGGGTTGGATGAAGTTCGTTTCCAAACGGCCGCACATTTTGAAACCGACAGTATCGCAGCGCGGCTTGGGGGGTTAAGACAGGCCACCGGCCAAGGTGGCCTTGAGGTCAGAATCCGGCTGATGGCTGCACACGGTTTCAACGCCAACATGCTTGTCGCCGCCAACATGCGCCGTCGCGTCCTGAATGGAAGTGAACAGTTTGCGACGTTCTACGGAAGAGCGTTTGATATTGCCTCTTTGGGAAGTGTACCTGAGAATTGGCGTCATCCCGGGCGGTGAGTGAGTTCTGCCTTGTGACTCAGGCGAGCTTCACTTTTTTGCTTCAGACTTCGATCACGTACTCAACAACCAATCGGCACCCAATTGCTGTAGAGATTGGATCGTTCAGTTACTATTATCGGCCCAAGTGTTTGATCTCGCGTCACTGCAAAAAGAACGCCCGACTTTGCACATCCTGCAAGCTCTCTCTCACAATGGCGCCGAAAACAGTGCTCCACCTCCGCGCAGAAACCAAACCCCTCGAACACCGCAGCGCCCTCACTCCCACCACCGCCAAAGCCCTCCTCGACACCGGCGACTACGCCATCAACGTCGAGCGCACCCCCGACAAGCCCGCCCGCATCTTCGCCGACTCCGAGTTTGCCGACGTCGGCTGCGAACTCGTTCCCACCGGCTCCTGGGTAGACGCCCCTCACGACCACATCATCGTCGGCCTGAAGGAGCTCCCCGAAGACAGCTTCCCGCTCTCCCACACCTTCGTCCAGTTCGCGCATGTTTTTAAGCGGCAGACCGGGTGGGCGGACTGGCTGCGGCGATGGCGACGCGGGGGTGGGACGCTGCTCGATCTAGAGTTCTTGACCGATGAGCAGGGGAGGCGGGTCGCGGCGTTCGGATACCACGCTGGCTTCGCGGGCGCGGCGTTGGCGCTGAAGAACTGGAGCTGGCAGCTGCTGCATCCTGGTGATGAGATGCCGGGCGTGGAGACTTTTACGGAGGGGAGGGGTTACTACACCAACGAGGACGAGTTGGTGAGCCAGGTGCGCGAGGATGTGGAAAAGGCGGTGCAAGCAGGCCACACGCCACCACAGACCATTGTGATCGGCGCGCTGGGACGGTGTGGGCGGGGTGCAGTGGACATGCTCAAGAAGGCCGGGCTGGAGGACAGCCAGATCCTGAAATGGGACATCCAAGAAACGAGCGCGAAGTCCGGACCCTACGCCGAGATCATAGGGAGCGACATCTTCATCAACACAATCTACCTGATGAGCAAGATCCCGCCGTTCGTGAGCATGGAGAGCCTGCGCGAGGCCGGCGAGAAGAGGCGGCTGAGCGTCGTGTGTGATGTCAGCTGTGATCCGAATAGTGAGAACAACCCGGTGCCGATCTACAGCGAGTGGACGACGTTTGAGAAGCCGACGGTGGCGGTGCCGGTGGAGCAGGGACCGCCATTGAGCGTTATCAGCATAGATCATTTGCCCAGTGAGTATCCCTTTTTCCTGCGTCCGTCTTGAGCGGTCAGGCGTGCCAGCGCCAAGCCGCTCAAGTATGCCAGCGTCAAGCGTCTCAGGGCTATCTAAAGTCGCCTATGATTAGACAGACGAGACTGACATTTTCGTCCCAGGTCTTCTTCCCCGCGAAGCAAGCGAAGCATTCTCATCCGCGCTGCTACCGAGCTTGATGCAGCTCAGGAACAGGAAGGAAGCCAGGGTGTGGCAGGAGGCGGAGAAGCTGTTCCACGACAAGGTCGCCGAGATACCAGAAGAGGGCGCGGACGGCTCTTGAAGTGGTAAAAGCAGTGAATGGATCTGGCCGGGGTGGCTCCATCCGTTCCACCAGGGCACCGCTCGAGCGCTTCAGCTTAGCGGGCTTCGTGGCATGACTTAGATGATGGGATGAACGGTGTGGAAGGCTTGCGCGGCTGGTAATTTCACGAAGGCTTTGTCCGAAATTTGGGATAGACTGCATAGTCGTATAGATTACGCTTGGAATGTTGAAGAATCTTTTAATGCCTCTGCACCTTCCATATGGCTCCCGAGTATCTTCAGAAGGTACGAACGACACAACTGGGCACGATCCTGCTGTTTCTACTGCGACGCGACTCGTCCCCCGTTGCTCTTGCTCACCACCAAGTCTCAGCTCAGCAAAGGGTGTGGTAGCTCACGTGATTTGCGGCATCGAGTGCTGCCAATCGGAGATTTCTGTGTCTTTACCAACACCCGAAACTTCAATCAGAATAGTACCTAGGTTCATTGTCTTTTCTGGTCCCGGGATGCTTTGAGCTGGGGAGAAATGACTCGTCACATCCCCAGGCCCACGCCAGAAGCCTCGCACACCGCTTGATCCAGCCACTGAAACTGAGATGATACGCATCATTCAGGAGATGCAACATTGTGGGCTTGATGTTCTGGAACTTTATGGCTACAGTACAGCCGCGTGGGCGACCTTTTGCAACCTCAAGCGTTGGCTGATACGGGTCCCAGCAAGCTGTTGGCAGAACTCTGAACCTTACGTCGAGAGATGCAGTAGCACGATTCTGAGCGCCAGTGTCAACGGAGCCTGGCAGTCTAGACATCCTTGTTCTGCTCAGCTCGGGCGCCTCCAGTGGCGCAAACTGCGTCCATCATGAAGGTCAGCCGGTATCCCATGCTCCTTGCGGGCTTTACGCGTTGTGTTGGGTATAGGGAAACACCTGGAAGTATGTTGCATCCGCTACGCGTATACCACGTCTTCTGCTTCCCTCTTCTCTCACTCATGCTCGTCTCGTTTCTGGAGTCGCTAGTGCTCCATGGTCCAGATTCTCTTTACCTAGCTTCGTTGAGTCCACTTGCACTTCGCGTCGTAAAGTGACCGGTGGCTTCTGCTCGCTCGTGACGCATTCCGTGATGGCTCGCCACAAGGACAAATCTCGAAAGAACTGTAGCAGCAAATCCGAACCGCCGAGGCTGCCACCCCGAGTATGGCAGAACAGCGACCGTCAAGCAAGTTTCGAGAATATTAAACTAGAATCAGAGCCCACTAAGGTTTCACTCCATATTGTGAGATTTGTCGAGGAGGATCTAGCCTCTCGCGTCAATGTAAGCTTTTGTTACTTCCGCACTTCTGCGGCGCAGCCGAATGCCTTCTCCAATAGGCTTTGCCTTGCTAAAGTGTATGAATTCAATGGTATAATTACACAGTCTATGGTCGTACAGGTGTGAATAGATACGGAGCTTAGTGCCGCTTATTTTAGGGCCACTGCAGAGTCAAGCCTGCCAAATCGACTCACGGCAGACTGAAGCCCACGTCTTCGAAAGCGACGTTCTATCAAGACCATTGCTGTTCGAGTTACACACACGACTTCTCTTCGGATGCTTGATCGGACGCATCCGTTGATTCCGTTGGTTTTACAACGTCACTTGAAGCAGCGTGGCGTACTTAGCAACTCGGTGCGGAGACAACGGGCTCTGAAAAATCTGCTTTCCATCATCCTACACCTGCTGCCATAGAGGACGGTACCGTCATACCAAGCGACCCGCCAAGAGTTGAAATCTTCCACAGGTGGGAGGCCTTCCTTCGATGCAGGTGGAGACGGCTACACGGCTTAGCTACCCGCGGCTCCACGCGGGGTACATCTCCAGTGTTACGGAGGCACACAGGTCTACTTGGGCCTCCCTGAATATGAGGCCCGAATTCTGGGAAGGCAACTGTGTCCTCCAACGGAAGCGATGATGAGCTAATCATAGTTTCGCGTGAACCGAAAACGTTGGGTCCGAGTTTACTCGACCACGGTACGAAATGTAACGAAGGTCATCCCGCTTCACACTTCCACTTCATGATGAGATTGCAGAACGGAAAGGGAGAAGTATAAGAGGCCCCACGTACGCTGCGGGTAAGCCGTGTGCTACAGTATCAATTTGGCGAAGAGAACAAGAGATACAGACATTCTCTAGATTAATCTCAAAAGATGGTTCAAGCCACGAGCATTACCGTCTTCTGTGACGAACCTGACCGAGTGTATACAGTTGGCAACGCCGTAGAAGGGCATGTCATTCTCAACTTGGAGAAAGAAGAGCTGGTCAGCGTTACCGTCACACTCTGTGGGTGGACTAAAACCAAGGCAAACAGGGGCAATGACACATACCACAACAACGTCTTACTCTTCACACAATCACAGACTCTCCGTTCGACTGGTTACACACTCCAACCCGGCCGGCACAACTGGCCGTTCTCGCTGGCATTTCCATGTGAGATGTCTCACCAAAGCTTCTCACCACTTCCGCTTCCTCCAAGCTTGCCGAAGTCGTTCAATCGCAAATACGGCGGCTCTATTGTCTACAAAGTCGAAGCAAAGGTTGAACGGACTGGCGGTTTCCGCCGGGAATGGACCGATCAGCAGATCCTCCAGTTCATGCCTGCGATGCCTGCTGAGCGGGACCCAGATGCACACCCTTGAAGTCAGAAGCCTCCTCCTTTTACCCGAGAATGCAGGCCGTCAACTTACCATCAACGAGAGAATTTATTCCATATTTCATCCATCGTCGTTACCAGTTTCGCGCTTCAGACTCACCATCAGTCAGCCTCGCGTCATTTGTCCAACAGACGAGACCATCTCATTCTCCGTGCGTCTCGAGCGTTCGCATGACACTCCGCCTGTCGTGCTCAAATCCTTCTGTGCGAGGATCTCCGCAGACATAAAGATCCAAATGGGAGGCGCAACAACCTACGATCCCGAGCACTTTCGCTACGTCTACTATTCGTCTTCTGGGCCGCTCGGCCCATTCAACGCAGCGGAAAACTGGACCAAGATGGTTTCATACGACGGCCCGCGAGCCACGGAGATACCCCCGGACTTTACAACATTCAGCATATCCCAGGCATACCACCTTAAAACAAGAGCTGTGGTGCTATGTGCCGGAAAAAAGCTGAAGTTTAAATCGGTCCGTCCGCTGCTTGTCTCATGGAGGCACGAAGCTGGTCCGGTGCCAAGGAGACAGCAGCCTTCTGAGAAAGGCAGCAGCACTCTGGGTGTCGGTACCAGCAACGGCGGGACAGCTGGAGCGTCGACGGCGACAGCGGAGGCGCTGCCCTCGTACGAAGAAGCCACGCACCAGTGAGCGACGACAGGCGCGCCTTATCATGGAGCTGGGACCGATCTACCGTTGCAGCCTCACAGTATTTTCAAGGCCTCATCCTTGGTCGCCTAAAATTCCGTTATTGAAGAATCATTCTCGAACAGCGCCGCTCGGTTTTCGGTGCCACGGCTTCCGTAGTGTTGGTGACGGTATTCTGCAACAACCCGGTTGTAAAGACAGCTTGGTTACAAGACGACGTCGACTATCTTGCAGTACTCTTTGCTGGACCCATTTCAGCGGGCCGATCATTGTGCTGTAGATAGGGGTGCAAGAGCAGCTGCAATTCTGAAGTCACCGCTGTAATCAAATCCTGTGTGCGAGGCGCGTATCGAAGCATTGGAGTAGTTCCACCGGTAACAGTTGTACTCAGTATATATAATTGACTGCAAACGCCTTACTGTTCCTGCATTCGCTTCCGCAACCTTCTGTGCCGTAACCATCCATTCAACCTTTAAAAATGCTACGGCACCACACGGGCTGGCCCAAATCCTCCTCCAGTGATTCACCCCTCCTCCTGTCCACCCCTTTCGATGCTCCACCCCGAATACTTGGCCATCACGCCTACAGTCCCTATGTCTTGTTCCTGCATCCAAAACGGAGGCCCAGCCACGTCGCATGACTCTGGGTAATTAATCCGAAGCTCGCTACTGTGACTGCTGCTCGCCCCGGAGAGATTTGGGAGGGTGTACCGCAGCACCGACTTGCGAGACACTGTGCGCCTTTCGTTAGATTTGAGCTGATGGGTCGACGCTGTTGCTAATCAGTATGTTGTAACACCGCTCCACAAGCTGCGACAGCCGACTACCGTCCTCAGAAACAATCGCGGAGCGAGGCATTTTGGTTTCGGTGTTTTGTGGCGTGGATTCGCATCGTGTTTGCGGTCGACTTTCCGTGGAGTGATTGGTGGTGTCATGGCGAGGTGAGCGGGATGTAGCCATGGGAGATGAAGCTCGAGAGTTATTGTTGAATAGCAGCTGCCGTTACTGACCTTAAGGCGGATGACAACGAAGGAGTGAACATTATGGGCCGGCGAGTTTGAATTCAGCGACTGCGCTCAGAATGGGCGATATTGAGACGAGACTTGTTGACTAGGAAGACATGGCTCTTGCAGACTCACAAACTCGACTACTATGCATTCGCGTCGTAAGTAACGCCAGTAATGAGATCGAAAGGTAACATGAACGTTGATCGGTGTGGAGACTCAGACGCTTCGCTGGCTAGATACGACCACAAACAAGCCTGTGAAGCGGAATGGCGGTCATAGACACAGAGCGATGTGCCTGAATCTTGCATCACGTCACAAGCAATTGGCAGATCTCTTCCTCATTCCCCCGCACAAGGCGGAAGACAACGATGAAAAGGTATTCGCGTCAGCTGGAGGCAGTGCAATACCAGCGACACGGTGGAAGGCGACGTACGCAAGCGCAGAGGCCGTCTTCCGAGTTGCAAAAATAAGTATAATCAATAAATGAGTCCGTAGACTCGTTTCAGAGATTAAACTGAAAAGCTGGAACGAGGTTAGCATTGTTCGTATTAATCTGAAGGCAGGGGTACTCACAACAGATACTACACTTGATCTAAGCCAAAAGGCAACTGTCATCACATTAGCAAATGAATTTTTTTCTCTGGAGAGGGGTACTTGCAGAGAGCTGGAAAAGAAGAAGGAAAACACGTTCAATGGACTCTCACGAGGCGATGAAGAAAGGCGAAACGGCGCTAGGCCAGTGTGGGCGCGTAAGCGAGTGTTTGCATGATTTGCACCAATTCGACATCTGATACTGACACTGCTGCGCAAAAGACAATTCACAGGTCTTCTTGGGCGTGCAACGGCCCAACTACGAGCAGACCAGACTGCCGTGGACGTTAAAACGGCTTCAATTACTGAAGGCTCCCGTTAATCTCGTAGATGATCACGCGTCTGCTTAAGCTGCTGTTGGTATTCCTCTCAACGGGAGGGATCACTCTCTTGCTGGGTCTTGAACGCTAGTGGCTGATTCCTTCTCAAGGAGTGGCTTTAGCATACACTACCGTTAACCTTCTCTAAAGGACAGCGGTACCCGTACGCCTGCACCTTGAAACGAGAAAACGTCAATTTCCTATGCAAATCCCTTGAAGCCTTAATCCCCAAGCCCGAAATTCTCATTGCATCAGTATTACTTCAACCTTCTTTTCTTCTCTCCGCTGGGCTCAGGGCTTAACGATACATTCACGGACAACCGTAATTAGCAACACGGAGAAGTGGCTAAACTATACAAGTGCTCTGGACAACACTACGCAGCCTCCAAGTCGCCGGGAAGCGAACAAGGCCGTCCGACTACTAGCCAATACATGTACCCCCACTTACCGGAAGACGTACAGGACCGGCCCCCCAGACCCGTTTGTTCGAAGAATCACCAACGATTCGCCAAGTTGGAAGTAAGAGCAATCTCTTCGCCTACAATTTTAAAGAAGGCATGATGCTGACGGCTATGGGTCATAACAGAACTCGACCCACGTACCTGGGACCACCCTGACGTTGAGGCAGCTGGGCAACAATTCGCGACGTCAAAGCCACTCCCGCCAACGGTGCGGGTGTGAACAACTTCACACTGCCAGCCGCAAGAGAATAAGCGGTCGTGATCACGATGACGCAAACAACAATCAAGACCCGGAAGTCTTACACATTCGGAAACTACAGGTTCTTGATACGCAGCGCCACAACGTGTGTTCTACGTGTACACCACCGTCTGTTCCTGCGAAATACCTGTAGGGAGTAACCGAAGCCTCCCACGGCCAGGACTGCGCGTAGCAAGCTTGAGTCAAGCAAAATCCCACACGATGTCGTTTCCCAGCTGCTTAGCAATATGGACCAGCGCCCAAAGACATCCTGCTGTCGTCTTCGTACGAAGGTTGTCTCCGTGCGAACGTTGTCTCTTTGGGCTCGTCCGTCACCAGTCAGAAAGATCACTCAGCACGATTTCGGCATCCGCAGTGACACGTTCTCGCCACAGCGGGCTTACGGCAGCCACCAGGCAACATCCAGTGGGGAAAGGCAGTCTGGCTGGCCAGGACTGATCGAAAGGTAAGTGTCACCAGACATGCTCCTCAGCCAACGTCGGGAGAACCACACGCTTACACTTCGTTGCAGGTTGGCACTATCACTAAGTCCTACGGTCCGGTGCCGTAGGGTCCGCGTAGGTCCCTGATAGGTTCTACTCACGATCTCTCGCTCATAACAGACAACGACCTGCTGCAAATCACAAATAGACCAGGAGTCGCAACCATCACTGGATGCGGTAGCTGTGCCGCCGTCATAGATGGCGAACCAATCTTTGTATCCAGACATACGGTCGGTACTCAGGTTTGGAAACGCCTGAAGGGACTGGTGTATCGGCGTCAACGCAGGCCGCCTTAGCAATTAGGATCCGAGTATCACTGAGACCGTAAACTACCAGCCCAAACCGCGTCGTTGTTGTGGCGAACCAACCACAATTCGGACTCCGCAACAGGCTTTTGGAGGAGCGTACTCTGTCTTGGAAGACCAACCGACCGGACTGCGAAGGCAGTACTGTTCTAGAGCTTTCAGTCCCGTACCAACGTCGTCTTCTCGAGACGGATAGCATCTTGCCAGATTGCCTTGGCGGCACGGCCTGAGGTTCTTTGGGACCGCGGGCTATTGAAGCAAACTGCTTCGCCGCTTTGGCGGACTAAACTCGGTGGGAACTGCGCGCAAGGCTTCTCGGACAGTGTCCTCTGCCTCGGCAAGCCAACGGATCAGACTGCTAAAGCGGTACTATTTCAGAACTTTCAAAGCCTGCTCTATCAGTGCCATTCAGTGGCACGTTGAGGCCAACGACCGGCCGGTGGTGGCAATTCATGCAGCATCAGTCAAGGGGTCATTTTGGCTTCCTCAGGAGATAGCAGAATCGAGGTCATATTCAAAATTGAGTCGATGCCTTCTGGTTACCCCAGTGTTTTCTGACGCCGGGATTAAACGAGTACTATCTCTTCCATCTCGCCCAGCGCCATGCCCTCCCCGTTCATGATGCCGTGAACATATGCATCGCCTATGAAATGAAACACTCTTTCGCCGTTCACCTCTTTCTGCCGCAAAATATAGGGCACCTTTCCGCCAGCCAGTATAGCTATCGTGTCACCAACTTCCGCATCCACGGGCGCGCTTCCGAGCCATTCGTGCTGCGCATCTGACATGAACAGCCTCCTCATATACATCGTGGACCCTAATCGGCTCACAAACGCTTGCCTTTCTAACATTGCGCGCTCACGTGATAGCCCCAGGGGTAGCAGCTCATCCACAGGCATTTTCCAGTACTCCCACCGGGTGTTGTAGAAAGAATGGTTCCACCAGGGCTCGGTTGTACTAGTGGATATTATGACGTTCGACTCGGAGGCAGATTTGAAGAAGTCTGGTACGATGGAGCCGCAGAAAGTCATCCAGAGCGCATCGCAATATGTAGTTTGGGAAGCGGCGCAGGCCGCCATGCTAACCCGGGGGTCGTACGCCGCGTTATTTGATACTGCAGGGAAGTCGCTCATTCCGGTGGCGCTACTGTGAGCAAAATCAAGTCCACCAGGATAGGAGCGATTCGGGAGGGTTTCGAGCATTGCAAAGTGCATTCCAGACTCGATGAACTCAACAACATCGTTTTTGCTCATGTCCTCGACAACAGCGCTACCCAGTCTAGCTATAGTTCCTAACGGCACGCCACGAACAGCCAATCTACCACGACCAGGTTGTCTGACATTGGCTGTACTCCCCACTGAAGAGTTGTATTCCCTGATGTTCACGAACCGATTGTAAGCGTTAGTTGAAATTCCGCGGTGCACTAGTGTGGCTGACCAGTCGGGCACCCAGGTAGGCAGGCCAGTAGGAATTCGTGTTGACAGGACGGTCGAGGAAGGAAGAACTTGACTGAGTACATCGAGGTTCTGATGGGTTTTGATATTATCGACGGTGAACTGCTCATAGACGAGAGGTACTGGAGTGTTATAGCCCGGCACGACATGAGGAGTATCACTAGCGATACTTAACAAACCGTAAATATGGTCTCGAGGGTCAGAGCAACGATGAGCCCTAAAAGTGGCTAGGAGATGCAAGATCTCAGCCTTATCCAGTTCGCCCGTACGTCGGAAAGTCAATGCCTTAGCGGACATGGCAAGGCCCCCTAACGCCGCAAAGCTGAACTCCTTACGATGGTGCCTGTTCATACACATACAAGTGGTTCTATGTGCAACGACGCATTTGACTATACGAAGCAACTCGTCCGTGGAGGACTGTCTGTTGCCACATATCAATTGATGGCTTTTGCCCAGAATCATTTCCTGGACGATCCAGAGACGTTTGAAGTATCGTCTACGAGAGAGTCTCCAAACGGCGTTGGCGTACTCGATCCCGGAAGTTCTAGGGTCAATACCGGGAGTCTCGTCAGGATCCCAATGAATCTCCGAGTCCTTTGGCCAGGTTTCAAACGCATCGAAAGCCAACGCACTGTCCTCGCTCTCTTCACCAAGCCAACATAGCACCACCGAGGCGGTCCGGAACACATCGCCCATTAAGAGAACTTGCTTCTGGCGCTCGAGTAAGTCTTTCTGGTTGATGCATACGGCATCGACCCACAGGACTCTCGGTCGATCATGATATCGCAGATGCCGAAGCGCCGCCTCTAGATTCGTAGTAACTTGATGGAGACCCCCTTGGAGGGTCATTGGCAGCATGACATCAGGGTCACCCCACACGTATGAGAGGGCTTCGTAGACAGGCTCATTGTCTAGCGAGACTGCTGATAGGCTGCAACGGATGTCGTCTGAGAACTCTCCTCCGGCGAGCGTTATCAGCCTTATCTCTCGGCGGCTTGGATCGAGCGGCTTGTACAAAGCAGATCGTAGGATGCGGCGGTTGGATGCGTGTGATGGGACGCGTGTCGACGAAGTCATGCAGCGGTCGGAAGGAGCGTGCGCATCTCCACTGGCGTTGGTGTTCGCGGTGGCAGCCGTTCGTCCGAGTTCTCCATACCTCTGCTGCGGAGGGCCGCGCGAATTCGATTGAGATCTATGCTGGGACCTAAGAATCATCGCGTGCTCGCTTCTCATGGCAGCCGTTCTCTTCCTTGTCTTGCATGGGACATCTTCCACGCGAGCGCGTTTGGCTGCTGATGCGTCGGCTGCAACAAGGCCCTGTGGAAGCTGCCCGGCTTGTCGTTTAGACATGTTGGAGAAGCGCAAGCAAACGAGAAGAAAACAGTGATCTCGATAGAGATGGAAGAAAAATGAAGACGGGCTGTGAGGGAACCCCATTCCGATGAGGCTGAGGCAGCGCTCCGCTGCGCCATGCGCATACATATGCACGAACGGGGACGAATAACACAGCCCATCACGGCCAACACCAAACACTCACTCCATATCCACTTCTGCTGCTATGTCGACTATGCAGCGCGTGAAAACTCAGGGCGAGTCGAGGCACGGACAACATAGGTTAATAGATCTAAGATATCGCGGTTCACGAAGTGCGAACTGGAAATCGTGGTCTAATCACGTGATTTGGAGTCCGTTCAGTTAAGAGATGAGATAGAGTAGTCAATAAGCCGAGCCTAAAAGTCTTTAGCAAAATATGGTATTATGATGGCGCTGCATTCAGCCGGCGGCGAGGACACTGATACGGCCTAATCTTAGTCTCAACCCGCCTTTCCAAGCCTGCAAGCAATCTAAATGCTTCGATAAGTCGACACTTGTTTCAGCTTCACATTGAATGCCATACGAGGCAGTATCGAAGCTGATCAAATTTTGGGATTGATCCATTGTTTGCCTGTGTTCACGATGATACACTGACAATCACGTGACTACATTACCCTTGCTGCCTGTGACAGGCTAGTGCGAACCACAGCCGTGCAGCATCCAAAGGTCTATGAGATACGCACTCTCGTTTACTGTATCAGTTTGTTCTCGACCCACAGCACGATCTTCGTGGTCGATGCCTGGATCGGCATCCTCACCACTCGCAGCCAGTTAGGGGAAGGAGACTCGGGTGGGAGCTATGTTGGGAACTGAGTGGCAGAAAGCCAGAAACGTACTCCCGCGCCCTTATTTGGTCATTTCTTGTGCCGTCTCATCAATTGGAGTTAATCGCACGTAGTTCAAATAGAGTAGATCAGCGACGGAAGCCATCGCGGGTGCCGGACCGGTGCAGCTCGGGCCGCTTGGCAGCCCTGGTCGATTTCTGTGCTTATTCCACCCCTTTTAATGAAGCAGCCCTTGTTCTGTAACCATCCACCTATCCCGAAAGGCAGCATTATGTCCACTGACATAGTCGCTCTCTCTGGGCCCGGGGCAGAAGATGCCCGTGAGGAGCAGGTGAGATTTTCTCGGGGTTTCATCTTGACGTTACCTTACCGTATCCTACAGAGCCCTCAACTCGTACCCGCACCAACTTTAGGCCGCAAACGCAAGGCTGCCACAATGAGCGAGCACGGTGGCGTCGACAACCTTGATGATGCTGTCGCAGCTTTCACGACGAACATCATGCTTTCGGCTTGTGTTGCTTGGGCAGAAAATCCTCCAAAAGATCATTCCTTACCGTCTTGTCTGGAAAAGTTGGATCGCATCACCAAAGAGTTGGGGCATAGAAAACGCAAACGCCAGCGCGAGCTGGCAGCACGTGGCGCGGATGAAGCTCAAGAAGCGGACACGGAAGTTAAGGAGGACGGCTCTGGCTGGGACAGCCGGATGAGAAACTTGGAAGCACGCTCCGAGGAGTTGGACAGGGAGAAGATCCAGGTCCTCGAAGAAATAGCAGAGGCAGCAGAAGAGCGCGCGAAACAAGCACTAGATTCGCTCACGACGGAGATCGAAGCCAAGCGGAGATTGGTTGAGATATTTGGAAGGCAGGTCGCTGAGACGGTACCTTCACTCAACAAATTCGAGGCGAAGTTCCGGGAACAAAGCAAAGAGCTGGACCGCATTATAGATAAACCATAATCTCTGAGGACACGACACCGCAGATGTGGAAAGCCAAGGAAATATGGGCGATGCCCACGGCGTGTTTATATATCCGGCATGCAGCTGAGGCGGCGATCGAGCTGGAATTACAACTACATTCGTGGTAAGGCTTCTAAATCGAGTTCACGTTCACAACGCTGACAAGATGCGTAGCAGCCAGCAGCTAGAACACTTTGACATTTGTGGTTACGACTCTTGTTTGTTTTGTATCTGTAACAGCTGCCATCTTCCCCGGCCAATGGTTTCAATAGGTACACGCCTCAGCCACCTTTCTGGATTGTCGTTCAACCTAACTTTCCTCACTGAGGTAAAGCACAACAGTCTGCTAGAGCACTGGGTTCAGCGCCTTGTCAATCTGACGCAGTGTGTGGTCCGTGGATCCGCCTCTTCATCGAATGGCAAATCTCCTAGCAGCGCCATACTCCGGATCCAGCTCACAGTGCGAGAAAGAGAATCCTGCTCCGACTCATCCTTCTGTCCTCCGTACCAGACACTGTTGATCTTCCCGTTCTTCTCAGCGTGTTCGATCAGCTTGACCTGATTCACCAGCATCACATCCTTGCGCCTAGCATCAGCCGATGGAGTGCCCGCATCGCAGTCCCAGATGATGAGGTGTTTCCCTTGCCCAGCGCTAGACTTCACGAGCGCGGCACCCCAGTAGTGCCAGGGTCGTTTGGCCCACTCCGCATCGCCTACGGGTGAGCCGACCCGAGTGTTGAACAATGCAAGCCAGGCAGCGGGTTTCTTCGGCTTTGGAGCTGTCCAGAGAATTTCGTAGGTGTCGTGATCGGCCTTGTCTGGGAAATGTTTCAACGCGTTCTTCTTGGTGGCTGCCGTTGGGAAGGAGATGACGCGGATGTGGATGTAAGGCGCGTTGGTGATGTCGGCGATTTGACTGAGGTCGCCTTGCGGATTAGGTACCAATACGGGCGGATCTGGTGGCGTGTCCATGTCTAGTTGTGAACACCTCTTGAACCCGAAAGCGACGGCTGCTCTTTTTCTTAGAAGTCTCTGGTCACTGAAGCTCTTGACACCTGGTCTTGATACGTAGTCACTGTGATCAGTCTGGACTGGAGGCGATGTTTTTGTCAGTGCGGATGCGTCTTGGTCGATACGAAGGTGGGTAGGTTTGCTGAATTGTAGAAAGGAGTGCAATAATCAGCGACGGTCATGCAGCATAAGAAAACTTAGATATAGAGCGATTAACAAAGCGATAAGCAAACAACAAGCGACTTCTGTCACATACACGTGAATGCTAGGATCTGCAAGATATTGATTGCAACAAGGTGCGCGTTGTGAATGGTTGCATCTGTTGTTCGATGCTTGGTCCCGAGGGAGATAGGCTTTGAAGTTGGGCCGTACGTCGCTCTATCCAGCAGCATTCATCATGTTAGAAATAGAGCATCGAGGTCGTCATCCGAGGCAGTCGTAGCTCGCAGGCAGAGCGGTGAATCATGAGCAGTACAGACCTAGAGAGAGTAGCGCTCTTTGGCTACGCCTTAACTAGGCTCTCTATTTGCTGCTTGTTTTCCTCTTCCCAAATGATGGCCTGGATATGAGATACTGCTATCACAAGACTACTATCGCCCCCATCCCTCTTCAAGCACTTCAACAACGTCCACATTATTCTATGTCATCTGAATCGGCTCCGCAATACGTCCAGTTCTGTTGACGGCATCCTCAACCGCCCGCAGAGTCAACTCCGTCCAGTTCTCGACAAGACGCGGAAGCAGCGCGGTGTCGAATTGTAGGCTGACATTCGGAAGAACCAGAGCGATGCGCCTGCAACCGCGAACTGCGCATCAGCTTCGGCAACTAAGACATCAAAAACTTCTTCCCTGCGGGGTTTCGCAGTCTCGCAGCAATGCCAAGCGTGATCTGCGTTATGCTGTCCAGAGTCTGGATCGAGATTGCGGTGCAAGGGACAGGACCCCAAAAACCTTGCGTACCATCCTACTCTGAACACTGCGATGGCTTTGTAAGGGTTGAGGTGTTGACCAGGAATCGGTGCTGGAGTTTCGTTTTGCCGCGAAGCTTGGTTGCGGCAACGTCGTCGAGCCTGCTTACCTACCTACCTACCTCCCTACCTACAGGGCCTTGAAGCTGCAATCGTCTGTAGTTGGCCGCATCGCTGGTCGTATGCGGTGAGATTTAGCTTGTGAGTTGGAACGACGCAGTTATCAGTGCGAGGTGCTGGCAGAGTGCGTCGAGAACTCATGCATTCGCAGTTGATGCGGGCTTGTCGTATGCTGACGACCAGCTACGAGCTCGTCTAACTTATATCAACTGTTAGTCGCCTGGAGAGCCGGAGATTCACGTTCTCCCAATCTATCTTATCCCCCGCTATGGCCTACAAATACCGTGCACTGGATCCAAGCAAGAGGGAAATCCGCGTTCTTTCCTTCCCTCCTGCGGAGCTCGAGGATCCCGAAGCTCGATGTGACATCGTCCATCTAAGCCTTGACGATCGACCCCGATATCATGCGTTGTCATATGTTTGGGGGGAGCTAGAACCGACACGTAGTCTCTTCGTGGACGGTTGTCGAGTGGATGTGAGGCCGAACCTCTTCACTGCTCTTCACCATTTACGAGATGCAATCCCAGGAGAGTACTTATGGGTCGACGCTCTATGTATTAACCAGATGGACAAAGATGAACGCAGCTCCCAGATCAAGATCATGGGCGATATCTATAGGGGCGCCGAGAAGACTCTTGTCTGGCTAGGCGAAGAAGGAGATGGCAGCCATTTAGCGATGGACCTCTTATCATCTGTGACTAGCGCCGGGCTTCAAGACCTTTTTGAGAACCCATCCAGAAACGCGTCTCTGGAACAGTCCTGGGTCGCCCTGCAGATCCTCTTCCGCCGCCCTTACTGGAGCCGCGTATGGGTACTCCAAGAGATACTTTTGTCCCATCCCACCAAAATCTTTTGCGGCAACTGCACCTGCGAGTGGGAAAATGTGCAGATGCTCCTCGACCCCGACAATTTCAAAAAGTTCAATTTATGTTCGCATTCCGCACGTAAGGCGCTGCTGAGCCGCACCACGCTTCCCAAGCTCCTTGTCGAAATAATCCACCGGCGGCAACGGGGCGAGCAGTCTAGGCTCTTGAATTATCTAATTCTTAGCCGTCAGCGCTCTGCAACCGAGCCTCACGATCACGTCTACGGTGTGCTGGGGTTGGTTGATCAGGAAATACTGACGGCGGACTACAACGAGGCTGTAGAAGCCGTGTATAAGAACGTTGTCAAGCGGCTGATCAATCTGGACGGGAATCTGGATGTGCTTAGTGCGTGCTGCGAGACCAGTCCGACTGCAGAACAGGAGCATGCACCTCACGGGCCATCGGATTTGGTCACTTCATCCAGGCCTGGCCAAGAATCAGGGAATTATGCTCACGCCGCTCGTCCGTCATGGGTTCCACAGTGGTGCGTACGGTTTGAGGAAGATTACCAAGCCTTCCCGCTCTGCAGTGGGCCCTGCAAAGCCAGCGGCGACGAAAAGCCACAGATCCAATACCTACAGAGTGACCAGGTGATGCAAGTCCGCGGCATCGCTATCGATTCGATAGCATTCGTATCACCTGACCTTCAAACAACCCGCTGGCCGCAAGTCAGCGAAGACTGGTCCGCCTGGTCCGGCTACATCCATCCCACCAACCCGTACGGCGATGTCGAAGAGCAGCGCGAGGCGTTCCTTAGCACGCTCCATCTAGGCCTTTACGACAAGAACAACCCCCGCAAAGGCGACGGCTCGGAGCTCTTCTTTGACAAGGCCGTGCGCCGGACTGGCAACGGCGTTACCGAAGAGGATACTGGAGGAAGGACTTTCGGAACCGCGGGGCGCAGGTTCTTCGGCACGCGGACGGGATACATGGGCCGTGGGCTTCATGACGTGCGGGTCGGAGATCTAGTGGTTGTGCTGCTTGGGGGCAAGGCACCGTTTGTACTCCGTGAGGGCGGGATGAAGAATGAGTTGTTGCTTGTGGGAGAATGCTGTGAGTACTCCCAAACCGTTTGCAACGTCCGAGTCTTGCAAGTTGTGCTTACTTACGTGACAGACGTACATGGAATTATGAACGGCGAGGCTATGCAGGGTGTAAGAGATGGGGCGAGAGTGCTACAAGACTTTTGCTTGGTTTAAATGCTTTGGGTTTGTATATGTCCAGAGTCCCTGACGACAAATTGTAGCTAGGTTGCTGGTGGAGAAGCCCCGGAGCTAGGGTGATAACGCACTAACGGACCTCCTCAGAGCTTTACACTCATGCTGGTAATATTCAGTGTTGGGCTGTTGCAGAAAGTATCTACTGTTACTGTCGCTTGCAAAACGTAGGCCCGTCTGGAGCGAACCTCAGCAACACCCCCCCCCCCCCCCCTTTCAATGTCTAAACACAAACTACGTACTGCGCCCATTTCGAAGTCTATGGTTTGAAGCAGTCAAATGATAGAGCAAAGCTGCCAAAATCCGTACTACGAAAAAAATAGGTTCGATGATGATTAACGGCTGTGTTACATTGTCGAAGTGTCTTGAAAACCACGTGTCTCAATGGTGGTGAATTTAGTTAGGTAGCATTGCTCGGTGCGGGACAGCCACTGGCGATCTTCATCGCGTCGTCCCCTGTACTTCTCTACTCAGGCTTGGGCTCGTGATGATCTGGATGGCGTGGGAGAGTTTATGACAGGCATTGAGATATTCGACTAGCGTTTGTTCTCGGTGCCACTCTCTGCTCTCTTCTCACAAACCAGCCATTGAGACAACTCACGCGATACAAATAGAGGTCATAATTACCTGGGATAGTGAGAAGGACATGTTCAGCGCTTTCACAAAGATGGAAGTGCCTGATGACTTTGTTATGAAGAAGACAGTCAGGCTATTGCTATCGTTATGAGCGCTGCCGTATGACCAGTCGCTTACCCAGCTACAATGACGCCGGGCACTACGCCGGGCACTACGCCCTTCGATTTAGAGTGAGCAAAGTTTAGTAGACGCATGGGTCTATCGTCGCTATTACAGCTGGAATCTTGAGCTCAGACCGACGTACAGTTGCCTCACACTATCTCCCACTTCCCCTTCCACTCATCCTCCATATCTTCCAGTATCTCCATTGCCTCCTCCTTGGCCCCCGCCTCCCCAAATGCCACGAAGAACGTGTCAAACTCGTTTTCGCCCATCTCTCCTCTCTCCTCTAACTCTGTTCTCATCAACCCGTACAGCTCCCAGGCCTTCCTCCGGCCCTCCTCCCCGCCCACCCTCAACCACGCCCGTAACACAGGCATCCTGCCCCTCGGGTCTCTGTCCGGCTGCATCTTCCAAAGCTCATCCATGATCTCTTCGGCTCGTCCTACGTCTCCCAGCAGCGCGTGCATTCGCAGACCAAGCTGCAAGAACTCTGCTCTTCCACTGCTCTCTCCTGATTCTCCGGTCGTACCGCTGTCGCTTCCAGCGGCCTCATCGGTATTCCCGTCACGCCGTGATCGTTGCGCCGCGTATTGCTCTTCCCATTTCCTCAGCGCACCCTCCTGTGCGCCCTCATCGCCCGTAATAAACTCTCCTTCCAGTGCCAACAGCCACTGCGCCGTCGTCAGTTCCCGTCCAACAGACTGCATATCATCAACCAGCACCTTCGCGTGCGCCAACGCGAGCGGATTCTCCGGTCCGGCGGCCGTCTGCGTCGTCCAAAGCAGTGACCACAGTTTCTCCGGCAGCGCCTCAAGAAAAGCCTCGGGATATCGCCTCTTGGCCCTGGCATAGCATCTCCAAAGCTGCTTCCTCACAGGCATCGGCACCGTCGCTTCCGCCTCTTCTCCAGCCCCGACAGCCCCAGACAATGTCCCTGCCTCCGGCAACGCAAACGCAGCATCTCTAACCGCCTCCTCAAACTTCCTGACCGCGCCCCCCTCCCGTCTCCCCACGCCCCTGACCCTCCCAACCCTCAGCTCTCTAGCCCTCTCCCGCCGTTCCTTCAGCGCCCTCGCTACCCGTTCGCGCTCTTCCCCCTTCAGTGGCCCCAACAACGCTTCATCCGCCAGCCGCGAAGCCGAGGAGAGCGTGTCCCCCGTCTCGGCGCCCAAGGCGCGGATCTCGGCGGCGAGTTTCGCCGCTTCGGCTGTGTCGGGGGGCGCGGAGAGGGGGCGGCGTGGGGACTGGGGCGAGTGGAGGTCTTGCTCGAACCATTTTATTGAGGAATCGTTGTTGTTATCGGCCTCGGAGGGGAGGGAGCGCGAGCCAGGGTGCGGGTGGTGGGTGGTGGGTGTTGTGGTTAGCGGACGGGAAGGGCGGAAGGCGGTAGATGGACGATAGCGGGACGGCCTTTTGGCGAAGCTGCGGAGGAGAGGGAGGACGGGTATGGTGGATGTTGTGGGCGGCATGGTTGGTATGATGGACGGATGAGCATGATGATGGGTGTAAGAATATCTGAGACCTGACTCGCACATGCACGTGACTCCGTGCTCCCAGCGCGACGCGGATCAGGATCCGACAAACAGCTTGCGACGGCAACTCATGTCTTACACCTCTCTCATCAAAGAGAGTCGACTGAGACAGTTGCACCTTGCTTTAGAACAATGTAAGACACATGTATATCACAGCACTATATTACATGTACCTGCCATCTCAATCCTCAAGCACTCTCAGTCTTTCATTTCCATGCGAAGTTTCTTCCTTTTCTTAGCTCATACACTCTAGCAACACATTTCTTAGGAAGATACGCGGCGACCTTTTCAGAATCCTGTTCATAGGCTCGCACATTTCTCAATCCTCTTACGTGCCCTCACCGGATCAGTACTTGCATAGTCTTGCACGATGGTGGTGAAGATTGCCACCTCTGCGAGCCTTCGTGCTTGCACTCAGCATAAGCGGACCATGACAGCGACACTGAGAACTGCGCGTTGTCAATGAGGCCCGCCGTTCTCACATTCTCGGTATACAATGCCGACAAAGGCTTTGTATGCACACACTGTGCGAGAACAAAGCCATTATCCCTGGCCAACTTTCACTCATCCCACCAATTTCACCCCTCTGAGTATACATCACAATGCGACCACAACTATATAACATGCACGCTTTCTCCCAGAGTTTTGTTCTCCAAAACCGTACCTCTTTCCAACCGAATCGAAATGGCACCAATCACCCGAAGTCAGTCGGTCCCTGCAAAGGCCCCCACGACCGCGAAAACCAACGCTTTCGAAGAGGAGTATGAGAGGGTTTGCGTACTCGGCAGTGGCGGCGAAGGCACGACGGTCTTGTGCAGGCACAAGACGTCGAGCCGTAAGGTCGTCGCTAAGATGGTACGCCATAGCGCACCCGGTAAGTTGCCCCGCGAAGCCGAAATTCTGAAGGACATACGGCCTAACGATCACATCGTCAGCTACTTCGGGGTGTTCAACGAGGCACCTTCCCCTTCAGAAGCGACGATCCTACTTGAGGATTGCAGAGGCGGTGACCTCCAAGCCTTGCAGTGGGAGTTCGAACTAAATGACGAGTGCATACCAGAGCCGTTCATCAGGCATGTATTCCTGCAGCTGAGCCAGGCCTTGGCCTTCTTGCACTCTGGAGACGGCACTTCCGACCCAGACAGGCGTCCTCTGGTCCACAGAGATATCAAGCCTGCCAACGTGCTGCTGCTGGAGAAGTACGTCCCTGGCGGGCCGTTCCCGTCCATCAAGCTGGCGGACTTCGGACACGCCGCCTATTTTACGCCTGACCAAGACGAGAAGGCGTATGCCTTCACCGGTGGCAGCAGGGATTGGCAGCCGCCGGAGCGGCCTGTGGCAACCCCCGCGGGAGACGTGTGGAGTGTCGGTGCCATCGTGCACTCGCTGGCTTTGGGTCGCCCGCCCATCGCCGATGTCAACAAATTCCGGGACGCGCACTCGAATGCCAAGGAGATCGACCGGGACAACCCAAGGTACTTCCGTGATGTCCTGCCCCGAGAAGTGACGCCGATCTGCGCGGTTGAGGGGAAGGAGTACGCGGGTACTTTCGGCGACCATGCATGCTCCAATACCCTCAACTCCTGGATGATGCAGGCGCTGGCGAGGCATCCGAAGGACAGGATGAGCAGCCTGAAGCTGAGTATCCTTCTCGGAGTTGAGGTCAGCTCAGGCAGGGTTGTGGACAACTCCTAGTGGCGCAGGTAGACAGGTTGGTTTGGCCATCCGAGTCGGTCCGTCTAAGGGCTTCAACACACGTAGGCATGGAAGGTACTTGCAGCGAAACTCGTCAAAGGAAAAGTAAAGTAGATCTGCGCGCTGGCCGGGCGGAGATCGTTTTGGAGAATATGGGTATTGTGTATTTCCCGCGGGCTAAGATTTCGGACGCTGGACGCGCTGGCGGATGCCACGGAAAGGGCGAACTGTGCAGATCTCTGTGATGCTCTCAGAGTTTTCCTTGGTTAGACCCTTCAATAGCAGTGTAATGAAAATTCATCCTCTTGTGCTCTTTCCGCAGCTAGACTAACACATTGTGACCATGACTGAAAGAAGTGATTTATTCCAATGCACAACCGAATGCCGCTGAGATTGAAAATATGATGCGTAGCCGATACTGCGTTACTCTGAGACTCGGTGGAGAGCTTAAGCGCCGCGCTGGAGTTGTAGGTATTAAAAGGCGCCGAAAATGAAAGTTGGAGCGACGCGGACCTTGCGATTAGACTACCAGAGGAGGTGGGAGATTCTCATCTTGTCCGCATTACAGCCTTCCTTCAACTCGGAGCTCGACTACAGCCTTATTGGTGCACGACTCGGCCATCCGACTAGGTTCAGCCCCAATCTTGGTCGATTGCGCCTCGCTGCATGATTGCAGTAGTGTTACCACCGCCTCGTCTCGTCGCCCCCAACGACCAGGCTCCTGTGCCCGCATCAGCGGCGTCTTATCCTCCCTATCTTTAGCGTTCGGGTCGGCGCTCTTCGCGAGCAGTAGCTGGACCATTCCCTTCCGCCCGTTTTCCGCCGCCCACGAAAGCGGCGTCCGCATGTCTCTATCACAGGAGTTTATGCGAGCCCCTTTCGCGAGTAGCAGTTTGGCCACTTCCTCGTGCCCCGCTGCCGCTGCACAGGATAGCGGCGTTATAAGATGGTTATCTTCAGCATCTGGATCGGCCCCATACGCAAGCAGTAGCTTGACCGTTTCCTTACGTCCGAGTTCCGCAGCCAGCAACTGCGGCGTCCGACCATGTATATTCTTGACCTCCAGGTTAGCGCCATATTCCAACAAAATCCGGATTATCGCGTCGTGACCGTGTTCAGCCGCCTCCGTTAATGCAGTGTCACCATATCCATCGCTTGGGTTTGGGTCAGCCCCATGTTCAAGCAACAGCTGGACCGGCACCTCGTCCCCCCACTTTGCTGCTTCCATTAATGGTGTCCGACCATGGATATTGACGGTGTTCACATTGGCCCCTCTTTGAAGTAGTAGCTTAGTGACCGCCTGGTGCCCATATAATGTAGCGACGTACAACGGAGTCCGATTAGACGAGTCCTTAAGCTCTAGCAGCAGCTGGACCAGTACCTCGTCCCCCCTCTCTATTGCTTCCATTAATAATGTCCGACTATAGATATTGGCGGTGTTCACGTCGGGCCCTCTTCGGAGTAGTAGCGCAACAACCGCCTGTTGCCCACCTGCTGCAGCGACGCACAGCGGAGTCTGATCATCCTCTTTCTCGGGTTTCAGATGAGCGCCCATATCCAGTGATAGCTTGACCACCGCCTCGAGCCCGTTCTTTGAAGTTGCCGATAGTGTAGACCGTCCCCAGGCATTCATGAATTCAGTACTAGCGCCCGCATCAAGTACCGCCTTGACTGGGACCCTGTAGCCCATCCTTAGGCGCTTCATGGTTTGTTCATTACAGTCAAAGATTTCGACGTCAAACCCCTCCCTGAGCAGCAGCTCAACCACCGCCTCGAGTCCGAGGTACGCCCCAACATGCAGATCTGTCCAACGCGGGGGCCAGGGCCAGGGGACAGCCCCTCGGCCCCCTCCCCAGTAGATGCCGAACCAGGTCTCAAATCTTTTTGTTTGTGTGCGACAGTTTACTAGGGCAAGTTTTGTAAGCTCGTTGTCGTGCTGTGTAGCTTGGAAATGACTAGCCCAATTCCTCGCTGCATAGTCCAAGAACTTGTGCCAAGAGAGATATTCGTTCAACAGTTCATCCGGCCGTTTCTTCTCTTCTGCGGTTGAAGGCCATTCTCCTATGCTGATACACAGTGGGCCCGAGTTTTCAAAGTCGGACAACGTGAGATACCGGAGGCAGGCTGCTGCTAAAAGGCGGTCTGAGTTTTGTTGTCCGAAGGAGTGTTTCCATCCCATAGCCTGCTCCTGAGATCCGGATGAGCTCAATAAAAATTCTTTCGCCGTCTGATGAACGAGATATATCCTATCGTCAATGATCCTTACAAAGAGTCCAGAGAGGCCTCTTATAGCCTGATCTAGTTGCGGCTCCAAGTCTTCCGCAAGATCGCTTTCCGACTTATGCTTGGGGCTGATTGCAAGTGCGATGTTCATCTCTTCTAGAGAGAGAGGCCTAGCAGCCCCAAGGATCAGATGAAGCAGCTTCGTAACATAGTCTCTGTCGGGTCCCTCAGGAGCCGCTTTGGTAAGAATCTTCTCGTACACTGCATCCAGACCTTCCGGTAAAGTATCAATCAGGTTCTGCAGTGCATGTTTCGAGCCTCTCGGGCTGCGCTCGAGCAGCTCAAGAATGAGTGACACCCAGAGGAATGTCCGGTCCGCCGACGCCAAGAGATTTGTCTCCAGTTCACATTGCATTTGCTCAGACATACTCCCGCTTCTGCCGATGCGACGGATCTTGCTCCGAACAACAAGTTCGATGTCATGATCAATCGTATTCAGCTCGAGTTCGGCTTTCAATCTGATCGCTGGAAGTGTTGCAAAGCCTCGTTCGATCTCGAGGTACGGTCGGCCAGTCACCAAAATTTTAAGACCTCTGTTCTGAGTGGTTTCCGCGGAGTGAAAGCGAACAAATGAGTCCATGAGCTGGTGCCGGCTGCGAAATTCACATTCGTCTAGGGCGTCAATGATGCACACGATGTTACCAGCAGGACGATCCTTTGCCGTCGCAATTAAGATGTTCCACAACGTTCCCAGCTCCTCCACAAATCTTTCAGACTTTTTGTCATGCTCGGCCATGGCGTGTTTGACAAGATGCCTCTCGGCAACATAGATTTGATGAAGCAGAGCTCGTAAAGCATTGATGGCACTCTTCTGCTCTTCGTTGTCGTCTTTGAAGAAGAAGTAGCAGACAATGTCAGCTGATGCTTGTGTCCGGGGGGTTTCGTTGAGCATGTCAATCAGGTATGCTGCCAGAACAGATTTTCCGCAGCCCGGATCTGCGGACAACCACAGCAAGCTTGATTGTTGTGCTTGAGACCAGTTTTGGTACTTCGGATGTTGCAGAAACCACTGGCAAGTACCATCCTCTCGCTGTGGTATTCGATCCTTGTGCGAATGGTAATCTGAGTTGTACAAGAGCTGAATGCATCTCTTATGGTCATCACCTACAGGCGCTGGGTGGGACGGCCGTCAGCTCAATCTTTAAACCTTCTTACTAGTGCTGAGCGGTAGTGGGGGTAGCTCACGTCCGTAATTGTTGATCGGACCTAAGAAGCAGTGAGTCAGCAGATTCCTCAAGAAGATGCAATGGAACTATAAGCAATCCTGAGCGTGACTGGATGCAACCTTTGGCAGCCTGTCTAGTACATGGGTATACCTTGGCATTGACATCCGTGATCCTTTTCAAGGTCGTGTCGCGTGCCTGCGACCGAGGATTCCAGACCCTCGTGATCAGGACAGCACAAATGATTTGAGAGGAAAGAAGTCGACCATACCCACGTGTGTTGTACCAGAGAAAGTCTGCTGGCCGTATACAGCCGTCCCATCAGCCGTAACATCCCCGTCATGGCGGATTGCGCTTTCTACGAAGGCGTATTCTCGAGGATCCGTCCCACAAGGCTCAGTATCTCCGCTGGCTTCCGCAAAAGTGCGCTTCCGAGAGCCCCTTTCAGCCATTCACAAGTACTTTCTCCAGTACGTCGCTCTTACTTCCGGTAGAAAATGAAGATTCGGAGTCGGTTGTAAGGGTTGTAGATAGTCTTGTGGTTTGCCGGACGAAGGATGTCGTTCTTCTCAGCCTCATGCAGCTTCGACTCGGCCCCCACGTCTTGGACTCAGCTGACTGAACGCGACAACTCAGCCGCACGCCCGCCAAGAACTGCGCAATCGAACTTCCGGCCGTCTCGCTTATTGTCAGCAATATCAGAGGATCTTGCTGAGTTCGTAGTGCCAGGGGATTACTGTGTCACAGCATGGCCCCTTCCCCCTTCAAGAAAAGGAGAGATAAGGTGGAGGAGGCAACAGCGGAGGCTGAAGCACTGCCCTCACCGAGGAACCTTCCGGTCGTAGTCGGGCCGAATCAACCTTTGGAAGTAGCGTTGCGATCGAGGTGAACCCCTGTACTGTCGTTTGACAATAAAAGATTGCAAGTAACAAGCATTAGATCTTTAGCCGAAAGAGACCCGACAGAAGACGAGTACGGTCTTAAGATATTGCACGACCCTCAGGGCGCGGCAATAGAGTGAGTGGTTCGTATAACATAGTTACTGGCCTTGATTGTTAACGGACCGGAGAGCACATTGAAATTAAGTTCTGCTATTGCTTCCACCTATCGCTAACCAAATACAGCATCATCTTCATTCACGGCTTGACGGGTAACCGCGAGAGCACGTGGACGAGGAAGAGCGGAAAACACAGGTGCTTCTGGCCAGAAGATCTTCTCCCGACCGACATTGAGAACGCCCGCATCGCAACCTGGGGCTACGATGCGGACGTCATCCGCAAGACCCCATTCCGCGTGGTATCAACCAACACTTTGCAACAGCATGCCGACAGTCTTTGTACAGACCTTGCTAACTTACGAGCGCATGGCACACGGGTGCGTACCATAAGCGTCCAGCTACGGATACTGCGACTGACATGAGTTAACGGACAAGACGCGCCCGATCATATTCGTCGTACACAGCCTAGGAGGGCTTGTCTGCAAAGCAGTAAGACCCCCTACGTGCCCGATTCTCAAAGCTCGCCGCTGACCGAACGTTGTGGAAAGGCGTTACTGCACTCCGCGGAAGCCCGAACCATGGAAAACGCTCATATCAGAGAGATAGCTGAGAGCAGTTACGGTGTTCTTTTCATGGGTACACCTCACCAAGGCTCATCTCAGGCGGGATGGGGTAGCATGTTAGCCTCGCTCCTCGGCTACATGAAACAGGACAATGCCGATATCGTCCGGGGTTTGGAAAAGGAAGCGCCCGAGCTTGCGGAACTGCAGCGACGATTCTACAATCTGCTTGCAAGCCGCATTGAGGAACGCCGTCCGCTCAACATCAGCTGCTGCTTCGAAGAGCTGCCGGTACCAGTGCTGGGTATGGTAAGTAGACTCCCGGTCATGCCTCGAACCGGAGAGGCCTTCTCACTTACAGCGAATCCACCACTACAGATAGTGCCGTCCTCGTCCGCAGAAATGGACGGTTACAAGGCCATCCCGATCCACGCAAACCACATGGACATGACGAAGTTCGGAAGTGATGACAGTCTTGGATACATCAGGGTACTTGGAGAGCTGCGGAGATGGATTGAAGCTGCCACATCGAAGCGCGATGCAGATGCTGAAGAAGTGAGTCCAATCCTGGTCAGTGAATTCCTGGCTAATCTTGTTATTGTAACAGAAGAGCGAAAAGGAGTCAAGTCCGACGCCAGTGGCCCGGAATCGCTCAATTACCCATCATGGAGATGTTTACGGTGGAGGAACTGCTCTGTACGGTAGCCAGAGCTTTACTGGCACAACTAACATCGGTCCGTCAAAGCTCACCTCGATGCAACGAAATGACACTGAAAAGCTTACTGTGATATCTAGGCGGAACACACACTCACGACCCCAGATAACCCCTGTCGTACCAGCTGTGGCCAGTGGGTTCGTACAGGCAGCTTTCTACTCCAACCGTTTTGCAACTGGAGGTCACAGATTTCTCGCAAGCGTTGCGCCCGACGCGGAAGTGGAACGAAATGTGGCAAGCAATACCTAATGTGTTTTAGTAATTTTAAATAAAGGAGAGAGCGGGCTTTTGGCCAAGCGCAATCACGTGAGATCAGGTGACCAGTACGACCTTGAACATCGTCTTCTTCAGCCAGCTCACAACCGCATTGAATGATATCATCAAAATCGAATCTGTACAATTCCATCCTGACTCCGCACCCACGGCATCCCCGTCACTCGTTGAAGGCCCAAAAGATAGTATCACTCCCTCCCCACCAAAACTCCTCTCTCAAACAACCCCACCACAACCACCACACCTCTCCCTACATCCCTGACCGCAGTAGAAGAAAACCCATACTCCCCACCCACATACAGGTCCCTCGCCCTCCCCCCATCCCACTCAGCGACCCAGCTCGGACTCCGCGGCCTCGCCTCCGCATCCGTCGAATGGTCGGCACGCTTGCTCCACTGCATCGCCTTCTCCACGGACGGCGGATGCGGATGTCCTGCTACGAGCAGCCGGCCCTGGGCGTCGATGCGCAGGTTGTCGGGCGCGAAGCGCGTCTTGATGACGCGCTTCAGCTCTAGTTTGATCTTTCCGTCAGAAGGGCAATGGACGTCGTAGAAGTACACCCCAGGTCTACTCGACGACGCGACAGCCAAGCTCGTCTCGTTCATCATCGCGATGCCGTTTGGCAGCGGCAATCTCGCCAGCTGTGTCGCGCTCACGGCGTCTGGGGCTGAGATGTCGAGATGTGTGATGCTCCCGATTGGGAGGGCGAGGTAGGCTTCTACTGTAGAGAGGAACGGCCACTTGCGGATCGAGAAGTAGTGGTCGTTTGTGATAAGGAGCGAGGTCGCTGAGAGGGCAGTGAGGGCGTTGGGGGTGTGGATGAGGGGGTGTGTCAGGGTGCGGACGTGGTGGAGGCTGCCAGTATTACCGTCGGTGTAGGAGAAGACTTCGATGGCGGGCCCGGAGGAGCGGTGGTTTACGACGAAGAAGGTGCTAGACGGAGCGCGGTAGGTGATGCCAAGGGGGTGGAAATCCAAGGGGTCGGGGAAGTTAGACAAGGGGAGCCGGACGACGGTATTTGGGTTGGAGGCGTAGTCGAATTTGTAGATTCCGCCGGCGTCTGAAGGATCCGTAATCCTAGACGTGCCCTGTGATAGTTCATCAGTTGCGGCTTTGCAGATATTGTACTCCATCTGAGATGGCAGATGACTACCGACCATGATAGTATCCCAGTGATCTCTGGTTGGATCACAGCTCAGAAATGCGATTCCTCGACTCTCATCCATGACCACATCTTCACAGTTCTTGACTTCATCCCGGAATTTGATCTCCGCTGACGCGAAGGCGGAGATGTTGGGCAACTTCTCGGGCGCATTGTCAAGAATGAGCTTGAAACCCTGATAGCGGTCGTATAGATACGGAAAGGCGAGAGAAAACACGAGAATGGCCTATGCATGTCACAGACGTTGTCAGTCGAGTCGGTGTTTGATGTATCTGAGGGCTGGAGCCGGGATCACCCACAAGGCCCGCTCCCAGTCTGCCGTCCAGAGCCATGACGGCGTCTCCACTACGTGACGCCAGAAAGGCTTGTTTCGACGACGCTTTCCAGTTCTACTCGCTTAGAGCATCAAGCGGAGTCTGTTTGCCAAACACGCTCGTCACGTAGATCTTGGAGAGTGCAGGAACTCCCCGCAATCTGACAGTCTTACCCCGTGATCTGAGAGATCTGGGCACGCTCTCACGTCCCCCTCGCGGCCCTCTCAAAGGGTTCAGCAGACTCTATGCTATTCCGGCCGTTTACCCGCGCCTGGTTGAATTACTTCACTTTGACACTAGAGAGACAGTTAGCACTTGTCCACAAAACAATACGGGAAATAGATGGACTCACTTCAGAGCACTGGGCAGAAATCACATTGCGTCAACATCACTTTCTGGCCATCGCAATGCTATGTTTTACTTGGACAGTCAGATTCCCCTTGTCCGTACCAGTTCTAAGTTGGTTGTTAAGCGCATGCCGGAAGGCTGATGCCTGACAAGGCCTTCCACCACCCGGCGTCAGAGTTTGCCGTCCCTTGCGGACTGTAGCCGTCCCGCTCTACACACTCCAACCTGATGCCCAACATGCCAAAACCTCGGAGCCAATCCTTGTCCAAAATCATCACAAGATTAGACCTTGAATGAGCAAGCCAGTCGCTGAATTGCAGTTGTTACTACCCCACAGCTACTCAAGCATCAGCGCAACCGAAGCAAGCTCCTTCTTCACAATCTCATCATTTGGCAAATACACCTCCGCAGTCCTTAGCAGCCTCCTCGCCTCCGCCTCATCCCCCAGCATCTTCCACGCGACGCCCGTCCTGTAGTAAATCTTGCCCAACTCCTTCGCCGCCGCAAACCCCCGCATAGGCTCGACCGCCTCGCCGCGATAGTCCTCCATCAGGTTGATGGAACGCATGCCCCAGAATTTCACTTCCTCCCAATCTTCCAGTTTCATGTAGGCGAGAAGCGTGTTGGCGACCAGCTTTACCCGCAGGATCAGCCGCACCATCTGCGCGTACTGGCCCGCGAATGTGCCCGCTGTGATCTCCCGCTCGAAGTACGGCCCGGCCCAGACGGCGCGACGGCGGCCCTCAACGACGATGTGCATCGCCGTGAACGCCTGCTCGTACAGCGTGATCGCTTCCCTGTACCGCTGTGCCTGGAGCGCCGCGTTCCCCGCATCCTTCAGCTTCGTCGCTTCCTCTAGACACTTCTCCGGCGGGCTATGCGGCACCGCCATCGCGGCCCGCAAAGCGCGCTCTACATCCCCATCCCATTCCCCCAACACCCTCGTCTCCAAGAGCCCCTTGACCGCCCCAAACGGCTCGAGCAGCTTCTCCTGCACCCTCTTCACGACCCCCTTCCTCAGCCTCAGCGTGAGCCTCAACCGCTCATTCAGCCCCGGATAGCTCAGATCCGAGTAAAACCACATGCTCGCAAACCTGCCAATATCCCCCGCCAGCAGGACCAGCTTATGCACCTCCTCCGCCTCTCCCTCCACCGCCTCGCCGCTCTCCGCAAACTCCGGCGCATCGATCCGCACAGCCAGCACCGCGTCCCAGTATCTGGCCCATTTGGTCGCGCGCAAGCCAGACGCGACGATCGGTACGCGGTGCTCGTGCGCGACGTGCGTTTCGGCTTCCCAGGGCGTTTCGAGGACGACGAAGTGGTTCAGCCGGGTGAAGACGGTGCGGGCCTCGGTGTAGATCTGGTGGTTGGTGAGGAAGACGGTCAGGCTGTAGCGGTAGCGGACGTAGTCGTCGTGGAGGACGCGGCGGGCGGTGGCGGGCGAGAGGAGGTGGGTGTAGATTTGCTCGCGGATTTCGAGGGGGAGGGCTAGGAGAGGGGATGGGGTGGCCATGGTGGGCGTAGAGGCTGTAGCTGTGGATGCTGGGCTTGTTGCTGCGGGTGGTGAGAGTGCGATGGAGGTGTTGCGCGGGGGGAAAAGCCGATGCCCCGCGGGTCGGCTGCAGGAGACGCCGAGGCCGGCGGTGTGGCGTTCTCGTTGTGGTTCGCGACTGAGGATTTCAACATTGCACGTATCCGGCAGGTCGACAAGGCCGCGACGGGCTAAAAGTAGATAGATGGAGTTCGTTCCTCGATTTCGTGGGCTGGTAAACGGGAGGCGGAGACTCGTGTATACACAGAGGCCCCGCCCACGAGCAGCTAGCTCTTCAATCAAGTTACTTGGCCTCATATTTCGACAGTATTGAACATAAACCCAGGACAAAGCTTTAGAGCGACAGCCATAAAAAGTCTGCAGGCTGGGCGGATCGCGAACATGGAGTACCTCGAACTGTACTCCAGACCCCATCTGAATGGCCAGGATTCAATTTCGGCATGCGACATGCTGCAATGGATACAAGCAGACCGTGGAGTCGCTCAGAGAATCACTTCGCTCCGCTACGAGGATCACCGACACAAGAAGCTCAGTCCGGACCATGCCTCGAAGCTACAGGCCATCACAAAAAATCCAGAGCTCTTCCAGCCAGCAGGTCAATTAGATCACGTTCGGCCACTTGTTAATAAGTTGCTCCAAGAGGGCTCGAGCGAAGACGGCGATCTCCTGGCGTTGACAGTTCTCCTCCTGCTGCTTCCCAACCTCGAGTCATTGAAGCTCTCCACCTACGCGTATGGTTACAACTTGGACATCATTGACAAAATGGTGCTTGGCATCAGCCAGTCCCACAGGACTGCACCACCAGACCGCCCACTGCAAAAGCTCTCTCATGTCACATTCGAAGCCCTGGAAATGGGCACGCTCCCCATCCAACATCTCCTGTCCTTTTCCGCAATCCCATCAGTACGGAAGCTTAGCGGCGACTGCATCACCGCTGATGCCTTCGCATGGCGCCTCGGTGACCTCGATTCCAGCGCCGAGGAAGTCGAGTTCAAGAGCTCATTCATCGATGCCGAGAGTCTGCAGGCCATCCTTCCACATCTACCAGGGCTACGAATTTTCAAGTATGAGCATGGGCCTACTGTATTGAACGAAACGAGCCGTTTCGAGCCCTCGGAGTTCTTCGATGTGATGGCGAGCTGCCTGGCGAACAGCATCCGAGACGTCAAATTCACCTTTTCCATGCCTGAAGATGCACATTTCCCGCGTCTTGGGTCGGCGTTCCTCGGCTTCAAAGAGCTGCGGAAACTAGACACCCACGTCGAGTTCCTGCGCGATGCGGTACCGGACGGTGTGACAGACGACTCAGACGAAGACGAGGCGCTAGAGTCAGGCTTCCACAGCGTAGACAGCGATAAAGAAGATGAGGATAGGCTGCTACCCCTCGTAGCTATCCTTCCGCCGTCTTTGGAATTGCTGAGGTTGAAGGTGGGTCCTCCATACATGGGCGAGGAAGTCGAGGCGCTGTTCGAGGACTTCCCAGCGCTCAAGGAGACCAAATTGCCGCGACTCCGCCAGATTAGCATGACGTATATCGACATTGATGTCGCGACGGAGATTAGGGAGATGTGCGCCGAGGTGGGCGTTAAGGTGTGCTTCCGTAGCTGAGCACCGAGGTGTCGGGAGGTCGCTGGGAGATTCTCGAATGTTTTGTGTGCAGCCTCTAATCACGGCATTGTTGTCACAGGCGCGGCATGGCTTCATGTGAGGTATCGCACGCCAGTCATACAGCCAGGGCCAAGGTGGACTGTAGAGGCTGCAAGTGGAGGCCTTGCTGCCAAACCTCAGCGATAGCGGCTTGTCTGAGTTCGCCGCAGTCTCCGCAGGATCTTGTTTGAGCAACTAATATGCGAGATGGCTAAAATGCTGAGCGACATGTTAACCTGAGTGATTGAATACGGCGAGTTGCCCAGCCGCCCTCCTGCGACAGATCCAGGCCAGCAGCCTCTGTGACGACAATCGGGCAGCCGGAATGGATGGAAAGCTTCTAAGAAGGGGTGAAACTGATTGTGCGAGACAAAGTTCTCCGATGGCACGGAACATGCGATGGCCGCATTGGAACTCCCAAGGGGTTTGGCCTAATTATGCACTTAGAAACTGTGTTAGAATGTCAGGCGTGGGGGAGGAAATGCTAATAATCGTGATTCACGCTTCAACGATCTACACATTCAAGCCCTCCAGCGTCTAGATGTGTTGGGCATCAAGGTCATCTGGAACTGAACGAATCCTCCCGCACCAGGGATCGAGGTTGATCAACGTGCGTCGCCATCTGTGGGGTAGGATACTAACTCCAAACGCGTCATGAGGGAAGAGGGCGCTTGAGGTGACATTGAAAAGGATATGTTTAATAGTACAGTACTGCATTATAAAGTGCACAGAGTCTAACATCTGCCCAGCTCGCTTAAGTAGAGTTCTTAAGATGTTGAAGTTCTTTGAATTTCGAAGCTCGGCCTGCGGAACTGATGGGCGAATCGTCAGGACACATCAGATGCCGGCCTGATACAAAGCGTGCAAACGCTGACATAAGCGCCGCCCTGCATTAGGGTGCTTCCAACTGGATATCAGAAACGCCGGTCTGGGCGCCGGAAGGGCTTGCTTCTTCTTTCTCTTTATACTTGCGAGTACTCCCCAAGCCCCCTCCTAACATGAGAACTTTCGCTAACAATACTCACAGACCTTGTTGGGATCACCGTGATCAAGACGACGGTCGATCAATCAGAACACCCTGCATTGCACAGCGCGGCGGTGGTCTGGTTTGAATCTCCTTCGGGGGCTTCACTGGCGCAATTTTTGCTGGTCCGCCGACTTTTCATTGACGGCTTCGCCTTGCGCGAGGCGTTGGAGAAGAGAGACGACGCTGCTGTGCATCCTGATTTGCGTGTGCTTTGACTGAATGAAGTGCTTGATTGTGAACTAAATGTCTCTACACCATTGGGAGTCAGTCTACGAATACCTTCATCGGCTGCGCCGCAGTATGGTTGCGCAGATGGACACTACATCACATGGCTGAGAGAGGATAGAGTTTGTCCATCAGGCGATCTTGATTATCAAAACTATCAAGCTCTTTCGCGTCTGAAGCTACTCATGTCAGACTTGTGTCCAACTTGAGTGAAGCCTCCATTATTTAGCACGAAGCCCTCTCGTTCAAGATAGTCAGCTCTCGGTCGACATGGGATGCCGGACCAGGGTTTCCGTTGACAATCGCCCCTCACCAACGACGAGCGGATGCCTAGATCAGCCGACCGATGCATTGAATACAAGGCAGCGATACAGACGATTATATCCGCCTGCGGATTGCAAGTGGCACACGGTACAACATCGTATCATCGCAGAGATGCTGACCACTCGGGTCGGTCTCTGAGGATGCCGGGATAAGTGAAAACGTGCCTGAGGCGCGAAACGACGTACGATGAGTGGGCCGACAGGGTTGACGTCGGAAGTTGCTGGAGCCGACCGCTGCAGGAACAGGAACTCGCCTCACCGCCCGACGAATCCCCAGCAGAATTTCTTGGGGAAAACACCGCGACCAACGCCTCGATAAGTCCAATCGCCCCGCTCACGCTCGTTCACCTCCCTCACTCTCTCGACTCCGTGTTTTCCGCTTTCCGCGCTCCGCAATACCCACCATGGGCCTCCTCGCGACAGTTGCCGGGCCCATCGCCGAGCGCGCCGCCAACACCTCCACCGCCGCCCTCATCGCCTCGTCCGTCGTCTCCTTCGTCGTTCTCGCGGTCGTGCTCAACGTACTGAGCCAGCTCCTCTTCAAGAACCCGAACGAGCCACCAATTGTCTTCCACTGGGTGCCCTTCGTCGGCAGCACCGTCACCTACGGCATCGACCCCTACAAGTTCTTCTTCGACTGCCGGAGGAAGGTGAGTAAGAGAGCGTATACAATGTGTTTCAGGGCTGACAAGGTTGCAGTATGGCGACGTCTTCACATTCATCCTCCTGGGCAAGAAGACCACGGTCTGCCTGGGCACAAAAGGCAACGACTTTATCCTCAACGGAAAGCTCAAGGATGTCAACGCGGAGGAGATCTACAGCCCGCTAACTACGCCCGTCTTTGGCAAGGATGTGGTGTACGACTGCCCGAACTCGAAGCTAATGGAGCAGAAAAAGGTGAGAACACCTTCCCACCAACATTACAACACCCGCTGACCGCCCCAGTTCGTCAAGTTCGGCCTCACATTCGACGCCCTCCGCTCCTACGTCCGCCTCATCTCCGACGAAGTAGATGACTACATCAAAAAGTCCCCCACCTTCAAGGGCCAGCACGGCACGGTCAACGTGCCCCAAACCATGGCGGAAATCACCATCTTCACCGCCTCGCGCTCGCTGCAAGGCAAGGAAGTGCGCGACAAGTTCGACTCGTCCTTCGCAGACCTCTACCACGACCTCGACATGGGCTTCACCCCAATAAACTTCATGCTGCCCTGGGCGCCCCTCCCGCACAACCGTAAGCGCGACGCAGCTAACCGCAAGATGGCGGAGACGTACATGGAGATCATCCGCGCGCGGCGGGCCGAGGGCGCGAAGAGGGATTCCGAGGATATGATCTGGAATCTCATGAGCAGCACGTATAAGGACGGCACGCCTGTGCCGGACAACGAGGTCGCAAACATGATGATCGCGCTGCTGATGGCGGGGCAGCATTCCTCTTCCTCGACCTCTAGCTGGATAGTGCTGCGGCTCGCCTCCCGTCCGGACATCCTCGAGGAGCTGTACCAGGAACAACTCGCAGTCCTCGGCGCAGACCTGCCACCCCTCACCTACGAAGACCTGAACCGCCTGCCCCTGAACGACCAGGTGGTTAAGGAGACACTCCGTATCCACGCCCCGATCCACAGCATCATGCGCAAGGTCAAGCGGCCCATGCATGTCGAAGGGACGCCGTATACGATTCCAACGACGCATGTCTTGCTCGCCAGCCCCGGGGTTACGAGTCTGGACAGCACACATTTTCCGAACCCGACGCTGTGGGACCCGCACAGGTGGGATGAGGGCGCCGCGAACGCCGGGCGCTCCGGCCCCACGGCCAACGGCACGGCTCACACCACCGGCAACGGCGACGAAGCCCCCGAAGACGAGGAAAAGATCGACTACGGCTACGGCCTCGTCTCAAAGGGCACCAACTCCCCGTACCTCCCCTTCGGCGCCGGACGCCATAGATGTATCGGCGAGCAGTTCGCCTACGTCCAGCTCGGGACTATCATCGCGTGCCTGGTGCGGAAGTTTAAGTTCAGAAATAGGGAGGGCGAGGAGGGACGGGTTGTCGGGACGGATTATTCGAGTTTGTTTAGTCAGCCGATGAGGCCGGCGCATGTGGTGTGGGAACGGCGGTAACGCACTGCAACTGAAGGGGGCGAATGCCTGGGAAAGGGGAGGGATGGTTCTGGTGTGAGCGAGACGATCAGGAGTGCCGTGCGACGTGTAGATGAGAGCAGAGTAGACGGCGTCGGAGGGTAATCAGCATGCTTGTTTAGTTGCTACGGGTTGCGCCTTTGCGTGGCCTGCGGAGGTTCGGTTTGATCTATGCAGGTTCATGTCATAATGTCTCATCACAGGCACCACATTTGGATGTGAACACCCACGCGTCCGTGAACAACGAGACGCCTCAGAGACGGCAGCTTTTTACCCACACCTCCACCTGACGCGGCACGTCAAGCGGGAAAAATGCCTCACGGCGACAGCGGCCCACCGCTCATTCGCCGTCAACTCCACAAAGGTATTCACATCCAGCCGCCGAAGTAAGTTTAAAGAGTGAACAATAGGACGGCAAGCCTTGAGTCAGCTATCCAGACTGTGCCGTAGAGTATCATAATGATCGTAAAGGGATCTTTGTTGTTAATGCAGCCCTGGGGTTCTAGTTTCGCGGTGAGGCTTTTTTCCTGCTCGACGTGCGCGGGGGGCTGGGTTGAGATGAGCTGGGAACCGACGACCAGCTATCGAAGTAGCTATCTTGATATTCTCGAAGCTTCGTTTTTGATGATATACAGTGTGGCATCGGTAGGGGGATTGGTGGCGGTGACGCTTTTACTGGCGCCCGCGTGGGAGTCTGCCATCTTCCAGCGTTCACGAAGATAGGTAGATGCTCCAAGACCTCGTCGTCGGCAAAAGTTACCCTCTCGAGCTCAGCCCAGAACGGGCTGAACTCAGCCGCACCGAAACCCAGATCTGCCCCTCGAGCGTTCGGCAGCGAGACGTTCTAATTCAAAGTCACTGTTTCCGACTCGGTTCCAAGTTGCAGAGCACAAGTCCCTTTATCGACGCTCCGCGCGACCAGTTTCGCCGATTTCCAGCATCACCAGCCAAGCGATCCCTCAGGCCAGGATGGATCCACTGACGATCCTAGGAACCGTTGCTGGCCTGACTAGGACCTGCGTTGGCGTTGCGCAGTCACTAAACAACGTCCGCATCAAATACGTCCAGGCCAGCGCCACTCTTTCAGCGGTGTCGGCCGAATGCACCATCCTCTCCACTGCGCTATGTCAACTTGGGCAGATCATCCAGCGCGATCCCGCAGGCTTCGCGTTACGTCTGGGTGCAGATGATGGCCAGCAAGCTGTGCCGCTAGACACGGCGCTGCAGAGCGCACTCGAAGGCTGTGCTCTGACTTTGGCCGCGCTCGACGCAACGGTGAAGAAGTATGATGCTAAAAGAACATCAGGCCTGTTGCCGTGGAAATCTAAAGCCAAGTATATATGGAATGAAGAAGAGATTAAAGACCTTCTGCAGACTGTGCGGGGACTGCATCAGGCGCTTGGGTTTCTGTTGACGGTTTTGCAAACGTAAGCCCTCTGAGTGCTTCGCGCGCCAGCTTACATTTTGTTGCTAACGGCTGCTTGGCAGAAACTCCATGTCGGACGTGAAGCAGATGCTGCACGACAATATGGCTGTTATTCAGACTATAGTCCGTCGATCTAATACGATAAGGCAGTCGTACGCAGCGAGCACAATCAGCGGCACGGGCACGGAATTCGCTTTCGACGACCAGGTCGTGAACTCTAGCGCTTACAGGAGAGCGTTTCAGTCTTTTGTAAAGCGGAGTGATGCCGATTCCAACAGGGATGTTATAAGCAAGAACACCATGAAGATTAGCCATGAGCACAGATTAGACCCAGAAGCGGAGAGAAGCTCCTCCATCGAAGACGTCACCGATGAGACGCTGGTCAACTCTGATACTGCAGCGGCTCCGTCACTATTATCTGAAGCTGGTTCAACAGCCACTCCTCCTCCTCTGGAAAGAACCAAGATAGACAGCGAACCAGCTCAGCGGATACCACGGAAGCCGGTGCAGAAGACGCCCATCACTCAAGCTCAATTGGGGTTCAACAAGCTATTGCTTGGTGCCGTGGAAAGTGGGGACACGATGCTAGTCAAGAGCTTTCTCGACAAAGGCGCCGACATCGAAACTGCTAACGAAGAAGGGAAGCGACCACTACACCTAGCCGCCCTCAAAGGGCACTCCAAAGTGGTCCAGTATCTGTTGCAGAACGGAGCCGACAGAGAGTCAACGTGCAACATCGGGGACAATGCGCTGCACTTGGCTTCGTCAAGGGGCGACTCTGTGTCAGTGTCCTCTCTGCTGGATGGAGGAGCCCAAGTCAATTCTCATGGGCAAAACCAGTTCACAGCTCTTCATTTCGCTGCAAAGGGAGGCCACTTGGGTATCGTCCGGATGCTGCTGGCACATGGAGCTGATGTAGAAGCTCTGGCCAATCTCGATGAACGGCCACTGCACACAGCCGCAGAGAACAGGCAGAGCAATGTCGTGGCAGAGTTGATCTCAAAAGGCAAGGCCAACCTCGAAGCTCAGAACAAAAACGACAACCGGCCGCTGAACATGGCAGCCATCGGTGGCGATCTGAACACCGTGAAAGTCTTGGTCAATGCGGGTGCAAACATAGAAGGAATTGGTTGTATTGGATGGCGGCCACTTCATCACAGCGCAGGGAACAACCACCCTTTGATCGCCTCGTATCTGCTCGAGAAAGGTGCGGACATTGCAGCTCGTGCCGCGAATGGAGACAGCCCGCTTCACAGTGCGGCCCTGAACGGCTGCGCGGCAGCCATGGAGTTGCTACTCAAGAACGGTGCGAGCATTGAAGCAGCGAATGATGCCGCCGGAGAAACTCCACTCCACATCGCTGCGAACTGCGGGCACAAGGCAGCAGTGGAGTTGTTGCTGAACGCAGGGGCCGACATCGAAGGCCGAACCAAGTATGGTAACCGACCACTAAATTTAGCGGCCTTTGGAGGAAGAACGGCGGCAATAGAAGCACTCATCAAGCATGGCGCGGATATTGGGGGCAGTGGCTGCATTGGCTGGTATCCGCTCCATCATGCCGCCGGAAATGGACGTTTACAAGCTTTGAGGACCTTGTTAAAGCATGGCGCGGACAAGGAAGCAGAATCGAACGACGCAACTCGTCCGCTTCACGTTGCTGCTAAGCTTGGCTGTGCCAACACGCTCGAGGAGCTAATCAAGTGTGGAGCTAGCATTGAGGCAACGGACAGCAAAGGCTGGCAGCCAATCCATCATGCCGCTGCGAATGGTGTTCTAAAGTCATTGCAGCTCCTCCTCCAACATGGAGCAGACAAGGATGCGCAGTCTGATGATGGAAGCCGTCCTCTTCACATTGCCGCAGAGAAAGGTCACACTTCCATTCTTGAGGCACTTATCTCTGCCGGAGCGGAGTTGCATTGTGAAGGACCACAGGGATACCAGCCTCACCACTACGCCGCTGGACAGCGTCAGCAGTCCGCCCTATCTCTTCTCCTAAGCAAAGGTGCAGATTGCAACGCCGTGACCGCTACTGGAGACCTTCCATTACATATCGCAGCACAAAACGACTGCGTCGACAACCTACGTCTGCTTTTAAAAGCCGGCGCTGGCCAAGACATGCCCAACACCCACTCGAACCGCGCAATAAACCTCGCCGCGTTAAGCGGCAGTCTTGCTAGCGTGAAAGCGCTTGTGGGAGCAGGCGCCGATATCAACACGGCCGGCTGCGTCGGCTGGCGCCCTCTCCACCACGCGGCTGGCAACAACCGCATGAACGTCCTGGAGTTCTTACTAGAACAGGGCGCGGACGTACACGCTGAAGCCCACAACCGTGACACCGCGCTTCACGTGGCTGCGAGTTACGGGTTCTTGAACGTTGCCAAGAGGCTTTTGGATGCGGGGGCGAGCGTCGACGCCGTCCAGGGCGATGGGTGGGGTCCGTTGCATTGCGCTGCTCAGAAAGGCAGTATCCCGATCGTGGAGCTGCTGTTGGAGAATGGAGCGGCTAAGCTTGCAGAGGATAGTAACGGACGAACGCCCTTGGAGATTGCCGTCTCGAACGGGCAGACAGCTGTTGTGGATTTGTTAACTGTGTGAGGCTGTCGGACTTTTGAGCAAGTGGAAGGGCGTTATAGTCGGGTGCAAGATGTGCGGTTGTTTTGGAAACGAACTTCATCCACGCCCCCCTCCCCCGATTGTTAAAGGCTAACATCACATTTTGCACAACGTTGTCATGCTTAAAGCACATATTAGTATTAAAAGATTCAGTACAGCTGTAGCTATTCAACAGTTAAAAAGTATGAGTATTCGCACACGTAGTTCCAGAGGGGCCATTGGGCTGACGTTCTTGAAGGTATGGCGATTCAGAACCACCTACTCACAGTGATGCCAAAAGTTCTTTAGACTCGATCTAACCCTGAATCGATCTATCTATCCGAATCGAACAGAAACCGCCGGACTCGTAAACTACCGGACTTACAACTCACTCCTAAATCACCGGAATCTGCTAGTTCCACCACGTGTTTAAAGGTCTTTACTCTAGCCATCCTACCTCTAGATATAGCTTGCACATGTTTCTATAGCAGTATACTATGAAGGATTACGCCTATTTATGACATCCCTAAGCTGCCTGAAGAGCTATATGTTTTTCGGTGTCCGACAACTTCTGTCACCCAGGTGACCAGCTCGGATCGGCTACAGAAGCGGATGTATCGAAAGCGCATACAGGAATTTAGATTTTAATAACCACTCTCTCCCATTCCCCGTCTACAAGATTTGTCATTGTGGACACAACTTACTCTTCCTGCCCTTGGCCCTTGATTCTTCGGAGTGGTAGATTCTGAGACTACAATTCACCTGGACCACGCTAAAAGCTTGGCTGACCAACTCTAAATTCACCTAACCAAATCAAACCTCAGCTTACCAACTCCAAAGCCTTGAATAAATTTATATACTCCAAGACGTGAGTGGGTCGCAATTGATTGGAGATAGGCTCTCTATACTCTTACACTTACGGCTAACTCTAACCACCTAGCTCTAACTGTTAACCACTAACTATTAACTACTAATCCTAATTATTTGAATCATGTTTCAAACACGTTCACAATATAGCTTAGTAGATTATAATTCAAACATGTTCACAACATATAGATTAAATTATGTTATGAATATATTTACACATAATATATTATAAACGTGTTTGATTAAGCTTATTCCAAACATGTTTGAGACATAATCTATTACTAACAAGCATAATATCTTATCGATAAAAAGCTCGGATGACTAAATAAACGGTGAGCTGACCAACGGAGCTTCAAACCGAGCTCGGCCGACTAACTACAAGGATTCTTGCATTAGCGCTTGGTCAGCCGAGCTTTTAGCTTGGTCCAGGTGAATTGTGTCCTGGTAGATTCTGCCCCACCGATTGGCTGATTTGACTCGCTAGCGCATCAATCGATTGGTGCGAGATTGCCAAGATCGCTTGAAGCTCTCCACCGCCCATTAACCTGTCGACGACATGAGCGTCAGCTCCAACATTACCCAGAATCTCGTCTATACTCGTCCACCTCTACCCGGCAGGACATCGAGCGACGCCTGCCACCTTGGAGTGACGGTCGTGGACGAATCGAGTTCGCAGGACCCGTTCAATCTTGTCGCGTGGCCGATGACGAACCTTTGGTTCGGTTCCCAAAGTACCATGGAACGGTTAAGAGTCATATCATGATCTGTGAAAGCTCTCAACATATAATCCCTTCTCCTTCCACTAGAATATACCTGTGACCTTGCAGAATTTCTTCTCTTACCTCCCACTTTGCCCTCTCTCTCTCTATCGCACAATTTCGGTGAAACTCAATGGATGAGATGGCGAAACACCAACGCTTTGAGAACATGCAGAGACTCATGCTTTCTCCAGCAGGTATGCGAGTGCGCCCGCTTATTTGCTTCCAGTAACTCACTGTACTCTAGTGGACAAACTGCCGTTTCTGGAACGCCTTCAAGAAGTCGCAGGCGATGAGGCGGCCGAATTCATTCACTGGCGTACCATAAATCCTCGTCGTTCCGCAGCTCCTCAGCCAGCCGATATCATGTCGATCCTTCATACTGCGGACTTCCGCCAGTCCCAACCGGCACGTAAGCTGGCCCTGGAGTCCGCCCAACATGTTATCGAAATGCCACTGGCGAAAGACGATTCTTTCGAGTACATCATCTCAACGCGCGACGACGAGATGCTGGAGCTTCAGCCCTCACTCCAATCTGGAACTAATAAATATAACTCCCACTTCTTGATCAGAGAACTCGAGACCTCTTTGCCGCCCTCCACCGCTGATCCGGAGCCTGAGCCGCCGCTGCCGAGGTTCGTCATTCAGCTTGGGCATCTCTACTTCAAGGATCTGGCGGGCGAGATGCCGGATTACTTGCAGAGATCCAGCTTTGTCGCTATGATCGACCCCACGACGCCGCGGAAGTCGCTGTGGCTCTTTCACGACTACCACCCGTGGACCGAGATGGGTGATCGGATTAACATGAGCCCTGGACACGACCGTTGGGATGTGTTTCCGGATGTGGAGTTGGAATTTGATGCTGCCCAGCTTATCCCTGACGTGCGTGATTGGAACGAGGGATTGACGATGAAGACGCTAGAGGATTGCGTCCGGATAACATGTCGGATTGTGAAGCCTGTAGTAAGAGTCGCCAGAACTGTGGATGTGGATGAAGCACTTGCTGAGGGATGGGGGAACTAAATAGGAGCGTCTGAATAAAAGTGTCTTGTATGCACGACTGTTTTCGCACATCGATCAAGAGATAGCACCAGCCGTGGAACATGTAAGCGGCTCAAATGCGCACTCTACGAATATGGCTCTCGGCTGCTTTATAAGACAGGATATGCCATGTGGCTTAAACAGCCGAGAGCCACATTCGTAGAAGCCTCCCGCGTTTGGAAGTGAGACCCGTGTAAGCGGGTGCGAAAATGCCATCCTATCACTCAGTTCTCCATTACTCACAAACGCTTCGATCAAGCTGACATGGAGATGGTGATGATAATCTCTCATTAGGACAAGAAAACCTATAGAGTGCTTGCTTCATCACATATATTGATCCTACATTGACTATGCAATACACTTTGTCTACTCGAAAAGCATTCATCAGGTTGTGGATTCGTCGACGTAGATGGTTAGAGTGGAGAACTAGTCGGTGACGCTCAGGAGCAGAGGATTGAGATCGACTTATTGCAGCCGAGTATAGTACAAAAGCTCCCAGGACGCCCACACCAGATCTTTGCCTCTTGTTTCAGTCACCATCAATTAGATCCCGCAGTATCTCCTCCGCATGTCTAAAGAAAATGGTGAAGTGGGTGTCGCCAGGATATTCCTTTAGTACCGCGTTTGGTAAGCGTTCCGCCATGTACCTTCCCATTTGGAGCGGCGTATGCTCGTCCTCCGTGCCATACCACAATAACACCCTGTTGGAAACCACATCTCGCAAGTCGTAACCCCACGGCTTGGCGAGCAACTTCGCCTCCATAGCGTAGCCTTCCGAACCGGGCTTGAACGCTTCCCTAAGGATTTCGACGGAAAGTTCGCGTACTTCCTTATCCTCAAACACAGCTCGATCTTTTGCTTTGAGCTTCAGCACGAAATCGTCCCATCCGAGTTTCGCGAAAACCTCACGGTCTGGATTCTGCGCAGCAGGCACCAACTTCCAGTTAGCTTCCAGACGAGCAATCCCAGGCACCCGCGCCAGGAAGTTCCACGCAAGCCTCCTCGAGAGAGATATGCCTGCGTATCCGGCCTCCCGGGGGCCGAGACCTGCCACGACGCCTATAGCACGGAGCGTTTCTCGCGGCAGCACTTTTGCGCATGCAAGCGCGTACGGCCCTCCGCCCGATCCGCCCATGACATGATACCGCTTCAGCCCGAGATGGTGAGCCAGCTGGTGCACGTCCGCGGGCCAGTCCAGGAGTCTCCGACGCGGCTGGAAAGAGGAGAGGCCCATGCCAGGGCGGTCCGGGGCGATGATGCGAGCGTTTAGCTTCTGGGCCGCGCTGTCCCAGTCTCCGCCTTCAAGGCGCGAGCCGGGGAGGCCGTGAAAGAAAAAGACGGGTGTGCCGGTTGACGAGCCATACTCGGCGAAGCCAAGAGTGCGACCGTCGGGGAGGCTGAGCGTCTGGCTCTCCCGTGATGCAGTTGATAAGGTCCGAATTGTAAATGTATGTTGTAAAGTAATCCACCCTGACCTTCGGACTCCTACTGATACAAAATTACATCCCCACGCAGCCATTGCCGCGTTCTTGCCGCCCGCACAACGCCTTTCCAGCGGCAGACAATCAACACTACGCGGTCAAACTGTTAGCCGGACAATTTCAGGCTTCTACAGTGCCTTGGTCTGTGAAGGTTGAACATTTTGAGCTGCTGGGGTGTACATCTACGCCGCAGCGGTTGTTCTTCTTACGGCCGGAAGGGGTACTCGTCACGTGAACGGCTCTTAATTGCATGAACTATACTATTATATTGTAACGATAGAACTACATTTATACCTAGTTCCCCTATCGGAATCGCTTCGTCCAAGAGCAATCCTGTTATTGCGTACGATATTTAAGGTTGAATAACATCGCTGAAGCTGTCTGATCGCTAGCTCGAAATTGAACGAGGTTCCGGCGGCAATAGTGATTGGATCGGGATCGAACTGTTTGCATCACGCTGCATTTGAGCAAAAACGAGGGCATGAACAAGACTACACACAATTCTGCCACTAAAGCAAAGAACAGATACAGACTTCAGCCGAGGCGCCCTGATTGTGGCGTTCACTTCTGTGCCAGTACTGATTGTGATTGACGCTGCAACCCTCCGAAACCCCCAAAGTCTGGCACTTTTTGCGGCCACGGAATTCTGTTCTTGGTCTCCTCAAGCTCCCTCTTAGTCTTTTCAAGCTCAGCCTTGACCTTTGTATAGTCGGCGCAGTTCTTTGCACACTCCGTCCGGCTCTTTTCCAGCTCAACCTGAGCATTCCTGAGTTCCGCCGCGGTCTTTTCGAGTTCGACTTTGGTCTTACCGAGCTCGGTCTTAGTCTCGTGGAGCTCGGTCCCAGTGTTGTCCAGCTCGATACAGGTCCGGCTAAGCTTCGCCACGGTATCCCTAAGCTCGGTCCTACCCTCGTCCAGCTGCTCCTCGTACCGAAACACCACATGCTCCAGCAAGTCTCCGGGAAGGTCGTTGTTATCGCAGATCGCGGCGGGGAAATCGGGGCAATATGTGTAAACAATGTCTTGGATATGCGATGCAGCGGCTTTGACAGCCCTCTGTCGCAAAGCACATGTCTTGTCGGGTATTCTCTTGTGAATGTGCTGAAGAACGCTGAGAAACTCTTTTGAATCCCAGGCGTAGGCAGTGAGTAAATCGTCGAACTTGCTGGTTGCAAGTTTCTGCAGTGGCGGTATGTCGTAGTAATTTGCTATGGCGTAAACGTCCACATTATTGATGAGAACTGCAGCCATGCCGCCCATCTCGTTCGGTGCATTTGCGCAGATGGTGACATCAGAAGACCCCGCCTTCAGGGCGGAAGGTCCTTCAGTCGAAGGCGTAGTGGATTCTGCATGGAGCTGGACAGAGTCGTGGCTCCCCCTTGCTTTCTCTGGAGCTCAGAAATCAATGTTAGCCAGTCCGGGATATGTGAGCGTTGAACAAATGCGGCCCGAGTGCTTCTTCCACGTGAGAGATTCTGATACCGATAACTCAATCGGCATCTTTGAAAATGAAACCAGACGCACCATCAGGGGCTACCGAATTAGCTGTTCCGTCGCCTGTCAGGAAGACCATCGGGGTGGCGCTTCTAGCATCGTCGTAGTCGAGCGTATAGAAGTACTGGAGCATGCGCTCAAGAGCTGCTGCGCTAAACTCGTCCACCGCGATGACACGTGTGTCAGCCTCCTACTCACACACATCAATTACTGAACTTGACAGACGACGTGCAAGCTTGCCGTACCTGGGACTTTCCCTGCCCCTCTCGCAACATGCGCCGGATGACAGGCGACCGCGGGCAGATGATAGCGCGATGAGCTGGGAAGCCGCGGCCGTCACAGGCAAACCGGATGTCTGCATACAAGCCGGATAGCAGGAGCATCTGCATGCCCTCACGAAGAGCTTTTTGATGATCATCTGCTATGGCGACTCAGCTTTGAAACTATCCCAAGTCATCACAATCGGCTTTACTTAGTGCTACTATATCAAGCGAAGCCACGATGAGAGGACCCAAACTTGAATTATGTGAGCTGTATCCGTGGACGAGTACTTAAAAAGCGATGGAGCCGTCCTGAGCAACAAACGAGGGTGATGAGATTGGAAAGACTGACCGGCCGTCCGTGACAGTGCCTGAGGTTGACGCTGAATAAAATTACCGGGTACCTACCTAGGTACGTACTAGTCTCAGCACACGGACTCCGGCAATTTTCAAGGGACCTCCTAAAAGTAGACGGCGGGCTTGGCTCACCAAACTGGCGCTCGCGGACCCGCCACGGACTTTTTGAATCGCCCCTATTCCACTCAGACGGGTTGATCCGCTCCGGCGCAAAATCGGAATGCCCCGCACGCTCCATAGATGCGCACCTCTTACAAGCAGAAAGCAGTTCACCCGATGCTATGCAAGCGTCTGATGAAGCGATAGTCCGCTCCAATTCTGATGACTATAACCGTGACAGTTCTTCTCCAGCATCTCTGAAGAGCACCAGGAGTTCTATACCACTTGGATCCGGCTCAACAGGTCGCTTTGAGGAGCACGAACCATTTAAAGAAGTCCGACCTAACCTAGCCCCGTTATGCGAGTCCATCGGTTCAGAAACACCAGATGAGATCCAGCGGATGAAAGGCGGCAGCTTCAACAGGTCGTAGGGCTTAACTTTCGTCGGAACAAGTCCTACGTGCATAGGATACCGCGTGCCGGTCTGGATAAGGATGAGATCGACGACTTCGAAAAACCAGCTGGCTATCGCACAGTTCTTTGGTACAGGTCTGCCTATTCCGACCACCATTGCGTACGACGCGGCCAGTGGAAACGCGATCTCGCGTCAATACACCATCCAGACACGCATCAGGGGCAGCTATCTCGACGGCTTATACGATGGCCTTCTTGTTGAGGACGATTACGTATGACATCCCTCGTTGCTGCTATGATTGTGAGAGTAGAGCAAATCACCTTGCCGAAAGCTGTTCCGTATCGATAGGCAGTCAAGACCCAAGCTAGTATCCAACCAGTCAGTCAAGGAGATTCTTAACTCGTTGATTGATGCTCAACTCGTGCGCTGTAATGTCGAACTTTCAGAGATGATGGGGAAATGGAGGACACTACGCGGGATCATGCTCGGGATAGACAGTATGAGAATACTCATGAATCGGATGCGGTCTTGTGGCATTGGAATTTCGCAGCGTGGAACATCATGGTGGACCTCACAGGAGATGGCCTTTGGGAGATTACTGGCGTCCTAGACTGGGACGACGTTCTCTCTATACCACGCGTGCTGTCCAGGAAATTACCCGCTTTGCTGTGGCACATTGAAGACGAGCCATCGGCTTGAAGCGGCGATTTAGACTCTCTAGAGCAGCAGCGACCTCTGTCCGAAGAAGAGCTGATTATTAAGCAGCATCTCGGTAAAGTCGTGGAAGAGCTATTGTCACGCTATTGCAACCAAACCAGATGGCCCAAGACGCAACTCGACAGCTTCTGTAGTGGCGGTACAGAGCGCAGCAGGAACGAGTGCCCAAGTAGCTGCGAACTCGACAACTTCAGTTCCACTCCTTCCAGCCTCCTATCGTACCCTAGAGGACAACATAGGACTTCCGAGACATGACATTCTCACTTACCTGAGTCATGAGCTCAATGTTGAAAGACTCAACAATGTTCACAGTTGGTTGAGGATCGTTGGCCGACCGATGCCCCCACGCGCATTGCATCGGCAAAAGATGATGTCTCGCGAAATTGTTATCACGGAGCAGCTGGATCTGCATCTGGTGTGGTCCGAAAAGCAAATCTTTGTCAAGCCTGTCCCGCGTTTCCTCCTGGATGTCGGGTTCTGGGAGGACCATTTGCTGTGCAAGGCTGGTGGCAACTGCAAAGGACCGCAGTTTCCGGTGGAAGAACAGAAAGGGAAGGATTCTTCGACTTGTGATCGATGTCAGCTCTATAGATGCGCACTGGGATTCTTGCTATCATACGCCGCGCTTGTCTCATATGAGAGCGACTACGACATCGCTCAGCAGGAACGTCTTCTCCCAAGAGAGGTTACATGGACCCTCTGGGTTTCTCTAGTCGAACAACTACTCGACCACCGCAATCTCACGAACATCAATAAACGCTACGTATATGGCGAACTGCGCTTAAGCCGACTCAATCAGATATACCGTTTCCGAGAGGGCAGGCTCATTCGCGGTTATCTATACCGCTACAACCAGTATAGTGTCTTTTTTCGGGCCAACTTTAGACAACTCATCACAACTTTTGCATATATCACTATTGTGCTGTCAGCTATGCAGGTTGGTCTCGCTACGACTAAGCTGCAAGATAATGAGCGATTCCAGCAAGCCGCTTATGGATTCACTGTCTTCTCAATTCTTGCTCCTCTCATCGCCCTTGGGATCGCTGCTTCTCTTTTTGTTTTGCTGCTCGTCGCAAACCTCATCGCGACGCTACTGTACCGCAAGCAAAGGTTTCCATCGTCTGAGCAGATGCATCCAAAATCTCGAGTGTGATAAAGATCTTTGAATCCTACCGGCTCAGGTTGTTACAACAGCGTTAGTTTGATTGGTCGCATGTAACCGAGAGGCATAAACTTTGACCTATAGCACAAGCACTACGCTTTATAGTTTCTCGGGCTAGTGATGATGAATTTACTTCCCCGGTCCTTACTCTTCTTTTTTGAGTCTTGGACAGGATCTACTCCGTTAAGTGTGCCGTCTAAGGGCCACCCAAAAAGTCCGTTGCCGCATCTATGCTCCAGCTTTGTTCAATACCAGATTCACGTTCGAATTGGACTCATGATGGTGTTGATCGTAGGCAGCTAGACCCATTTCGTGTAATAGAAAGCAACAGATGTTGAGCAGTTTAGCTCTTCAGTGCATCGGTCGCCTAAGGTATCCTTGATCTGTGGATTTTGCTTTAGGGCTATCGATTCCTAGGGCTACGGAAGCTTTCAATTGCGGCAACGGACTTTTTAGATGGCCCTTGCCAGTGGCGCAGCGCATCGAAGAACGTGCGGAGAGGGTGCCCCGCTAGACAGGGTGGGCTCCCTAGCCGGCTCTCGCCAGGGCTTTGCAAGGCTGTGCATGTATCAGGTTAGCCGATGCGGCTGAGGCGTTCATGATAGCCGACCTTGAGGTGACTTACCGCTCACCCTCCGGCGCTGTGCCATGGCCGCGTCTTCTAGTGCGGTAGACTAGCACGACCTACTAGCATGGCTTTCACGACTTCTTCTATAGAGTTCGCCATTGCACTTTTATTGGGGCTGCCCGTTGTCTTTTTCGCTAGTCACTATGTCAACCGAGCTGCTCGTCGGAACAGCAGCCGACGCCAGAGGGGAGTCAAAGTACTTGCGCACGGCGCCAATGCCGAGAAGATCGAAGTGGAGTAAGAGGAAGCATTACTGTATTGCATGGTACACTTCCGCTAACGCACGGCGTGATTAAACAGCATCGTCGCCGTCCACGGCCTCGGAGCGCATCCCGAGTTCACTTGGACAACCAAAATCGATCCACAACAATGTTCGGACAGAACCAATGCTGGCCGGTGTGCTCACGTGCCCTGTCGTAGCAACTGGCTAGTGGACTTCCTCCCTACCGACTTCCCCGAAGCCGAGATCATGACGTTCGGTTACAATGCGGATTGGTTTGGCAAAGGTACTAGCGCAACCGCGTATGAGAGCGGATGCTTTCTTTTGCGCGAGCTCAAGGAAATTAGGGGAAGACACAAGGTCCGATAATCATATGGCTTGAGAAAGGCGCTTGCTTACATGTCGGCAAGCAGTCTCGACCCCTACTGTTTGTTGGACACAGTTTCGGTGGTCTTGTCGTAAAGGAGGTAAGTTCGCAAAGTTATGCAATGCTCTGTCCACGTGAAGGAGGCTAAATGCTATATCCAGGCACTTGTCCAGGCGAGCATTGAGCAGGACTACAGAGACATTGGAGACGCTACCTGTGGCATCATCTTCCTCGGGACGCCTCATCAAGGCTCCGGCGTTTCAGCCATTGGGGCGCTTGTTGCCTGGCTCACAACAGCACTTTTCGGCTCAGACATGACGCAGCTTGTATACCTTCAGAAGCACGGTAAAGAGCTTGCGAACCTGCAAGCACGGTTCGCAAAGAGTATTGTGGAAGGAATCAAGATGTTCTCTTTCTACGAGACACTACCAACTTGCTTCCACCAGATCTCACTCGGACTTGTGCGTTAACACCTGGCCTTGCACTGTCTTTCCCCTCCTCACATGCATAGGTTGTCAACAGAGACTCTGCTGGCCTGGTCGGAGACAGCATCTCAGTCGACAAAGATCATTCGGGTATGAACAAATGCATTGACAGAGAGGATCCGCTGTACAAAGACATTTGTCGCGCGATCCAGGGGATACTCGACAACGTCAGATCTGGGAAGAAAGGTCAGTGCGCCTTGACTAGCCGTACTCACTCCGACGCCGCTTACGAGAACCTTCGAACACAATAGCCGCTATATCGGTATCAGAGCAGCAGGCGCCCATATGTACGTCATCCAGAATTCTGCTTGACGTAACGTCGTAGACCGGCACTAATACATGATCGGCTAGTCATGATCCCGTACACAAGCAATCGGGATTTCGTAGGCCGTGAAGGAATCCTGGAGAAGTTAAAGAAACATCTCGCGCCTAGCCATCAACATCCCAGAGGAATGTCTCAAACGAGGATTGCGATTCACGGTCTAGGTGGTGTGGGGTAAGTTTGATTCTTGCTCCGTGGATTGAGAAAGTTCATGCTAAGTCGCGCTCAGGAAGACTCAGATCGCCATCGAATATGCATACTGGCTTCACAAGGAGCATCCAGAAGTCTCTATGTTCTGGGTCCATGCCAGCGATTCCGTACGATTCCACCAAGCGCTGTCCCAAATCGCGTCAGAATGCCAGGTTCCAGGAAGGGAAGGTGGAGGTGACGTATCAAAACTGGTGAAGGACTGGCTTGAAAGAAAGGACTGCCGACCATGGCTCATGATAATTGACAACGCCGACGACGCAGAAATATTCTTTGGATACAACAGAGAAGGATCTCAGAGCTCCACGGCCATCCGTCGGAACGCACATGCCGCTTACCTTGGAAGTTACATTCCCGAATGCTCACATGGAGCTGTCCTTGTAACAACTAGGAACAAACAGGTTGGAGTCGACTTGACGAGGAGCCCTGGGGTGATTGAAGTGGAGATGATGAACCAGGCAGAGGCCATCAGCCTTGTACGAACAAGGCTGGGAGATGACCACCAGGACAATGAGTTGATGGCTGATCTTGTGAACGAGCTGGAAAAGATCCCTCTTGCGCTGGCACAGGCCGCTGCGTTCATTCAAAAAAACTCATCTTCCATAGCGGAATACCTCGAAATTCTGAAAGAAAATGACAATGCGCGAGTGGAGCTATTAAGCCAGCCATTCCAAGCGTTGGGAAGAGACACAGAGGTCTCACACGCAGTAACAGCCACTTGGATGGTCTCCTTCAAACAGATCCGGGACCAAAATCCGCATGCGAGTAATCTCCTGTCACTCATGGCTTTTTTCAATCGACAGGACATCCCTAAGGCATATCTCTCTGACCGAGGAGAAAGCACATTAAATACGGAAAATGGACTGGGTATCCTCAAAGCTTTCTCTCTTATCACTGCAGGCAAAGGGACTCAGAGTTTCGACATGCATCGCTTGGTCCAGCTGGTAGTGCGGAAATGGCTGCTGACTGAGGATGAAGATCAACGATGGGCGGAGACAGCGCTACGGATAGTGTCCCGTCTGTACCCAAGTGCATTGTTGTACGGGAATTGGGAAACTTGTGCCGCCTATCTGCCGCATGTTTACACTATCCTTAGTTTCGCAGAGCTTTCTGAGGAAGCAGAAGACGACAGGGTGTGTCTTCTTCACGAGACAGCAGGATATCTCTCCAGGCAAGGACAACTAAGGCAAGCTGAAGAGTTCAACATGCAAGTAGTAGAGGCGAGGAAGAGGGTGCTAGGTTCTGAGCATCTAGACACGCTTATAAGCATGAATAACCTAGCGGTAATATACGCAGATCAAGGACGGTTGCAAGAGGCAGAAGAGCTAAACGTGCAAGTGGTAGAGGCAAGGAAGAGGGTGCTAGGTGCTAAGCATCCAAAAACGCTTACGAGCATGAACAACCTAGCGTTAATATATAGGGATCAAGGACGGTTGCAAGAGGCAGAAGAGCTAGGGGTGCAAGTGGCGGAGGCAAGTAAGAGGGTGCTAGGTGCTGAACATCCAGACACGCTTATAAGCATGAGCCTCCTAGCGTCAACATATCAGGACCAAGGACGGTTGAAAGAGGCAGAAGAGCTAAGGGTGCAAGTGGTAGAGGCGAGCAAAAGGGTGCTCGGTGCTGAGCATCCAGACACGCTTATAAGCATAAGCAATTTAGCATGGGTATACTGGGATCAGGGGCGGTCAGAGGAGGCTACAGTTCTGCTGTCAGACGCTGTCGAGCTTTCGCGCGTATCTCTCGGTCCTGATCATCCTAAGACTCAGAAGCGTCAGGCATGGCTAGCGGATTGGCAGCGCGAATCTTTGGAGAAGTCTTCGGAAAGATCTCCGTACATGGGACGGTGGGGTTTTAACGAGTCTGCATCTGAAGGCGCTGTGGTTCAGGGATCATGACAGAAGGAAGACAAGAGGAAGGAAGAGAGAACGAAGAACTGTCGGTGTCCAGCTGCATGAATTGCTCATACGTGATCATAGTTGCCAGACTGCCCAAATGTTGTATGTTGTCGGAAGAACGATACGCATGGGACCTCTGGCGATGCCGCCACACTCAGCAGACATGAGATTATCATGAACAGTACTGCTAAAAACTGCAGCGCACAGGCTTATATCCAATTACCTAGATCATCAAATCATATCCTCACTCACATCCAAGAACCCTCACCCCACCACCTCCCCACCCCTCCAAACACCCTTCAACAACCGCATCGGCTCAACCACATGCCACCACAGCAGCGCCGGCCACGGGTCCTCGAGCTCAAACAACTCCTCCTTGCCAAAAGCAATCAAATTAATCAGATGCACCACATTCTCCACCACCTCCCTCAGACGCTCCACAAGCCGTTTCCGCGTAACCCGCCGCCACAACAACACCTCAACAATCGGCAGGATGAGCAGTTCCCTCACAGCAACAGGAAGCGCGTAGACAGTGCCCACACCCGCCTCAGGCAAGAAAATGACAGCCCCCTCTTCGTCCTCCCTGTGGCCGTTAATGCGCACAGCCGGCTCAATCACCTTCCCGTTCTCGGCGGTAGGCGTCGGAACGGCGCTCAGGTACGCCGCGACGAGTTTTGCTGCTGTTTCCGGGGTCCGGCTGAGCTGGAGCAGAGACGCGAGGGTGGGGGACGCGGCTGTGGAGCAGGAGGTCGCAAAGATGGTCTGCGCGGTGCCGGTTGGAGTTGGGAAAGAGGAGACGCGGAAGGTGAGGGTTAGGTGGGTGGATAGGCCGTGCGAGTCGGGAAGAGCCGAGACAAGAGTTTGTGTGAAGCCGAGGAGGGTGGCGTGGAAGGCGGAGTCGGGGGTTACAAAGGCTGGTACGTGAATTTCGGCGTGGTTTCGTCCGGCGGTAAGAAGTTTTCTAGAGACTGGAGAGCCCCGTTGCACGGCTGGCAAACTCTCCGGCTTTGAAACCACGAAGGCCTTGAGCTCTCCGTTGACGACAAGCACGTGCGCGGCGTACTCCTCGCCCTCGACAACTTCCCTCATGATCCAAGGCAGCTGTTTCGAAATCTTCAGCTCCGCGATAGTGGTATAAGTCTCATTCATCGTCTGCATTGGCAACGTAATTCGCATCGGTGTCCGAGATTCCTCGTTGACGACATCCTCGACATCGTCGTCGTCCGCAACACCGCCGATACCGCTGTCCCGCTTCTCGCGCTCCTTGTCGTATGCGCGCATAAGGGCTGCACGCTCAGGAGTGATCTCTTCTTCTAGAACAAACTTTGTCCCCTTTGGCGATGCGCCGAGAGCTCGATGGATCTCCGCCCGGCTGAATACTCTTGAAATCTTTGGAGCGCGGATGTGGGTACCCTCCAGCCCATTCACAAAAGCAGCAAGAGCGGTCGGTTCTTCCAAAATCGCACGAACCTCCTTCGGAGGGTGTATAAAAGCGCACGTCCGCTGCGGATCCACGAAACTCCACGCATTGATCGTTTGTTCGGCGTGCTCTTGCTGTGTCACGTGATCACACAAAATCCAAAGACATGCTTCCTGAGTGCCAATGATGTTGGATACCCTCATGCTATACGGTATGCGCCGTGCTACCCCGAACTTCTGCGGGCGGAATATCCATTTCAGCCATGGCGCACGCTCTCCGCCAGGCGCCTGTTCCTTCCGGCTCTTTTGTAGGTGTGAGGGCGCTGGTCGCGGCGCGGGTAGTCTGTAGAAGTCGGCGATGGAGGCCGAGAAGGGCGCGACGGAAGCATTGACGTCTGCGCCCACAACTTTGTGCCCGGCGCGATAGAATAAGCGGGCGAGCGCGAGGCCAGTTGGGGTGTCTGCGCCGGTGATGAGGACGGTTTTGCGATTCGGTAGCGCCGTCCGCCGCGCAGCTTTGTTGCGGTAGCCGAGATAGTGATAGCAGTAGGAGAGAAACAGAAGGAGCGCAGAGACTGGAAGGAGGAGGATGCTGGGGAGAAGACGGAGGACCAGCGCTGCCGGCGGTGGGGAGGAAACAGCGGGCCTCATGGTGGTGAAGCTGATGAGATAGCGAAAGTTGGGGCTTTTGCAGAGCGCATGTCTACAATGGCGCCTCTGTTAAAGAGGAGCACGCGCGAAGAAGTCGAGTGCGAAGTGGGGGTTGGCAGAAAAACGTCATGGTGGGATTTTCTGGGGGTTGGGGCGGAGATCGACCCACTTTCTAGCGGCGGCTCGCTTCATGGGGTGCGCGGGCGCCAGCATGTGGGGCGGACCGAGAGCAACTCGTTCAACGCTTAATTCGACCGCCTGGGCACGTGCTGAGTAGAGTACGCGTTTGATGTTCGATCAAGCAGCACACGGATACAAGTACTCTGTTATGGATGTCGGCTCCCGCCAGCTGCTTCCCTTATCGTGTGCAGCTACTGCTCGGGTTTTGAAGGCTCAGCTTGTGCAGCGACTGGAGATGCAGCATGCATCAACCGCATGTGGAAACGCCTATTGGTGCGTTAACCGTGCAGATGGTGGTGGCTCAGCCTCAGCCTCGCGCGTGCACTTTGGACCTATACGTTCCACGGGGCATCACATGCGTTAGCCGCTATGTGATGCCAATAGTACTACCGGCATAAGCGCCTAACATTCCTCGATCCAACAGTCCAATCTAAACCGGTGCACACATAATGGGGATCCGTTAGCCAGACAGAAGCTAGGTATCGATGCAATGCGTAGCCGGGATAAACTGCGTAAGCCGTGCAGATAGCCTTGCCGCAGCACTGCCCCACTCTCAGCCTCAGCGAGAGTAGACAAAAGCGCAACGGGCTGCCTCGACATGATTCAACTCTTCCTTTGACTTACAAATTTTATTGCAATCAGCATGGAGGGGACAGTTGTGGGCGTCGTTTCGCTAGGCCTTCAGGTTTGCAAAGGACTTGTCGACTACTACGACTCCTGGAAATCATACTCGGGGGATATCGCAGCAACACACGGCTATCTTGAAGGCCTTCAAAAAGCCCTTGGTCTACTCAAAGAGTCACTCAAAAGTCATCCTCCTCCGGCAAATCTCGAGGCCGCTGCGAATGAAAGCATTGCCGCCTGCAAAGAAGGAGTGGGCAGGCTTGAAAATAAGCTTCGGAAAGTGGAGCAAACCTCAAAGTCGAGGGGGCTGAAGGGAAAGATGCAAGCGCAAACACTGAGGGCCTTTTATCCCTTCAAAGAAAGCACACTTGCGAAGCTGAAAGAGGTCGTGCAGGATCTTCAGTCAAATCTCGGCCAGGTCATGAGTGCAGTTCATATGTCAGTATGCGGCATTTATACAACCCTTCAAGTTCTTCAGTCTTTCTGAAGCTGATCAATGTATAGGGATATGGACGCTACAACGCTTAAGACCTTGAAAGCTATTGGCGTACGAATCGATAGCATTGCAGATGATACGGCTGAGATTCGCAGGGGAACAGCTGGGATCCGCACAGATACGAATGACATTCGCACGAAAATGGCAGGGACTTCCACGGATATTGCTGGCATTCGCACAGATACGGCTCGACTCCGTATGGATACGGCCGGCCTTCTCATGGGCACGTCTCATATTCAACAAACGATTCAAAGCTCGCAAACAGGTATTGTTAGATTATTTGATTCTCCGCAGGATATCACAAGTTTTAACAACCCTTGCAGAAGAGAACAAGCAGAAGATTCTTGAATGGCTCACGAGAGCTGATCCATCGTCAAACCACAACGAAGCTCGCAAAAAGCACGAGCCCAAGACCGGCGACTGGCTCCTTCAAAGCCAAGTCTACAGGAACTGGAAGGCATCACCAAACTCACTCCTATGGCTCTACGGAAAGGGTGAGTACCACAATTCACCAGTGAAACCATTATGAGCATGAATGGTTTCGAGCCGAGCCCCTTGCCGTGTTACTGATTGTTCTACTGCTCAGCGGGATGTGGCAAGACCATCCTATGGTAAGCAATCTTAATAGCCCCTGAGCGACTGATACCTGATGCATGCACAGCTCCTCGGCTATCGAAGACGTCAAACATTTCTCTGCCAACCAGTCTATCGTAGCCTACTTCTACTTCTCCTTTCGCGATGTACAGAAGCAGACTTTCAAGAACTTCGTTCTATCAATCATCGCGCAGATCTGTCACGACCGGCCAATCTCTCAGAGCGTGAAGGCCCTGTACGAACACTTCCAGAACGCAGAGCCGCCGACTGATCGGATCGAGGAAACGCTCCGCTCGGTCATTCAGGAAGCCGGAGATCTGTACATTATAATGGATGCTCTGGATGAATGCATCCAAGAGCCCGGGCGCCGAGAAATAGAGGAGGTCCTAAGATGGCTTGAGGAGCTTTCTGGCTCAATGGATTGCAGAGCCCGAGTGCTGATCACGAGTCGGAAGGAACGAGAGATCGAGGAGGTACTGTTATCTACGCTTCAAGCGCCGGCAATATGCGTCGAGAGCGCTCAGATTGAAGAAGATATTCGGCGATATGTCACGAGCGAACTGGACCGTGATCGGAGGTTCAGGAGGCTCAATGAATCACCGAAAGAAGAGATTAAGATTACGCTCGCAGATAAAGCTGATGGGATGTAAGTATGCCTTGCCACATGAAAGGAGTTCTACACTAACCGCGATACCCACAAGGTTTCGTTGGGTGTACTGCCAGATCGAAGAACTCAAGAGATTGAAGTCAATGCGACCCAAGGACGTTCGCTCAGTCTTGGAATCACTACCCAGAACCCTGGACGAGACGTACGAACGGATTCTTACAAGTATTCATAGTCGATACCAGCATGAAGCATTCAGAGCTCTGCGTCACCTGGTGTTCTCTGAACGTCTTCTGACCCTTGAAGAGCTTGCCGAAGCATCTATCGTGGATCCGGACGCCGAGCCTCAAGTCGACGAGATGGACAGATTCGAAGATAATGAGATGATCGATATTCTTTCCAGCTTGGTAGCAGTAGTCTCCCCATCAAAATACAGTATCTATCCTCCCGGTACAAAAATGGTACAGTTGGCGCATTTCTCCGTCCAGGAATACCTCCTCTCCCAGCGAATCCAAGATAGTCCCGCCTGCAGCTACGCTGTCAACGCAGAGCTAGCACACTCGTTCATTGTGAAGAGTTGCCTCGCCTACGTATCCTTTTACAGCCTCCACCCGCGAAAGGCCTCTTCCAAAGCTGATCTGAAGAATTTTACATTTCTTAAATACGCCTGTGAAACCTGGGTAGATTACGTCAAAAAGTGCGCCAGCCAAGACCAACTAGCTATCATCACCCTTGCGGCCAGCACGATGTCTTCACAAACTGTCTTCTTGGACTGGGTCAGGATACACCGCCCAGACGTGCCTTGGAGAGCTACTTTTGAACCGGCGGTGAGTACTGGTTCGCCACTTTACTATGCGGCTTACTGCGGCTTGTATGAGGTTGCCGCACTGCTGCTTAGCAAGGGCGCGGACGTGAACGCGCAAACCGGGCTCGACGGTAGCGCGCTACAGGTGGCGTTAGCTAGGGGCTATAAGGAGATAGCCGAGCTGCTGCTTAGCAAGGGCGCGGACGTAAACGCGCAAGGCGCGCTCGACGGTACCGCGCTACAGGTGGCGTCAGCTAGGGGCTATAAGGAGATAGTCGAGCTGCTGCTTAGCAAGGGCGCGGACGTAACCGCGCAAGGCGGGCGCTACGGTAGCGCGCTACAGGCAGCGTCATTGAGTGGCTATAAGGAGACAGTCGAGCTACTGCTTAGCAAGGGCGCGGACGTAAACATGCAAGGCGGGCCCGACGGTAGCGCGCTACAGGCAGCGTCATTTAGTAACTATCAGGAGATAGTCGAGTTGCTGCTTAGCAAGGGCGCCTACTACAGGTGAGACAACAGCGGAGACAAGTAAAGACGAAGGAGATGAAGCAGACGAAGAAGGCTAAATACCACTTGCAAGAGGTAAGCGCATCCGAAGCGCCGCGTCTAACCCCTCAAGCTCAAAGGATCCGGTGTAGAGCAGAGCACCGAGCCACGGGGCGAGAGCCGCGAACTCGCAGCAGCATTTTCGGTGACGCGTGCTGTTCCGGAAGTAATTACGATTGGTCATCCGAGGGAATGTTATCTAGACAGAGCTGCAAAGAGGGCACGCTCCTTTGTTCATCTGCTTGGTTTGGTGTGAAGCTTTTTTCTTTCCTCGGTCGCGAAGGCGTGGAGTCGGCTGGGACGGGCTTTAGAGTGAGAAATGACGGCTGGCTTTTACATCTTTGTACAGATGCAGGTTCGCGGCGGGGTTGGAGGACAAGGACTGCATGGTTCAGCGTGGAGGGTTGTAGTTCGCTTGTTCGGAACGAGATGTTGGCTCATGCACGATCTCTGTGTTCGCAGCAGCAACCTGTTACATATCTGTCCAATGCCCTCGGCTCGAAGATCTGGTTTTCTGCGCTTTCCTGCACTACAAGACGGCGAGCCATCAGCACAGCAATGCAATGGTTGATGGCAAAGAGGATTGGAGGGGTCCCTGAACAAGCACCTCTATTCCCCAGAGCCGTTCTATCAACTGCACTTGCAATAACCCATCTTCTATCCATCCGTTCCGGACGACATTACAAGCTCAGCCACAGCCGCAGCAAGTGCCCTACCAACATCAAACGTCTCGAGCACGCACATCGCTGCCAGAGTGAATCATCGTACCACGCAACACACACCAGCCCCTCACGCTCAACCTCCATCGCAAGCCCACTCCCCATCCCATCACACCCTCAATCCTTCTTCAACTCCCTGTACACCTCCTCAACCCCCTCCTTCGTGATAACCATCATCTGCAGCCCATCCCCGACCTCAATATGCCTCTCGACCGCACTCGTAAATGCATCCCTGACCAGCTCCTCCACCTCCTTCCTCTCCAACGGCCGCGGATCCCGCTGCTGCAACTCATGCCCGACCCCGCTCCCCGCCACATACTGATTCTTGTAATTGACCTGGTTGTCCAGGAACGGCATTATCAAACTCGCCGCCGCGCCCGCCGCGCGACATTGCTCCCGCTCGTAGCTCCCGACAGGGTCGTAGCTGTAGAGCGCGCCTTTGCCCTCTTCGTCCAACCCACCGAGAATGGCATGTACGTAGTACGGGAAGAAGCGCTTCCCATACAGCACGTGGGAGAGCCGCTGGGCTGCAGCCCCGACGCTGATGGTCTTGCCGTGCTGGTAGCGGTACATTTTTACGACGGTGTCGAGGCGCTCGGCGAGGGCTTCGCCGTCGGCGGCGAAGCCGACGACGGAGAGGACGAGCCGGGAGGACGGGTCTGCGGAGTCGATGTGGAAGAGCTTGGGGGCGTAGCGCGTGTTGATGTTGTAGCCGCTCGTGCTGCGGGTGTCGCCGGCCAGGATGGTGAAGTTGGAGCTGGAGATGCCGAGGGTGGAGCCGCCGTTGTCGGTGTAACTGGGGGATGTTAGCTCGAGGTTGGGGGCTTGGGAAGGGGGGATGAGGGAGAGAGGTGAGAAGGGGAGCGTACGGGTAGAAGGCGTGCTGTCGTGGCTCGGATGCTGATGTCGGCGCTGGGGTTTGCGTGAAGGAGTAGCCTGGTCCGCTGTTCGGCGGCGCACCTGTGAAGATGGCGGCCATGGTTGATGGTTCGTTCTTGTCGGTGGAGATGAGAGGGATGAGGTTGGGAGGCTGTGGTGTTGTAGCGTGGTGTTGAATGTGAAGGTGGTGTTTGTGGTTGACGGCGTCTTGAAGCTCTGGCGACGCGAAGCTCAAGCTGCCTGCCGGTCTTGGCGCCGGTCACTTCGGCGGCCGCACCTCACCTCCGCCGCAACGACCAACAGGTATCACCAACCCGCAAAGATGCTCGGACTCAATGACTACGGGAGCAGCGACGAGGACGAAGCGCCTCTATCGAAGGCACCTCAGCAGGTAAGAGCTTCTTTGCTATCAATTGTTGCTGGAAAGGCTGGATATCTACTAATCAACCAGACATTAGACGAACACCCATAATAGCCTCCCCACTGAGGGCGCCGCGCCCAAGACACAGCGTACATCTCCCCCTCCTCAATTCTTGCGCGTCAAAGCTGACCGCAGACAGAGGATGCGCAACCCCGGCCTCCACCCCCAACACCCGCCCAGCAGCCCCTCGCGCCCACCAAACCAACACCACCTCCAAACGACGCACCTGTCCCAGGACCAACACAACCTCCCACCACCGCACCCACACTAGGTCCCCCACCCGGCCCAATCCCGCAACCTCAAGACATACCCGCACATTCCATCACCTCCGCTTTCTCATCCCCTCGCCCAGCCGACCCCCACGGCTCAGCACCAGCCTCAGCGCCCCAATCACCACACTCCACAACCCGGACCCAAATCCACAACCTCACCCTCCCTCCCCGTGCAGACTTCACGATCCCAGACTCCCCGCCCGACACCCCCCCTCCCAGCACCGCCTCCAAATTCGGCCACTTCCTCGCCCTCAAAGCAGCAGGCACGCACTTCAACGCGCGCATCGCCTCGACCCCATCGCTACGGAACCCGAGCCTGCTCGCCAAGCTGCTGGACTTCGCAGGCATCAGCCAGGAAGAGAGCTACGCCAGCACGCTGGGCGAGGACAGCGGCGGCGTGCCGGCCATCTACCCGCCCGAAGCCTACGCCGACAGCCTGCAAGGCTCGCAGAGCGCCATTACCGCGCAGCGGGACGAAGCCGCGCGGAAGGCGGGGAGGGAGAAGGTCGACTTTGTGCCGGCTGCTCCGGGTGCTGCTGTAGGAGCGGGAGCGGGGGGGCCAGCGGGAGCAGGAGGGCCAGTGGGGGGAGGATTAGGCGGGGCAACCTCGAACACAACCAGCAGAGTCAGCACGCCGGGCAGTACTGCAGGCGGCAGAGCCGCGGGCCGGGGCGGCGGTGTGGGACGGGAGAAGGGCAGGGTGGCGACTGTGAGGGATGGGAGGGGGAGGTGGGATGAGGAGAGGAGAGCTGGGAAACGGTCGAGGACTGGGTCGCGGTCGCCGAGGCGGTGAGGGTGGATGAGTGGTGAGGAGAATTCGAGGACGGGTTGCGGGATGCGGTTCAGGGAATGCACGAGGGTTACTGGTTCAGGCGATGTTGGGGCGAAATCGAACTTTCTGGTGTAGCCTGCGTTTGCTCTTTGTGCATATTGGGAGCCTTACGAGGAGTGATGTTGTGTTCTCTGCTATCGTCTACACGAAGTGCAGCGGCTTGACTGCTATTGTGAAACAAGCCAAGCAATCTGTGCAACCTTAATTACTTCTCCACCCGTTCCCGTGACAGCGCGGCCAGACTGCTCGGGTGGTGCATCTCTCCACTGCTTGAAGCGGTTCATGGTTCTACAAAACCAATGCTGCACGGCTAAGCTACTCATATCGCCGGAAAGTTATGAGATCACGTGCAGAACGTCAACCGCGACGGTGAAAGGATAACGGTGGCAATTACTGGCATGGAGAAAGCTTAATCTTGAACAAATAATTAGCCAGCTGTAACACCAGTATTCAATGCGTGGTTGATAAATGCAGCTGGTTGAACAACCTCCTCGTCGCGGTTGACGTTCTGCACGTGATCTCATAACTTTCCGGCGACATGAGTAAATGCTGGCGAACATTTCGACGCGAGGTCACGTGACGCTGGTGTTCCGAGTATCGCCGGAAGACCGACAAAGAGCAGCTTTGTCGACTTGAAGGATTCGGAGCAGCGGAAGATAGCCTTTCATAAAGGGCAAGTCATCGCCGGGTAACAGCGACAATCTCCGTTGTAAGGAGGAGTCTGATGAGAGGGAGTGCGCTGTGTTAATATTCTCATATTGAGCGAGCTAGCAGTGGCCGGGCAGCCAAGATACGACGTGATGCGGTATTCACGATTCTGTCGCAGCGTAGTCGCCTACTCTCACGAGTAGAGCCGAACACAGCAGTGACAATGTTGCAGCAATCGCTTCACGCATGGGCGAGATGCCTCGCAGAAGCTTCAGTGCCTCACTGCACTATATCCATCTGCGGGCGGGCATACGTCGTGATACCGCGGACTTTCTAGTTAGGTCTCTGCGTTCACTACTTCAGCTTCGCCGGTGCTTCACACCGATGCTACGCTTTGAAACATCAAGCATTCACTCGCACCTTGCATCATGCTTAGACGTCAGAGACCATCACGAAATCCCCACCAGCGATCGCTCCAGTCGGAACCCTCTCTCCACGAGCGGCCCCATCAGCGGTTCAGATAAGACTGAGGCACACAGTCGAATTAGAGCGCCCACACGTACATCTCTCCATCCTTCGCCAGAGCGAATGGCATATCCGCGGAAAAGCCTCCCCTCTCGGGTGGAAGGCTCCTCGCGAGGGACCTGTGCTGTTTCCATCGCCAGTGGTAACTGCGACGAAAGGGTGCAAGTATCTGTGGTGTGTGCTTCAGCTTCATCTCCTGCGCAGAGGCAACATTTTGTGCGGCTACTCTGGGAATCTTCAGGCCAGGGCCGAGAGCGGTGAGGATGAAGTTGACTCATCGAATCTTGGAACGAACGACTCGTCGGAGCTTCAAGGGATGGGCGATGGAACCGAAATATGCTTAGCTCATGAAAGGCGTGGTCTGACAGGCTGATGCTGTGACGACTGTGGCTGATATAGAAGCGGGAACTTCATCATGTAGAGCAATGACTTTGGAGAACTGAGAAAACGCGAGTGGAGGGACTCGGTGATTGTGGTCATGGTTTGACTAGGACTGAACGAATATGTAGAGGTCCTGGGATGCCATAGACTGGAAAGAAGCGGAGATGCCTGGAGTGTGGTAGACAATGGGAGTTACACTTCTAGTTTACGAGTTTATGACTGCAGTCTCTTTGCTCTAGAGAACTTCTGATCAATCGGACATTCAACCCTCACCCCCACCCACCTCATTTGTTCACTTCGTGCAAATGAGCATACTTCGACCCTTCAAAACAACCATTCTAGCATCATTGCAAAGCAAGCACAAAGCGGCAACGCGAAGAGTTCAGTGACCCAGCAGCGATGGTTCTTGCGACCGAAGTGTCAGTTTCATCTCCATTCAAGGGAGAAGAGAAGTTGTGGACGTTGAAGCTCTCCAGCTGGAACGGAGAACCGAAAGTCCGCGATAGCTTGGCGCCAAGGCCCGCAGCTGCCAGAGCTTCGCGTCGTGAGCTCTGCCGGAGCTGCCTGCATCAACACCACGACCACCATCGCCGCCGTATCCTCCACGAACACTCCAGCACTTCCTTCCCATCTATTCCCACCTTCTTCATCACCATCTGAAGCTCTCACCCAGCAGCATGAACCACCTCCCACAAGCCTGGGGCCGCGTATGTCTCCCTACCTCCTACTGGCATCCCCCAGCTAACCCACCCAGCCCCGCGACGACATCTACGGCGCCTACAACCACTCCCACCTCGCCCCCGGGCAACCCACGACGCACACCAAATCCCCCATCGTAACCGGCACGTCCGTGATAGCGCTCAAGTTCCGCGACGGCGTCGTCATCGCCGCCGACAACCTCGCCTCCTACGGCTCCCTCGCGCGCTTCACAGACGTCAAGAGGCTGAGGAAGTTCAACGACAAGGCTGTCCTCGGCTTCGGCGGCGATGTGAGTGATATGCAGTATCTAGACCGCCATCTCAACGCCCTGGCCGTGCGGGAGAACTACTCCAGCGGCTCGGGAGCGGGCGAAAAGGCTTCCTCCACCTCAGCTGAAGCCAGCGAGGAAGAGCGCGCGGAGAGCCTGGACAATGAAGGAGCGGGTACGGGAATGGCGGCAAATAACCTGCACAAGTACCTCCAGAAGCTGCTCTACCGCCGCCGTAGCGACTTTAACCCGCTGTGGAACCACATCCTCATCGCCGGACTATCGACGCCGGACCCGAAGGTTCCGGATGCGACACCGCAGCCGTTCCTCAAGAGCGTGGATTTGCTGGGCACCGCGTTCGGTGCGCCATCGCTGGCCACGGGATTCGGTGCGCACCTCGCGCAGCCGATCCTGAGACGCGTTGTCCCGGATGAGGAGGCGGTGAAGAAGATCGATGAGAAGACGGCGGTTGAGGCGGTTAGGGAGTGCATGAAGGTGCTGTGGTATCGGGATGCGCGGAGCTTGGATCGGTACAGTTTGGCGATTGTGACGGGGGAGGGGGTTAGGTTGAGTGAGGATGAGAGGGTTGAGGGGCAGAGCTGGGAGTTTGCGGAGGGGATCAGGGGGTATGGGACGCAAGTTGTTTGATGGGATTAGGGGAAGGGATTTGTGGACGGGGCGTGGAGAAGAAGGGAGTGCGGGGCTGTGGAGATGGATGGGGAGCAGGAGCTGGAGTTGGCTGCGTTGCGAGTGAGAACTTAGACTGGAAGGCTAGGCGTCGAATGCAGCTTGTGTTGTCTGTGCATTTGGCAGCGAGGACAAGGTAATATCTGTTCATACTGAGTCGACCGTTTCCTGCTGGTGTGACTGTTCAACCGCGAGTTGCAAAGTTTGGTGCCAGCGTCATCACATTTCGGAGACGTCGAGCGCATAAATGCACGTGTAACCCATCGAACCAGAACCTCTACATGACCTGCGTTCCTATCCATCTAGTAGGTAGTTTCGTCCGCTCCATCTACATCGAGCCATCTGGCCTCAGTCCAAATCACGTGCGATTTCATCTTGTGGATCAGCGAATTTCGTCAGTCTGGACTTCGGCCTTTGGCTTGTCCGGAGAGAGAGTCTGTTCGATCACGTAAAACCATGCGACACCCAGGTTTGACATTGGTAAAGCCTTCGACTACTATCTACGCAAGCGCTCTTGCATGTATGATTCTAGCAACTCAACCACTCCGTGATGCTCCTCCTCTACCGCCCATGATAGTGGCGTCCGACCGTCGTTATCCTTCGAATCTACGTTGGCACCCCGCTCTACCAGCAGCTTAACCACCGACTCGTGCCCTTCCTCTGCCGCTAATGATAGGGGCGTCCGACCGTCTTCGTCCTTCGAGTCTACGTTGGCACCCCGCTCTACCAGCAGCTTAACCACCGCCTCATGCCCTTCCGATGCCGCGTATGATAGTGGCGTTCCACCGTCGTTATCCCGAGGGTCCGCGTCAACATCATCCTGCTCTACTAGCAGCTTAACCACCGCCTCATGCCCTTGCTCTGCCGCGTATAATAGAGGCGTTCGGCCTTCGTTATCCCGAGAGTCCACGTTAACATCGTCCCGCTCTACTAGCAGCTTAACCACCACCTCATGCCCTTCCCGTGCCGCGCATGATAGTGGCGTTTGACCGTCGTTATCCCGAGAGTCTACGTCAACATTGTCCTGCTCCACTAGCAGCTTAACAACCGCCTCGTGCCCTTTCTCTGCCGCCCAGGATAGCGGCGTTAAACCTTGGTCGTCCTTTAGGTCCACCTTCGTATTACGCTCTGAATCAACGACTGCTGCTACCACGCTGGAAAGGCCATGTCTTGATGCGGTGTGCAGTAGAGTCGTGCCTTTATCGGGACAGTGATAAGAATGACGATCTATCATCCGATATTGCCGGGTCCAGCACTCTAGGACATGACATGAGGGCCATTGGAACAAGTCTAGCAAGTCATCTTGGGTTATCCCTTCTGCCTCTACGGACGCCGCGTGCGACATCCATTCTGTTGTAGCATATCGTAGGAATGGGAACTTTCTTTCGAGGTCCTGGGCGTTGTCACAGCCTTGAAGGTCTTGCTCGTCTTCCCAAACTTCGAGGTCTGGCTCGTCTTCACTAGCTTTAAGGCCCAGTCCATCTTCACTGTGGTAACTGAGCACTTCAGCCATGGTAATGTACCGAATACAGGATCTCGATAGTCGAAAGTGCGCACGACCCTTCACACTACGGTTCGAAGAGCTGTCGAGCCTTTGCAGCCCGCTTTGAATGAGGTAGTCGTTGACTGACTGGTGAATCAGCTGCGCTATTCGTCGACCCTCATAGCCGTTTTTTATCTCGACGAGACCCCCAGATAGGCTTTTCACCCTTCTCTCCATCTCCTCGCCAGTCTCCACGTAATTCGGGGAATTCTGACGCAACTCGCTGAGTGACTTGTAAGGGCAATCCGCATCGACTGCCATTGCAAAGCGGAGTTCGTCCACTGAAAGAGGTTCCCGCGCGAAGCATATCCACTGCATTAGCAGCAACGTTTGGGTCCGATCTTCATCTTCGATCCCGCCTAAAAGGTCTCGGTAAAGGTTTTCTAGCTCTGGTGGTATCTCTTCAAGTTTCTTCAGGATGGCCTTCATGGGAGTTCCTCTCAAGTGTAGCTGCAGGACAATCGAAACAACGAGGACAACCCATTGGAAAACGCCGGACGCCCTCTCAACGATCTTCTCCGTCAGATCAATGGCTTTTCCGAGGTCTGAGAATCCACCGTGGAGTCTACCTTCGACATAGGTCACTATATCCAGATGGTTTTCGTCTTCCATGCAGATCGTGAGACCTCGCTCCAGGGCCAGAATAGGATAATGTCGGCATGAGAAGCATATGCCAAAAGCCTCGATAGGAGCCAGCTTCGAGGTTAAGCTCTCGAAGAACGCTATCAGGTCTCTCGCATTCTTTTCACCACATTCGTCAAGTGCGTCAATGTGCAGGCGTATTGAACACGCCTTCGAGGCGTCCAGGATAGTGTCTTCCAGAAACTTTTGGAGTTCCGTTACATGCCACTCCCAGGTTTTCCCCGGCTCGCCTTGGGTTTCGCATTTCTTCTTGAAGATGGAATAGAACTTGGACAGCAACTCGGGAATTTGATCCAAGACCTGGTGCAATAGAGACCGAAACAGACCGAGAGGGTTTCTCTGGAGAGGGGCGCCACCACCGTGGAAGAAGAATGAAGCTACCACAAGCTTGGTCCGAGATGCTCGCTCCTTGCTATGCTGAAGTGCGTACTTCATCAGCGTTGACTTCCCCGCCCCAGGCTTACCCTTAATCCAGAGTAGCCCTTGATCCTGATCAAGCCAAGTTGTGTAGTGCTTGTGCTCGAGCAGCCACGCACACGTCTTAGAGGCTTCATTTTTGATGCCGTTGGCCCTCATGTTCATCTCCGGGTAGAATAAGGAGCGCAGGCAGGCTTTGAGCAGGTTAGCATAAAGAGCGATTGCCGTTTGGGTAAGTATTTGTAATCTCGCTCAATTTGGGTCTTTTCACGCATCTTTGCCTCCTGGCGTGCTATCGTACGCTAGTAATCAGCAACATGTAGATTGGCGATCCTGCAGGATTTGTGTGGTTCACGCGTACCTCGTTCTTTCTGTTCGACAATTGTTATCCAATCCCGTATGAAGCGAAGGATATCCTGGTAATCTTCTTCATCCCGCGATGCAAACCTCTTAAGATCGCGGTGCTTCTTGTCGAATCCAATCTTCTGTGATCCATCTATAACTGCGGAGTCCTCGTCCACCACCTGAGGCTCATGTTACTCTCATTACATATACTTGCAGTTCAAGGATCGGCACTCACATGCATGATCGGAAAGCCAAATACAGACTCCATTACTGCTTCGAAGACACATACGGTATTTCTTGGCCTCAGCCGCGCCGTCAGAAACCGCATGAAGCTCTCGTGCAGCTCTTTATTGATGCGAGATCTACAGTCCATGATCTCCAGCATGCTGGTGCTTGAACCCTTCCAGTGGCTGAATAGAGACACCAATTTTCCGAACACCGTAAGTCGAGCACCTTTGTGTGGAGTTCCTAGGAAGATGAAGCCTTGGGTTTGTCGGCTGATACTACGGTAAACCTCGTCCGCGCCGTCCCCGCTTGCTATAACCAAGGCCTTGTTTCGTCAATTCTCTTCATCTGTAGATCTAGAATGTAAGACTTACTTGTTTGATTATAAGACCACCAAAGCTGTGGCCAATAAAGATGATAGGTCGGGCTATCTCCTACTGGGGGTAAGCGCTTCTTGGTGAAGTTGCCGCCACGTTTCCGTGGTGTCAGTCTTACCTCTGGTGTCTGGCGTTTCCTGTGGAGCGTGCGGAGTAAGTCCTCCCCATAGTCCTGTAACGACTTGCTGAGGGCGTTCGCCTTCCATACAGTATTATGATTGAAAGCCATGACGCGCGTGTTGGGAAGGTCTTCCGGGAGAAAGTCGCGTAGCCACATGGGCCTAGCGGAAGGGAATGCTGAGGTATTGTGTTCATCACTTTTGGGGGCTAGCCAGGTCGTTTTCGGGTTCGATGCGAGGCCGTGGACGGCAATAATACTAACAGCAAGGGAATGAAGTCAGGCTACAGAAAGGTTGAAATAATGCTGGAGTAGCACCAACTCAGCTATAATAGCGCCTTCCAGAGCTCCGTTGCTTGTGCTGTTTCGGGAGAACACCTCTAAAGACCTCCTACGTAGGTCGTTGGCTCTAGTGCGGTGGAAGATTGCTTGCGCTGGCGACAGAGCAACACATAGCATAAGGTCCAGAAAAGCGAGAACAGAGAGCGGTATCGTATAAGCGGAGAAAGTCAAAGTGCATATCAAAGTCATCAGAACAAAAAGGGCGAAAAGGGCAAGGCTGAAGACACGATGGAAAAGGCTATCCGATAGAACCACCGCCCACACCAGGTACAAGACTAGAAGCGTCGTGGAGACTACGAGAGAGTCCATATCGACAGTCTAATCTCCGGTGCTGCCGTGACTGGAGCCCTTGTGGTCTGAACAGGTTCGAGTGTGGAGAGGTCGACGAAGGCGGAGACATTAATGTGGCGCCGCGCTACCATTTCGGGGAACTGCGACTGTCCCGACTGAACTTCTGGACCAGGATCTTTCTTCGACGCTTTACGTATCACAAGGTTCACGGGCAGTGCGGTGCGCACTTCGCTCAATGCTATGGGCCAATGCTGTTTTCGTTCGGCGTTCTGAGCGCGGCACTCGCCGCCATGCAAGTGGCTTTAGCGGCTCAATGGAAGCTGATGTCGAGACAAAGGTATCCAGAGCACGACTTGGCGACCTCCGTCCACAGCCCCAAAACTCTCCGCAACCACAGCCACACTGAGATTCCAGCACTTGGAATCCCTTCCCCAACCCGACGTAGCACCTCAACGCTCACTGCCTCTTAAACCTCCACACCTCCGCCGTACATCCCCATGCCCTTACGGCCCCTAATTCCCCTGAAAATCACCCTTCAGATCTTCAAACTCCTCAAACATCCCAATCCTCAAACCCCTCAAACCCTTCAGACTTCTCGAACCCCTCATACCATTCAATCCATCATATCCATCACACACCTCAACCCCTTCACCCTCACCCCTACCCCCTCAGCGGCAAAACATGCTGCGCAAGCACAACCCCCCTACAAAGCGGACACTCCGGCCTCTCAGCCACCCAATCCCTAATACACCCCCAACAAAACACATGCCCACACGTCGTGACGCCCGGATCCCGCATCGGCTCCAGACACAGCGTGCACTTGCGCGCCTGCTTCCCGTTTATCCACTGCATCGTGGCCGGGTTCGCCAGATCGTACCGCGGGAGGGGCGAGGCGGGGGTGTGGGTCAGCCGCTGGAGCTCTGAGGCGGGGTGGTGGTGCGTGGGGGGTGACTCGGAGAGAAGGAGCGCGTTGTTCGCGGCATAGTCGTTCGGGTTTAACGAGACTTCGACGCCGTGGTCTAGCACTGCCGTCCCGCCCGCCACAGCCTCCGCATTCGCCGCTGCAGCGCCAGCGCCAGCGCCGGCTTCGGCCTGCCCACCCATCCCCGATTCAACGCCAGAGCGGACGCCCTCCTGTAAATGCAACCACGCCTGCACGCCTAGCTGCAGCACGAGCAGCACGCCCAGCACCTCGTACCCGACGCGCTGGTCGCCGGGCTCGACGCGCCGTGTGAAGATATAGCGGAGGCGGAGGAGCCGCTTGCTGAGATGGTAGTAGGCGCCGGTGAAGTAGAAGGTCGCGAGGCTGGCGGCGTAGATGGGAGCGGGGGAGGTGATGGTGTCGAGGTTTGCTAGGATATACGCCATGAGCCTCCTCTTTAAACTGCGTAGCCTGGCTGTCCGCTGCTGCTGCGACCCTTTCTGCTTTGGCGGCTCGCGCAATCGCGCCTCAAGCGTTTCGCGCACCCGCCGTCGAAAGGCTGGGAGTACTCGACCAAGCCCGTACGGCACAAGCACACTCCCTAGTATGTACCCCGCCCGCCTCCCCACGCCCGCAAGCCGCCCGGTCTCGCCCTCAATAAGCACAACATCGCAGTACTCCTCCCCAAGCGTCCTGTTCCCAACCCCGGTTGTTAGAGCCAGATACAGCAGCTCAGCGGCGGTGCGGGCGTCGGTCGCGTGAGCGTGTGCGAAGCGCGCCCCGAGGGCTGAGCGGAGTAGGGAGGAGAGCGAGGTCGAGAGCGTGCCGGCGAAGTAGGCGTCTTTTTGGTGGGTGCGGATTATGTCGGGGGAGGTAGCGAAGGGGTAGGTGTGGGTGGACATGACTGCGGATTGGTATCCCTGGTCTAAATCTGTGGGCGTGCTAGGTCATCGAGCTGTGTGCGCCGGACGTGGTAAAGTGTGTTTGATGCTGTGTAGAGGTGCGGCTCAGGACGTTGGAGCTCGTGCTTGGGATGCGCGATGCCTCGGCTCAGGGCCCGGCTCGCGGCAGACGGCGCGCAACTCAATTCAGACGACATCGGCACCTCAGCTTCAACCCTGCCTTATCAGCGGAACTCAAACCATCTCTGGTCGGGCGCTTTCAGGCTTAGGCGCGTTCTCTGAGGCTACTCGTACCCGAGATGTCTTCAAACAAGCGGCCGAAGTCTGATTGACTGATCGTCTCTTGTTTGGGGCCGCAATAGTTGATCCCAAGCGCTTACGCCAAGCGGATCTCTTGCCGCAGACGCGAATACGAAGACTCTATCGGAGTTGAATCACACCGGCTTGCTGCCGGGAACTTACTTAGAGAGGCAGATAACAGGAGCTTTGCTACTGGGTAGTATATCAACAAGCCCCCTCCCCGCTCCGCGCTCCCTCCATCTCTGTCCGCTAACAAGCGCACCTCAAACTTTCGCAGCGTTGATCTTTCGTCCCTCAGAGTCAATTTCTCGCTCATCCCTATCACCACCAGCCCAGCATCCCACCATGTCCTTCACAGCCGTCAACCTCCCCCTCCCCATCCTCCTCCATTCCCTCTCCCTAACCGGACTGGGCCTAACTCTCCTCCTCCGCCCCCACCGCTCCCCTTTCTCCTTCCTGACGCGCCGCGAGATCTTCGCCTCCAACATCTCACTTCCCTCCTCTTCCTCCCCCGCTAAACCCGCCGACTCCGCAACCACCGCCTCCGCCTCCGTCGCACACCCCTTCCCCCGCCGCGTAATCGACACAACCGCCCACGCCGGCACAGCCGTCACAGCCGTCGGCCTCTGCTACCTCGCAACGTCCTACATGCCGATCGAGGAGAACCAGTTCCTGCACGCGACGGTGCCGATCCGGGTTGTGACGGTCGGGCTGCTGTTGAGCACCCTGGTGCTGCGAGGCAGCGAGATGAGTCAGGAGGGGTGGTGGGAGCATCTAGGGTTGGCGGTGTGGGATGGGATTGGGGCTGTGGGGCTGGGACTTTATTTGGGGAGCTGGGACGGCCGGATACCCGCGCGGTGAGGGATTCGAGTTTGGAGAGCGTGGGTTGGGAGGCTGGATTTGGGAATTGGGATCTGGGGGTGTGGGCCTCAGGGCCCTGGATGGGTTGCGCTCAGGGTGTGCCTTTGGCAAAAGGCTTTTTCATGGCTCCCGGTCTGGTGAGGGTTCGAAGATCTGTTGTATATAGCTGCGAGATCGCATCATACAGGACGATGAGGCTCGTAAAAAAAGCCGATGTGATGCTGAGCTGCCAACGCACGTGACTTTCATTGAAGACATCACAGCCTGCAAGTATGCGTGCTTCACGTGGACGTAACACCACGGCGGTTTTGCACTTGCGTTTATGCTAGCTTTGATTGCAGTGGATGATTCCACATCATGTAACTCGCTGGGGAAGCGGGCAAGGGCCATTCAAATGGTCCGGTGCGGCGTCAAAAGTCCTTCATATCTCCGGAGGTGGACAGCCAGAAGGGCAGTCCAGAAATTGAAAGCACCCTACATGACTAGTGCATTGAAGAGCTAGACTGGTAGATAACGTTAACTCTCTACTGTATAGGATTAATCTATCTGCTCCACACTTGACAAGATCATGAGTCCAGTTTGATGGTGAATCCGGGGGTTGGAAGCGATCGATGCCAAGACGCTAAACACGTGACGCCGTTGAACCATGATTTGACGAGCTCACTTCAGAAACCGTAACCTGTCCGTCCTCTATCTAATACCGTGAGACAGCACCTCAATACTCGGGCCACGACCAAGTCTCTCATGATACCGCTCCCTCTTCGAGCCGTATCTTCATCCTGCAGGGTCCTTGGCCTTTTCCATCCGATGATGAACCTCCGCAGGATGAATCTCAGGTGGTATGCCGCTTGAGCGGAATCTGTTGCACCGGCTTCAGGTCGGTGGACCGCGATGCCCTTGGCCAAGTGGCGTGGATTGCCTGATATTCAAGAGGTGCGTCAGTAATGGCTCGTTCTTCTCGTGGCGGTAAGGTAAGATCACCCACGGGAGGGTAATCCGGAAGCAAGAGGCCCGCTTCTAGGCTCGAGCTCGGGTCTCGTCTGAAGTTGGAGCTGGCCTGGGAGCGCGGAAGACTTGGTCCAGGAAGAGCTTGGTTTCCACCGTGGTCGCTGCCATTTTGGCCTCTGCGCTTGAGCAAGTGCCAGACAACGAGCACCGCTGGAGGGCAAGCAACAATGACGCCGAAGAGCGTGATGAGAGCTTCGGTGGAGAGCGGCATCGCGGAGGACAGTATGGTATCAAACAAGTTACGAAACGTGCCGAGTGTCCGGAGCCAACGTAAGGTAGAGCAGTCAAAGCTAGAGGTAGTGCAATGGCCGCCATCTTAGCTCTGGAGGAACGGCCTTCTTGTACCATGGTTGGAGCACGAGGCGGCGGGATGAGAATACGATCTACAGAAGAGAAGATTTTGGACCGCACCAGTTGTTGTTCTGTCACGTCGGCCAGGTGACGACATGCGCAGTGCATACAAAAGATTTTGGAGCTCCTCCAATATAAGCATGATAAAACATCGGAAGAGCAGAGTCAGATTTTGGATCATACCAGTAATTGTTCATTACCAGCTGTGGCCAAGTAACGAGTCGCGTTGCATATGCAGAGGGTTTTGGAACTTGCGAATGAGAGTCTTCCGTGGCTGACCTAAAGAGAAACAGCCACCGCAGGGTGGCGGACAGATTTCGGATTGCACCAGTAAGCAAGTATTTTTCAATGACACAGCAGCCGAAGGACGAGCTGCCTTGGGCATGCGAAAGACTTGGGAACCCGCGAATTGAGGATCACCGGCGTCCTCGCGGCTCGTTCGAAGACAGCCACCGGAGTGGGGCGGGCAGATTCTGGTCTCTACCAATGATCTTGATGCGGCTGTGGTGCAGGTACACGTTAAACCCTCTCCAATCGAACGACGGCGGCCATGGGAGGCTGATCTGCTTGGCGGTTGAGGGTTTTGGCGCAGACCAATGGGCGGTTGCTGCATGCCTTGGCGCATTAGCGGCGGACACGTCGTATAATACAAGCTCCCGCTTCCAACTTGCACGGCGTCAGCCTTGGTTCTCTCCGAGGATACAAAGTGCGGCCTGTAGGCCATTTTCTCTAACATTGAATTCAAAGACCGTGCCAGCCTTCCACCATCGGACCCAACGTTGAGCTCGAACCGCCAGTTTTTATCACGTGACCGTAGCGCCAATGGAAGCTCAATGGGAACACCACAAGCCCACGATCCGAAATCTCTACTTGACGCAGGATAAGACCCTTAAGGATGTCATCAGCCACATGCAGGAAACATGTGGATTCCACGCCAGGTTAGTGCCCTTACAGTTTTTCGGCGTGCTGAAGTCTATTGGTTGTTGTATGAGGATGCGGCAAGATCACGTGGGGCACGTGACATGCAGGGCTGGCGGAGGCAGCGAGATTGGGTTAATCCACTATCGATAGCTGATCGTGTCAATAGCAAAGCTCAATACGAGCGTCGCCTCAAGCAATGGGACTTCCGCAAGTACTTTAAAGCCGCTGAGTGGAAGGGTATTGATCATCGTGTCAACAAACGGAAAAGAGAGGGCAAGGAGAGCGAGGTATACAAAGACGGAGTACTCGTCCCAAAGGAAAAGATTCGAAAGGAGGCGGCAAGGGCGGCCTGTACGGTCGAAGAACGATATGGATCAGGTAAACTCGTCCTTTCTTCAGACGTGCCGGTCTCTTGTCTGATTCTTCCTCAGCACCCAGTCCGAAAACGCCGGAAGGATTCTCAGTTTGTACGCCGCTAGCGTCTTTTACTTTCGCGCTTCGGACGGAAAACCTTCCTTGGTTCCGGTTCCAGGATTACATTGATGCCCAAGGTAAGAGTCTGCACATCTCCGTCAGTGATCCAACATGTATTGAATCCATAATCCAGTCAGCTTTCACCACACCGCGACCGTATCGAGCCTCATCGTGGACGATGTCCGATTCGGTCTGCCCTCTAGCACCGGACGACGGGCACTGGATGAACCGCATCCCCTCGATAGCTCATTCCCAATCGACATTTCGAGGAGTGGAGCTCCGTTTCTGCTGAGCTTAATCAAATCGGCTTCCGAAAGCGCCATACAGGGCGTTGAGAACATCATTGGAAGCTTTCGCTCCCGGATTCAGAATGTTACCCTGGAAAGATATAATGGAGAGCATCTATCCATCATCAAGAAGATGTCTGGATGTTCGCACGACGAGATGTTGCTGCAGTTCCTCAAGTACCTCGTCTACTTATCATCAAACAACCAGCTTGAACAGGACGACCGCATGAAAACCATTCAGTGGATCGACCAAAACGACGGGCATGCGGTGCTTGAGGCTCTTCTATCTACCAAGCTGCCAACCGTTGAGGCGTTTGCAGAAGACCTCTTCAGGAGTGCAATACACGCGGGAGACGTACGCATCGCACAGATATTGCTCCGTGCTGGCGTGAGCCCTAGTTTACCGATGAACAGCATTCCAGACCTCCCCCTTATGGTTGCTGTTAAAGCAGGCAACGCCCGACTCGCTTGGGCACTACTCCACGCTGGCGCAGACGCTGGCGCATATGAAGATATACCTCCGGCTCGAAGCAGTCGAACAACTATTCTGCAAGCAGCTACAGAGAGCGGAAATGCCGAGCTGGTCAAGATGTTGATCAACGCAGGTGCAGACGTCAACGCTCCACCAGCTGCTTATTCTGGACGAACTGCACTGCAAACAGCATCAACGAAAAATGCTGAGCTGGTTGAAATGCTGCTCCTCGCTGGCGCAGACGTAAATGCCTCTCCATCCGAGCAACATGGATTGACCGCGTTACAAGCAGCAACAACACAGCGTAATAACATCGACATTGTCCAAATGCTACTTGACGCCGGTGCGGATATCAATGCTCCGCCAGCTGACTATCGCGGTAGAACCGCCTTACAAGCAGCTTCTCATGTAGGGGACATTGAACTAGTCCAAATGCTTCTCAGCGCTGGCGCAGACGTAAACGCAACCCCAGCTAAAGTGTATGGGGTAACAGCCTTGCAAGCAGCAGCGAAGCAGCCTGGTCATATCAACGTGGTTCGGCTGCTGCTTGAGGTTGGCGCAAGCATTAATGCCCCCTCAACTTTCGGGCTTGGAACTGCACTGCAAGAGGCATCACAAACGGGAAGCGCCGAACTCATCCAGATGCTTCTTGATGCAGGCGCAGATGTCGATGCTCGCTCTAATCCACAAGAGCACACTGCACTGCAAATTGCATGTAGGAGAGGCAGTACTGAAGTCGTTTCGATGCTGCTCGACGCCGGTGCAGACGTGAATGCTCTGCCAGCCCTGGTTTATTCCTCGGAACCCTGGAGCGGGCCAACTGCATTGCAAGCAGCATGCTTGGAGGGGGGGGTTAACCTCGTGCAGATGCTGCTCAACGCTGGCGCCGAGGTCAACGCTCCTGCTTCTCACCAGGATGAAACTGCACTACAAGCAGTATGTGGAAGGGGTGATATCGAGCTTGTTCGGATACTTGTTGATGCTGGCGCTAATGTCAACGCTCCTGCTTCTCGTTATGGGCGAACCGCACTACAAGCAGCATGTGAACAGGGCAACACCAAGCTTGTCCGGATACTTATCAAGGCTGGCGCCAAGGTCAACGCTCCTGCTTCCCGTTACGGGAAAACTGCACTCCAAGCAGCGATGGCCGGAGATTGCAGAATCGAACTCATTCAGCTGCTGCTTATTGCTGGCGCAGACGTCAACGCTCCTGCTTCTAAGTATGGGCAAGATGCGCTGCGTGGAGCGATATTCGACGAGTATTCTGGATGTGTAAGCGACATCGAGGTTGTTAGAATACTGCTCAGTGCTGGGGCGAATGTTAACCCTCCCTGTTCTTCTAGAGGCGGGTCAACCGTGTTAGAACTAGCAGCATTAGTAGAGGATGTCGAGCTCGTTCGACTGCTCCTTGACGCCGGCGCAGAGGTCAATTCTCCTGTCACTTGTCGTGATAGAACCGCACTGCAGAGAGCGATAAAGTGGGCGGACGGGGACTTCGAGTTCGTCCAATTGTTTCTGGATGCTGGAGCACAGATCAATGCACCTGCTGCTAAACGAAGCGGCAGGACTGCGCTACAAGAGGCAGTAGAGCAAAACTGGATCGAGCTCATTCAGGTTCTACTCGATCGCGATGCAGATGTTAACGCGCTACCAGCTCGTTCTCGAGGTGTAACTGCCCTCCAAATAGCTGCGGCTAGAGGCTATATGAAGATCGCTCACTTTCTCCTCAATGCTGGTGCCGACGTCAATGCTGCACCGGCAAGATACCACGGAAGGACAGCCCTTCAAGCAGCAGCGGAACATGGACGCATGGATATGGTTCAGCTGTTGATCAATGCTGGAGCAATCACGGACAGCTCAGACCGTAGCCAGTACGCAAAGGCAAAATACTTGGCGAGGAGACGTGGGCACATTGCTCTAGCCAAACTACTCCAAACTCAATGCGATCAACTCCATATGACAGAAGAAGGCGAACGGGATGGGTTTCACGAGTTTGACCAAGGATCTGAAGCCAGCTCTCGAAGCGCTGGATCAGAAAGAGATTGGGAAAGCTATGCAGACAGCGATACACACAGCGATGCAGACAGCGATGCAGACAGCGATGCCGGCGACGATGCGGGAAGTAATCGAGAGATCGATGTAGAAAGGGATTTCCCACCGCCCTCAGCGGGACACTTGTTGTGGGAACCAGAAGGTTGGTTTCCGCCAGTGACGGGTTGTGAAGTATTTGATCCTTGGCTTATCTAGGCGCATCTGGCTATTGCTTTGTCGATTAGCGGTCCAACTTGCACAAGCACCGTGGCAGGAAACACAGTTCTTCAGCGCCACGGTGAATATGAATGCAGCTATGCTTTTGTCAGCTTTACGCAGACCTGATGGTAGAATGTAGAACACTGCGCAGCGTGAGATCGCTTGGTCGCTTCCGAATATGTGTTATATGATTGCAAAGTTGGAAGTGTTAATATGAAGTAAATAGAGGTGTCTACGACCTCTTCAAAAAGAGATCTAAGTGAAGTGATAACCCACACTAAGCCAAACATCAAAAACCTCGCGGCCCGAAGACTAGTTTCATAGAGACTCGCCTCAGCAGCAAAAACATCAAAAACTCATTTCTGAAGAAAACCGCCGCCGAATTGGGGGTTTCTTTCCGGGCCTAGATCTTAGCTTTCCTGCCTCATAAGTTAGTTCGATAGGTGAGAATAGAACCAACGCCTCTAAACTATTGTAAACAGAGCTCGAGCCAAGTCATTGCCTACTTGACGAGCACGCAACCCAACCGGCCACAGTCGTTACCTACTGGGCGGAGGTTAAGGTGAGCTTGGTGACTCATATCGTATCACTATGCGAAGACATGAAACCATTACGCTTGTGTGGGAGCACTGTTCGTTGAGTGTCCGTTGATATCCATATTGGCCTGAGGTTGCGGGGACAATTTCCGCTGATTTAAACAACTGTGGATCTGGAGAGTCGAAGGCGATGCCGCTGGCAGTGGAAAGTGAACGATGTTCTACGTAGCGCTCTGAAGTTCCCGTATTGGGAAGAATGCAATATCTGTAGGACGACTGCGAAAGTGACAATGGCAGAAAACGGCGCTGAGCCTTCCTTACGACCACCTCCCTTCTCGCAGGTTACGGATTACAAACGACCTGAATCCTTCCTCTCAAACTGCTTCATCGTGCTGGTCTCGATATTGCCGCTTTCGGAAGAGGAGGGCAGTCCGTAGAACGACGCAGGACCGGGACCGAGGCAAGAATTGGGGTAGGAACAAGAATCACGACAGGGACAAGGACAGGGACAGGGACAGGGACGGGCGGACAGCAGCGGCGTCCTACGGCAACACCCATGTTACCGTATTTGGATGAGAAGTGTCGATTGTAGAACGACGCAAGACAGGAAGACAGGAGGATATCCCAGCAGGGACAAGAGCATGGTCAAGAGCAGAAACAAGAGCAAGCCCAGAAGCACGATCACGCCGTTCCACACGCCCACCCCTACCACCGCAATCAGTAGTCCACGAATCTCCGCGCAGCAAGCCCAGCTACCACACAAGAACCACACCGCGCCTCAAGCACGAGTTCCTCCCATCCCACAGCCCCACAGGAGCGCCTCAGCCGCCTCCGCCGCCCCAGCCGCCTATGCCTTGACCCAACGCAAGCCCCGCGCCTTCCACAGCCACGGCCTCCAGCGAGGAAGGGAAAGAATAGCTGGGCGCACGCGATACGGCGGTCTTTGACTCAACGCGCCGAAGGGGCTAGCTTAGTGGCGACGTTCCTGGTTCGCGGGCCCGGGTTTAGATTGTTTGGCAGCTTCGTACGCCTTTTCTCCTCCTGTCCACTTTCCGGGCCCTCTGCGCTCTCTGCGCCCTCCACGCCATCTCCCCGTCCCCGACCTCCATCCCGCCATTCCCAACCCCCATCCCACGCCCCCCGTCCCACCCCTCCCTCGCATCAGGAAACTTTCACGTTCCCAGTCCCACCATACCCAGACCTCAGCAACCAGCCAAGCAGTCCACGCATCCCGCACACAGCCAGCAAACACGCCGACACTAACGCGCCGCCAGCGTGCGCGTCCATGCGCGGTTCGTCTCTCCTCCCCATCTCCAGCACAGGATAACTCCAGGCCTAGGTCCACAGCGCCACCACCCCGTGCGCGATCCGCGCATCCGAGCGGGGAAGTCAAACTCGAGGAGTGGCGCCCGTAGCTGCGGTGCGGTGCGGACGCTGCACACGGCGGATGTGCGCGTGCGGCGGCGGAGAGATGGGCTCGGTGTCAGTCGTTCTCAAGCAAGGGGTGTTGGGGTGGAGGGGTCAGCCGCCGCGGACCCAGCTACGCGCTGTTAGTCGATTGCACGCGAGGAGGAGGGAGGGGAGAAGGGGAGGACGGGGTCGCGGACCCGTGCTCGTGCTCGTGCTCAAAGTCAGGCGTCGCAGCCGCGTGTCGAGCCTCTTGGGCAAGCCCGTGCGCGGCAGCTGTTGTGCTGGCCTCACGCGCATCCACCTCCTTGCTCTTGCCATCCGCCTCCCCATCCGCGCACCCACAATCATACTCCTCATCCACATGCGCACAGTCATACTCCCCCTTCCCCAAACTCCTATTAACCTCATTATGCACCACGCACCCCCACCCGACCGCCGCGTTCCTGCTGCCGACCTGCGGCGGGAACTCCGCCATGATGGCTCCAAAGTGCGCCGCGCATTCGCCGCACGGGTACAGCCGCTGGAAGAGGTGGAGGTATGCGCGGAGGGCGGAGGAGTCGGCGGGGGTGGGGGCGGCGGGGAAGCGGGAGAGGAGGGTGTGGAGGTGGTGCCAGGAGGCGCGGCCAAGGAGGGCTCTGTGGGGGTGGTTATCAGTATCCGTAGCTGCAGCTGGCAATGGCGCTTGGGGTTTTGGGGAGTGGGATGCGCTGAGGGAAATGGGGCAGTGCGGCGGGACAGTGATGTGCGAGGAGTTCACGAAGAAGGGAGGGGGGAGTGAGGGAGGTATCTCACTTCGCAGTCTCGTTCCCCAGCTTTGGAGCAATGACGTGGCCATGCAGCAGCTCCTCCGGCACTACCCCATCCTCCACACCACTCCCGTGCTCTCCACCCTTCTGCTCATCCTTTTGCGCTTCTCCCTTCACAGCTCCAGCCGGCGCAACAGGCGCCTTCGGCCCTTCATCGGCGGCCTGCTGTGGCCGTATGGTGTGCAGGCCGTGGAGCGAGGTACCATCGTTGGACGGGTGCCGGAGGGAGGCGATGAAGAAGATGGTCAGGAAGCCGGCGGTGAGGAGGAGGAGGGTTGCGAAGCGGCGAGTTACAGATGGCATTGTCGGGCGGATCTTGGTGGTGGATGTTAGAGCCGCATATGGCGAGTCTGGAGTGCTGTGCTGGGAGATTTAGATGGAATAGGAGAGACTGCGAAATGTTCTTGACGTCGGAGTTAACGGCGGAAGGGACCACGCTTTCCCTTTCGGGGTCGCAATACAGTGCCTGAGCTTGCGCGCGCTGGTTACGCGCTGAGTCAGCCCCCACCGCCGACATCGCAGCGGACAGCAGCGGCACCTGGGAAAAGCGCGGATAGCTGAGGCTGGCCCTGATATTCGACACGACCTCGCTCTCCTCCAGCCATTGACTCTTACACACAGCTCGTTACAGCTTCAAACCCTCTCCTACACCTCGCCAATACCACGCAGTCTCCCAATATGGCGCCGACGTTTCCTCCTCCGCCTGTGAATACGATAGGTGAGCGCCTGCCCTGGTCGCGTAGCGGGTGGACTGATGCTGACAAGTGCAGACTGGAACGACATCGGGTTTCGCGTGCGCGAGGGTATGCGCCTTTCTTTCGTCCTCTCCTAGATGCAGCCATTGCGCGTCCAAACTATCCTCGCCGACTCTCCGAATCCCCTAGCACCGCCAACCACCGCCCGCAGCACCGCACCGCGAAAAGCACAAGCTGACACGCCGCAGTAAACGGCCACATCGAGGCCCACTACAGCGTCAAGACGGGGAAATGGACGGAGCCGGAGTTCGTGACGGATCCGTACCTGCGGATCCATGGCATGGCGCCGGGGCTGAACTACGGTGGGTTCCCACACTCTCAAACCGCCGCGCGTTCGGGGTGTTGGTGTGAGGCGTGGGTGCGGGGCGTGAGATAGAGAAAGGGAGATGGAGAGCAACAACCACGGTGCCGAAGTCAACCGCCAGGGCATCACCGCTTTCCAAGCCCCATCTCCACCGCCGCCGACCACCCGCCCGAGCCGCACGCAGCCCGCCGCCTCCTCGAATCCCATGCCAGTCCCCGTCCCAACCGTCGCCACCGCCCCATCCCCCAGGACCGCATACCTCAGCACCACACCCAGCTAACGAAACCCCCCAGGCCAACAATGCTACGAAGGTCTCAAGGCGTTTCGCGCCCCCGACGACAAATCCATCCATATCTTCCGCCCGCGCATGAACGCTGAGCGCATGCAGCACTCGGCGAGCTTCATTTCGATCCCGGAGGTGCCGGTTGAGCTTTTTGAGTAGGTCGTTTCTTTGGTTGTGCGGGTGTGGTGTTTGGGGTGGGTTTTGCTTCCCAGTGAGCGCCTGGTACTTGACGCGCCTTTGTTGTCGACACTCTTCGGCCACTCACGCGCTTCCTTTCCGTGGTGTACTTCACTCCCTTCACACACTTTCCGTCCAAGACAATTCCTGTTTCTTAACGCACTCTCCTCGCCTGAAGCGCTTCTCTTTCGTGGCCAATCCTCCTCCCTCGACGCACGTTCTTCCACTAGCGCATCTCCCTCCTATCAGCCACTTCCCTTCCTCAACGCACTCCCTCCCCCCTTTGCGTTCCCTTTCTCCACATACCAGCTTCCCATACCCCGTCTCCACCCCCCCCCACGCTCCCCCCACCTCCTCGCCCCACAGCTAACCCCCCGCCAGAAAATCGGTCCACGCCGCCGTCGCCCTAAACGCCGCCTTCGTCCCTCCCCACGCCACAGGCGCGGCGATGTACATCCGGCCCCTCCTCCTCGGCACCTCCGCGCAACTCGGCCTCAACCCGCCCGAAGAATACACCTTCCTCGTCTTCGTGCTCCCCGTCGGCGTCTACCACGGCGTGCGTCCCGTCGCCGCCTTGATCCTCGAGGAGTTTGACAGAGCCGCGCCGGAGGGGACAGGCAGCGCGAAGGTCGGCGGGAATTATGCGCCGGTGCTGAGGTGGAGCGAACGCGCGAGGGGGGAGGGGTTCGGGATTACGCTGCATTTGGATAGTAGGGAGAGGAGGTGGGTGGATGAGTTTAGCACGAGTGGGTTTGTGGGGGTGAAGGGCTCGGGTCAGGAGGGGGAGAGGGGGACGACGCTGGTGGTGCCGGATAGCAAAAACGTGATTAAGAGCGTGACCAGCGATAGCGTGTGTCGCCTTGCGGAGAGCTTTGGGTGGAAGGTCGAGTGCAGGCCCGTGAGTCTCTCACCCTCCGCGCTGGATCCACGGCGTTCTGCTCCCCGTGCCGTCGGAGAGACGAAGGCGGGCTAACACGTACCACCGCAGATCCCCTACACCGAACTCCCCGCCTTCACAGAAGTCATGGCGGCAGGCACAGCCGCCGCCCTCGTCCCCATCAAGAGCATCACCCTACAATCGAAGAACGATAAATTTGTCTACCGCGATGAGAGCGATGAGCCCGGCCCGGTGTGTACGAAACTGCTCACCACGCTCAAGGGGATTCAGCAGGGCAAGATTGAGGATAGCTTTGGCTGGTTGAGTCGGGTCAGCGAGGAGAGTCTTGGGGTTGGGAAGGCGGGGGCGAGGGGAGAGGGGAAGAGGGACGAGGCGAATGGGATGGTTGATAAACTGCCCTAGTGTAGAGAGGGAGAGGGGAAGGTGGGGGTGCTGGGGTAGTAGGTGGGCTTCTTGGGGGTCGAACGAAGGCGGTGAGGGGATCTGGAGTTTTGAGGGGCGGGGTGGCTGGATGGGGAGGAGGGTCACTGTTGGTACATCGTTGCCCTCTTGCAGCTTTCGGGGATGGCGAATTGAAGCGCTGGACGCGCTGAGGGCGCTGTGCATCTCAGCCTGCTGGATATTAGCCTGCTAGACTACAACCTGCCGTGTCTTTGCGTGCTGCACCTCAACTTGCTACATCTCAGTCCGACGCACCATAAAACTTCTTACGCCCCAATCTCCAAAGCAATCCATTGAAGCCGTATACTCATCAGCCCAAAATAATGATCGTTGCCCCCGCGCAGCCGCCCGTAACCCACCGCGAGACGCTGGCCTTGTGCTGTTGATGGTAGACAGCCGCATACGCAAGGGTAGCATCGGCGGGCGTATGCCCCCACCCGAGCCTTCCATACCGATGCGGCGGTCGAGCGATTCCTAGACTTGTCGTTAGTAGGTGATAGTAAATTTCCGGCAGGTCTGTCCACCCTTCGTTCCTCTAGCCGCTACGTACACGCCGTCATTTTGATCATCAATAGCTCACGTCGGACAAGATGACGAGCTACGTTCCGCTAGGATCCTTTCGTGCTCGCACGGTGGAAGGAGAGTTTCGATGCTGTTCCCGGTGGTCAGCGATTCGTAGATCTACCCACCCACGTCGTGGCCAAAATAACGCCGACTCCAGGCTTATGAGCATGGAAAATCAACCCTTTACCACAGGGTAAACACAATAAAAGAATAGTCTGCATAGCAGAGTGTAGATCTCGAACTGTGTTTCTTATACCAATTAAGTACATATATGAGCTGGCATTGATTTAGAAAAACCTTAAACCTGTGTCGAAGGGTGATGTTCATGGTTGGAGTCGGGGTATCTTTGGCCACGACGTGCCACCCTTCGTTGCACCTGACGGATACCTTCAACATAGCAAGCAGCCGCATGCGCCGTTGTGCTATGTAATCAGTTTCTTCCGTCAGCGGTTCAGCGTTCGGCCGTTCGGCCAGTGCTCTCCGTGTTGATGCGGCGGATGACCATTTCCTGTATCTTATATGTTGGCCAGGAGTTAGCAGGTCTAGCGTTCGATAGCTTGACTGTATGCCGTTGATCCAGCAAGCCGTGTTATGCATTGATGTACCTGGTGACCAAATCTCCGTGATTCGGGGAACGAGGTGCGGCGTCAAGATCAGCGAGTTCTTGGTGCGGGACTTGATTGTCAGCCATCATCGTTGAACTACATGTTGGATATCTGCCAGGGCTAGTGCATGTGCAATGTTGATTCTTCAGCATTTCGGTCCGCTCAAGGATCTGAGCGTTGGAACTGTTTCTTACCACTTCTCATGGCAGCCCGGGCAGTTATGTCATTAGATCCTGGAACTGTAGCGGCTCCTAAACCCAGACCCAGCTAGTCTTCGCAACTTGGGCATCCGAGCATCAAGCCCGAATCCTCAATGTCCCGGTCGAGTGTCCTAGAAAAGCAGATCGTGTGGTGTAACAGCACCCTCGCGGTTTTAACAGCGAATACCTTCACTATCCGGCAGTCTGCGGTGGACCATGTAGATCGCGGCCTCGGCCCTGGATAGATAGGTCTCTTACAAGTACGTTCGAAGAGAAAGTTGGAGAAGATCTGATGAGGTCTGCATCGGTGGGCACAGCGGTGGAGTTCTAGACCGAGGAGCCGAAGTGCTGTGGAGGCAAAGTTGACCGGGGTACGGCATACCGAGTCTGCGTAGCTGTGTCAGTTAGCTCTTTGGTTTAGATGGAAGGCGGTAGAGGTTGGGAAACACCGGAAGGAATAGGGCAGGAGATGCGGAATGCGGAGAGAGTCACCGGTTGGGGTGCTAGATACGGAAGAGACTGGAGCTGCTGAAGGCGTTGCAGGTTTGGCCTGATGAGCAGAGAGCATTGTAGGCGGTAGCATTATTTCAGTAGCGTTGTCTCTGTGGTGATGTTGTTGATAACTCCTTCATAGAGGCAAGAGCCCTCGGCATCTGACCATTTGCATAGTAGTTAGCAGCGGGAGAGAGCCGGTTGCTGAGGCTATAGGAAGGGGAGTAGAGCTTGCCAATTGATCTCGAAACCCCTAGGGAGCTGAGGCGTCGTAGGGTAGCCAAAAACAGGGACAGGGAAAAGATTTTGGCGGCTGTGAGCTCGGGTCTGAACGGCGTAGGATGTTCGATCCGGTAGCACTTTAGACGCATGGCTAGGTATCATAAGTCGTGGAAGAAGGATGGATGGTAGACGCGATCCTCAGTTTCATGCTTTGCTTCCAGAGTTGTGGCGGGATGATAAAATCGGGGGACCTTTGCTGGCAACGTTGGGACGGGCGTGTATTTCGTCGCTACTCTTTACTGATGGTGTAAGCTGGAGTTGTTAATCACATGTCCAGATCACCGTGAACGCGCCATATTGATGAGGACATGGTGTTGACTTAACATGGGTCTTCAGGCTTGAATGTCGAAACGAAAAATTATGCCACACAATACCTCTGCGGATTGGGGTGCTGGGTAGGCGGTTCCAATCGGAGTACATCCCATGCGAGGGAAAGCGCCAGCTGGAAGTAAGTAAGAGACTGTGGAGGTAGTGGGTCTAAAGATCCAACGTTTGAGCCGGTCCTCTGGCGGTGGCTCCGCGAACATATCTGCGGCGGAAGGAGAATGAAGTCTTCACCAAGGCGTCTCGGAAGACGGAAGATTCCTTGGAGCACCGGTAATGATTGCACCATGTTGGAACGGGCAGGAAATTTCTCGATATTCAATCAATGGTCACACCATCACGTTCCGATGCGTAGTAGCAGTGGCAGCAGAAGCCTTATGCTGAGGTAGTTGGCTAGCTACAGAGAAGCCAGCAATCTCCAGCTTTGAGAAGTACAAGAAGTGCAATCGCCGTCAGAGCTATCTCAAGATCCGAAATCTTCCACTGAGAAGCCGCTTTTGATTAGAGAACAGAAAGGAAATTGCTGGTTGAGAAGCAGGAAGCTCAACACTGCAGACATGAGCTGGAGAAGTAGAGAGCTGCACGTGTCGAGGGTGCCGCTGAGACGACGAACTGAATCACCATCCAGAAGAATCTACTACAGTATCAGTCCCATTGATCGAAATCCAACAAGGCAGCAACATACCAGGACACAGTAGCATCATCGCCGCTCAACAGGTGCTGAATCCCAGTGTGATCGTGCTACAACACTTGAAGCTCGAGACCTTGCCCTCCATCTTCGTCCCCTTCATGTCTGGCTTTGAGTTGTTATCGATCCTCATCCAGCTGGCATGACAATTGCTGCCACTACTCTCGTCAGCATACGCCCCAAACAACGCTCATCGAAACAATTGGCCAGACAGTGTGACGGGGCCACTTACTCATACACATGGCAGTAGTAGTTATTGGCGCGCATCCAGAGGGCGTCAACCTTGTCGTTGAAATGAGGCGTGATGTTGTAACAGACATTGCGGGATATGCAGACGGTGTGGCACACGGACAGGGCGCACACGCTGACGTGGAGTTCACACATCTGCTCGGCCGAGGCGGCAACACCGGTGCTCGCTGGCAATACAATAGCATCGTTCGCCTCGAGCGGTGGCGCAACGTCGACAGTATCGGGCACGGAGGAGGTGTCATCGAACGCGAGCGAGTCGGCGGTGTCGGAAACATCAAGCGTGTTGCCATCATCGCGAGCTTGGATGGTTTCGCTGGGCGGAGTGAAGTCGCACCTGAAGCTGTAGAAGTCGCCGCCAAGCTGCGTCGTGTCGGTACGGCCGCTTCCAGGATCGATCCTCACGCCCTTGCCCTGACGGCAGTTCTCATCCCTACACTGTTCAGCATGCTGCTACTTGAGATCAGATCCGAGTACTCACCTGAAGGCCTGGCAATAGTGCGCTTCCCCGAACGCCGCGAACCGATTGGCAGGATTGTTGATCGCCTTGCTCATGTTGACACACTGGCTGGAAGGAATGCAGTAGACCTCGCAGGAGAGATCATCGATGCAGATGTTGACGAGAACATTTGGCGGGCCGCAGGAGACCTGGCGCTTGTGAAGCCAGTGGGTGAGATCCTCAGATGGAATGGAGCTGCATCTAAAACTGGAGGGCTGGCCGCCAGTTGCCATGGTCGCATAGCCCTCTTGGTCGATCTTTCGGCCGCTGCCTTCGCACTTTTCATTTCTATGACAGTCAGCTTGGTGACCAACTGAGAGTTAATGGTGATCAAGTGAGGGAGACGTACTCGTATGCGTAGCAATTTGCAGCCATGTCGGAGAGGGATGAGGTAGCTTCATCGGTCATTGCTTCACCGAGACTGGCGACGACGGTACACTCGTACGGGAAGACGCAGTGGGTGCCGCAGGACTCGTCGGTGCAAAGACGGACGGGGATCCTACCCCACGTGCAGACGATCTGACGTGCCTCGAGATCTCGAGCCATGTTGCGGACATTGTCGCTGGCATCACCACCATAAACAAAAGAGTCCGATGCGAGAGTGGTGACACCGTCGTCCTCAAGGGTATCTTCACCGATGGTGGTAGTGACGACGATTGTTTCGTCCAGCTTCTTGCAGAGGTAGCTCTTGATGTCCAGGTTGGGATCGAACGCCGTGAAGATGCCGGGGTACCGGATGGCGTAGTTGTGACCGGCGCAGTCCCTGAGCCTACTCAGTGTTAGCCGTGCAACGCTACCGAGAGCGCTTGGTCGTAACTTACTTGTAGACGACGCAATAGCTCTCGATGACCGGAAGGAAACTCCAGACAGAGTCATTCGCCTCCAGTTGCATGTTGTAGCATTGACCTTGATTCAGTTGACAGGCAGCTAGAATCAGTGCCATCGCGTGGCGTGGCGGAAGAGGCCTTACGAGACCGTAGCGGACATAGAGCAGGTCGGAGGGGTATCGCCAGTAGGACTCGTCTGAACACGGCAAAGGATCCCCCTTCTGTAGGTCAGCTAGATCAACTGACTTGACGTATTCAACGCCAGCATCGACGGTACGGACCGCATGAGCGAACCCAACAGCCGCGACAGACTGAAGCGGCTCAGCAACCCCAGCACGATGAGCCTCGGGCACATCCTCAACCCACTCAACATCCGGATAGGCCTCGAGACCCTCAGCACCGTAGTCCCTAGACGCAAGAGTCGGTGAAGGACAGTTCTCATCAGGCGGGTTCGGCCAGAAGGGACAGGTGCCCGGTGGCTTCTTCCAGCCCGGAATGAGCTTGCAGCGGTAGCTCGAGACAATGTTCTTCATCTTCGTCTCGCGGACCTCATCGAGGTCAGGATGCAGAATTGGCATTGCGATGCCGTTGCATCCGATGTGTCTGAGTATGTCAGTTGCATGATCCACACATCTCTGCGAGGAGGGGAAGGAATGAAACGAAAAAGAAGAACAAAACTTACTCAAACAAAGCGCACTCCCTATCCCAGTACAGCGGCCAAGCAGTCCGGATGTCGTCGTTGCTCTCCTTGCGAACATCATAGCAGACGTTGGGATCGAGGCAGCCGTAGTAGTAGACATAAGTCTTCTTGCTAGTGCTGTTGCCCCAGCCGAAGATCAGTTTGCCATCTGGGCAAGGTTGCGCGGCTTTGTTCAAGACAATGTCGACGGGGCCGACAAGATCTCCGGAGAGAGAGACGGGAGTGCCGGAACCGGGAGCGCTGAAGAGCGCGGTGAGCAGGAGAAGGACTGTGAGCCAGTCCATCTTGATCGATGCTTCAACACTTCAACTTTAGTCAATGTGGAGAGATCTCGCGCGTTCAAGGGTTTTGCTAACGTTGTCTGCAGAAGTCAGCGGTGTCCTCTTTATTAATTGAAGAGATGCGGACGCGTCAAATTGATAGAAGAGACGCGTGTGTTGATGAGAAGCTATGTTGCGGTGAAGGATGGAGCAGCGTCTCAGTGAACTAAAAACATGGGGTGTGACCGTGGACGATAATTCAACATACCTTTCTTCAAGTTATGGATGCCGTCCAGTGCTTTTATGCAAGGGTTTGAGAAGAAGATCGCACTGTTGTCACGGTTTTGAATAGTCAATGTGGCGATCTTGTGGTGACGAAGGGTGTGAGAGGAAAGGCAGAAAACGAAAAGGCCGGGCGTCAGATGCAGAGGCAGACACCGTGGTGATGTAATCTTATCTCTCAAGCAGTTGTCACGCGCTTCGACTCGGCCACAAGTGAAAGCCGGTTACTGAAGGCAAACGATACCTGGGGATTGACACGATTCACAGTTGAGCCGGCAGCCAGTCTTGACATATTGATGATTCGCATCCTTTAGGTTACATTTAACTGATTACAATCACTTCTCTTCTGAGCAGGCGCTGCATCAGATGAACAAATGTTACTGCAACGAGACTGAATATTGATGACCATGATGTGTGCCGCTCCGCATAGTTCCCACTTTCAGTCTTGATACTGGACCTGGGCCTCAATGGAATCGAACTGAAAAGATAGACCAAGGATCTGAGAAACAACAAACAGGATGTCGAGCATCTCTATCCGAAAGCCATCAAATGCCCTGATTTCAGACCAAACACGAATAGATTTCTGATGAAGTGTGGAGAATCCTGCCTGGAGGCAGTGTTTCCAGTAAGTAGGTGGCAGTATATATTTGTGCCTAATTGGGGAAAACGGTCCAATACCGCCGGTATTTCGGTGATTTGCCAAGGCAGTGCTGGTAGTCTAGATATCAGCCTGCCTTACGGCCCTTACCTAGGTACTAAACCTTGGCTACTTCCTCAGCTAATCACCATTATGATTATAAACCGGTCTTATAGACCTCCGTCGATGGCACTGGCTGAGGGCTTCGGTACCACGGTTCGGCAGCTCTAGATAACCCCCAGACGGCTAGCTACAATACCGCCGGTATTGAAGATCTAGTACCGGTCTAAAACAATCCAAATATTCAACGACTCGGCACCTACTTAATGGAAACACTGCTTGGAGGCTGGATAGGTGATGACGCTGCTGGAGGCAGCGAATTTGCCTCGGATCCTGCCATTGTGGAAGTAAATACAGAACGAGTTCATCAAGGGAGCATGGCTGAGTGGACACTACAGCATACCAGCTCTCTACAGCTTCCCTGAATATGAGACGCAGCTAAGCTAACTTTTTGACTCCACCATGGCCTTCGGAAGCACATTGAAGTCCAATCACCTTCGCAGCCAGACTGGGGAGGTTATCCGGACGGTTGCAGTCCACTCCTAAGCACGCACGCTGCAGATGCGGCCGACAGGCTCCAGTAGATCCACAGATTCTAGCGTAAGATCCGCGGACCAGATGAGAAGAGTTGCGGGATGGCCGCCACGCCTGGCAGCTGCTGCGCTGCATCGCGACACCGCACGGTAGGCCCCTCGAGCAAGAGTGCAAATGCATGCGAGGCTGTGCCTAGCGTGATGCCAGTGCCTTGTCTCTTGGCTGTTCGGCCGTACAGGATGGCACCTCTTAGTATCTCACTTCTTCCTCGTCGACCGTAAAAGCTCAGCCACAGTGGCATATCACTAGCTGCCGTCTCCTGAGGAAGCTGTCTGAAGATAACTCAAGCTCCTAGACTCCGCCGTAGCCTGCACATAGATACAGCAAGGGGTGGTCACCTTTCCGCGAAGCTGTGAAGTGATAACACCTCACAAAACTGGAGTAGTTTCATTACCGAGAGACCGGCTTCAGCGCTACTAAATCATGCAGTGTTACAAATGAGTAGGTGTTGATTCAACGGTTATCTATGCTGGATTGGATCGGTACTCGATCTTCAATACAGGCGGTACTACGGCTGACCGTCCTGAGGATATCCGGAGCTAATAAACCGTGGTCTCTAAACTCTTAGCCGGTGTTATCGATAAAGGTATATACGACTAGAGTATGATTGTAGTGGTCATTAGCTGATAAAGTAGCTAAGGTCTAGCCCCTTAGCAAGTACCAAAAAATGGCGGTACGGGATTATTTTTTTCCTAATGCGGCACAGATATATACTGTAACTACTTATCTTCAACAGGGAAAACAAGCACAGATGCCGAACAGTGACTCGAAGCGGCTGCGATATCGAAGCGGGAGGTGTTCCTAGTGATTCCAAACCACCACCCTTAGCGATTCCCTTCTTGCGCGGATTGCTCTGTTTGGTGTGGGTGAGTTGCCCTGTTCGTGTAGAGCTTGGTGATTCTTCTGTGGGCTGGTTGTCTCTGCTGAAATTCGAAGAAGGCGGTAGTCATGGAGGACGGTGAGGCCCACGCGGACACCCCGCTCGGAGGGGTGGTTCCTCCAAAAGACATCGCGCCGTGCGACGACGTCGAGAGCGCCCAATTTCCAAGTTTCGTCGCGTTCAGGAAGGGGCCCGGATTCACCGTCCCGGGTCAACCGAACGACTCTATGCCTGACGTGCTCAAACGCCCGATCGCTTGGCACGATAACTGGCGCCGGAAGGGGCGCACGGAGGACGATGAGAACCCCTCCGAATTCGTGAGCCTCGCTCCAGCGGAACAAGAGGAAACTCCGCCGCACAACCCGGATAGCGCCGCGCCCGCAGAAGGAAGTGGTTCCTCTAGAAGACATCGCACCGTGCCTAGGATCGACCCTGGAGAGCACCGTGGATCCAGATGTGACAGCGCCAGAGACTGGAGAAGGAGACGCGAACCCGGACGAGGAGAAAGACGACGTCTACTTCACAAACGACGAGTACGGACACGATCTGAGCATTGGAGACCTTCGCCGATCGGCCTTCCTGAACGGCACGGTTCTTGTTGGTCTGCACTTCTCCAGGGTGGTCCCTCGCTTCCTCTCGAATTTCTGGAAAGAAGTCTCCACCAAGATCAGCGTCCAGTTGCTCACCTCAACCGCCTACCATGCCCAGACAGACGGCCAGAGCGAGAGAACGAACCAGACCGTGGAAATCGCCCTCCGATACTTCGTCACATCCAATCTAGACAGACACTAGACAGAGAGTGGACGGATTCAATACCTTACCTCCACGCCTCGCTCGACAACGCCGCAAACTCGACGACTGGACTCTCAGTCCATCCCCAACTTCGAAGCGGCTGCTGATTTTAAGAACTGTTCGACCTTTAGACGGCCTGTATCGTGAGCCATCTGTAGTGGAGTCTGGCCATCGGAAGTCATAGCATGAATATCAGCCCCCGCTTCCACAAGCCTCTTCACGATATGTAGATGCCCTACGCGTGCCGGTGCATGCAGTGGAGTCCAGCCCCCAGAACTAACAACGTTCACATTAGCGTTTGCCGCTAATAGCCTCTCTACAGCCTCCAGATTGCCTCCACTAGCTGCTCGATGTAGTGGAGTCCAGCCATGAGATCCAACAGCGTTCACACTAGCGTTTGCCGCTAACAGCGTATCTACAGTCTCTCTACAGCCTCCACTAGCTGCTGCGTGTAGTGGAGTCCAGCCATCAGAATCAACAGCGTTCACATCAGCTCCTGCTGCTAACAGTCTCTCCACAATCTCGAGATTGTTCAAGCCGGCAGCTGCTGTGAGTGGAGTCACGCCAGACAAACTAGCAGCATTTACGTCAGTCCCTGCCGCTAGTAGAACCTCGACCGTCTTGGGAGGGTTTAATTTAGCTGCCCAGTAAAGCACCGTATCGTGACTCAATACCCAAAAGCGGTCTGCAGCGGACTCTCGAAACAGCGCCAGATTGTATTTTGGAGAGCTCCAACTCAACGAGTAATCTCTTTCCCCTATCATATATTTGCCGCCGCAGGGCTCTCGAAAATGATACAACAAGGCGTGATGATGGTGTGCAGCGATCCAGTCTCCAACCAAGACATTACAGTCTAAAAATTGCTCGAGTGTCCACGGACGCTGCCCAAGCGTCTGCTGGCTTTGCAACATTTCGAGCCAGAGGTCATACGTCATTGATTTGCCGTTCGCGAAGTTGGCAGTGTGCAGGAGCCAGTTTTCTGAAGCGTAGTGGAGAAACGGATGCCCCAAATTGAGTCCTTCCGAGGCATTGCCGGCAGTACTTCCACCGTAATTAGCTAGTCGTTGTACCACACCGGTATTGCTCGGCTTTCGAGAAGTCCTTCTTCCCACTAATCGGAGTAAAGATGCTGCAGCATTGGACTTGGTCCCGTATCCTAGAGCAGCGCCTACGATCGCACCAGGCGTGATAGGGAGTTGAGATTTTGGTTGTGGAATCAGCTGCGTCTTGAAATCGTTGAAGTTGAGGTATGTCACACAGATCTCGCCAGCTTCGTGGTCAACTTCCGACAATCCAAAATGAAAGCCGCTGAGTCGTTGATCCGATGGCAGTCCGAAGAGGTACTGCTTGACGGTGTGGTGCGCGAACTGGACAGCATCGTCCTCTTCATCCACGACGATCAGGTTTTCACACCAGGATGTAATACGATGCATGCCATTTACGAGCCGATCAGGCTTGGAATAGGTTTGGCAGGGCTCAACAGCGATCGCCTCCCGAAGCTCTTGCAGAGACAATGGTCGTTTCGCCGCTGCCGCCCATCGGAACACTTGCTTGGCGATCTTTTCTTTTTGGCTAGCAATTACTCGAAGCAATGCGCGGTTGAAAGTCTCCGTCAGATCCTTAGGGAGACTTCGAAGTACTTGACGGATCTCCTCATCGCTGCACTGGGCGCAGATGTCGTCGATCTCGAAGGCTACCCAGAGGAACCTGCCAGAGACTCAAAGTTAGATGGAACGAAGTGGTGCCCGCATGGCGTCACTTACATTCCCTGCGCGCCTTGAATGAGTGCGTCTTGAATCTCCTTGACTAGGTCGTCGTTCCCCACAACAAGGTCTCCGTTCCTCAGCTTCTCAGCTATGGCCTCCCTAGTGTAGATTGCGATATCGGACTGAGCGTCGGAAGAGCTTGTGGACACACGCTGCAGGGATGGAAACCGTTTCTTGATCTCTTCACCAATGCCATCACGGCTTGTTAGGAACACCTTTGCCTTTAATTGACTTGACGCAACAACAGACTGAAGGACGTCCAGTACAGTATCGCGTTCGTTCTTTTCGCATTCATCCAATGCGTCAATGACGATGTAGTAAGCCTGCGACATGGCAATCAGGCTTTCGAGGAGGGCCCGTAGCTCTTTGGTACCGGACGATAAATTCTGCGAGATCCGCTCTAAGGAGGACTCAATGTCTTTGGGAAGGTTAGCAACATCCAAAGACTGACCGATGACAGATCTGAGGATCGTCTCAGCCTTGAGTGAAACAGCCTCATCGAACCGGCAGAAGAAGAAGCTGATGCAGACATCAGGTCCGTGCCTGCGAAGGAAGAGATGGTCGACGACGTTCGCTCTGTGACGAATTTGTCAGTCGATGCCAGGATCGATATCATCAAGGAGACACATACGTGAGTATGGTCTTTCCGGACCCAACTAGTCGGTAGTGAGATGATTAGCGTTATGCAGATGAAGCGTGATCAGCTACTCACGCTTGCCGGAGCACCAGAACACGGGACATCCGGGATCGTTCAACCATCGGCCCATCTCCGAGGTTCGAGTCAGCCATTGCGTGGTGTTACCATGCCGTTTCTTGCGGGCTTGCTTAAAAGCTACGAGATGGTCGTAACTCGACAGAGAATCCAACAGTTGCTGTCGGTGTTTTCCTACGCAACTCTGTTAGTGCATTTTTATACAGATTGAGGCATCCACTTACGGGACTTCCGCTCATCCCTTTGTAATCTCCACCTTCGAGATTCATCATTCTCCTTACTGGCTCCCTGGAAAAACAAACCTGCAGTTCTGCGGTGCTTAGCAGCAGCTTCTTGCTCAAGACGCACGAGTTGCTGGTCTTGATGTGCAGCTTGTGCATTTGCAAGGTTGATTTCTTCTTTCACCTCTTTACTGCATCTCTTGATTTCAGCCTCATACGGTTCGAATTCAGTCTGGAAAGAACGCCATAGCGCGTTGACAACTTGAGCGGACCCTGAATATAGTCAGTGCTGGGCTTAGTGGTCTCCACGCCGGTTGAGTCCGTTGTGCTTGCATCAGGCTGAAGAGGTAGTTGGCCATCAGACAGTGTCGTAGAGGGTAAGGGGTAAAGGGTTGTCCCATGCGTGCCAAGACGCTGAGCACGTGATAGTCACGTGACAGGAGCCACTGTCGCAGGTCAAGCCGAGAGTTCAATACTTACACAATCTTCCACGCACTTGAAGAGCTTGCTTGCAGCAGCGAATGATGGAAGCGTAAAAGTCGCAAAGCGCAGTTTGCAGCCTAGAGGACTGGGGGTACAGGATTCGGTACTCGTCGAATCGTGGACAGAGCTTGTTGAAGCTCATGAACAGGGTGGAAAGCGTGTCAAAGTAGGACGCGAAGTTCGATGCAATCTATGCTCCCCTTAGTTGCTGCAGTAATAGATGGTGAGAGCAGGGTAGCTTACCAGCATGGTAAGCTTCACACTTCCCCATACCAGCGCTGCGATACTCGGATGCGACGATACCAAGGTGGACACCACCGACGAAAACTGCTGGACTGACTGGAGCAGCGTATACAAGCGAGTCGCAACACCGCAAGAGCGCCTTTTCGCATTCTGCTCGTCGAGCTGGGCGGTGAGAGTGATGACTGCAGCGGCATCTGGGACAGCCTTGATAGCTTGGAGCTGCTGCTTTTGAGCTGGGGTAAGAGCGTCCTGGAACTCCCGAAGCGCTTCTTGAAGTGATTGATCTACGCCGCTTGACATATCGGCACAGGCAGGTGAACGTTCTGAATGAGAAAGTTGTCCAGAGTAAGGAGAGGATTAAGGCTATGGAATACAACGGGGGCAACGAGGCTGAACAAGGCGCAGTCAGCCGCAGCGACCAGGCGCATGCGCTCTGCGCCTGCGCCCATCTGATGAAACGGAACAAAACTCTGCAATCTACTGATGCAGCTCTAATAGGCCCGAACTACTACACTCTGCAGCTTAACTGCGTGATACTCTCCCCGCCGAAAAGCGGTAGAATCACGTGTTCTCTTAACAACAAGACGGTGTAGTAGATATCAAAGACTTCTAGGCTAAACTACGTATATACTCTTATGCCGACTCAATAAGTTGATGCAAAGTTTTCCTATAACTGCTTCTTGATGATTGCAGCCTCTCGAACTAGATTGATGCGACCGTAAAGAGACGACACGTGATGCCACCACTTTTCGGCGGGGAAAGTACCTCCTCTGTGGTGATTAGATCACGTGCTACAACTTTCCGATAAAGGGTGCAACCTATACTTGTGATCAACCTATTCAGACCCAAGACAGTGATGTTGCAGCCGATTGGTACACTGATCGTCTGAGGGGATAGACGCCGAGATAAGGCATGCTATTCTGCTATTTTGACCGAAGGCGGTTTGATCACGTGATAGGGAACATCTGCACGTCGTAAACACACGAGATGTTGATTGGCAATACGCTTCGATCTAGCTCTCAAGAATGTTCACGAACTGAAACTACCTGCACTTCTCTCATGTCAATGATCTTGCGATAAAGAGCGACGGCCAGGCTGCAAGGCCACCACGCGCTCAGGGGTGCATGACTAGCGTCGACAGGGCGTTTCGAGTAAAAATTCCTGAAACACGAGAAACGCGCCGAACCTGATCTGTGCCTCCTGACATCCCACCAACTACAACACCCTCCCCCGCTCGTTCTCCACGATAGGACCACTCCTTCGCGATATCTCACTGCTTTCGCCGCGCTCAAACAGCTTCAGCCGCCGGTTTCTGAGGGCCATTGAGCAGAAAGGGACGCGATGGTGTCCTTCCAGTGCGAGGTATACCCCCTTCGACCCCTCGACCCCTCACCACTGCGCCCGTCGCTCTTGTCCCTCTTCCTTCTTCTCTACCTCACATCTTCCCCTAACTCCTCGCTCCATCTGGACCCATAACCCCACTAACTCCACCCCAGGGCTGCGGCGACGTCTTCACAAAGAAGAAGCTTGACCCCCACCGCAACCAATGCCACCACGCCTCCTTCACCTGCATCGACTGCATGACCAACTTCCAGGGTACGACTTACCGCGCACACACGTCCTGCATCTCCGAGGCGCAGAAATATCAGGGCGCATTGTACCGCGAGAAGCGCAAGCCGAATGGGCAGCCGCAGAATACCCCGAACACGGGAAAGGGGAGACACGCGTATGTCGAGGATGCGAACACAGCGGAGGGGGGAGGAGAGGTCGCCCTCGTGGACGCGCCGCCCCATGCGCCGAGTCCGCCGCCGGCGGTGAATGTGTTTGATTTCCTGGTCGAGGAGAGGGAGACGCCGCGCGCGCTACCGGCTCCTGCGCCCGCAGAAGACGACCGGCAACTCTCGCAGCGCATGCCCGGCGCCTTCGAGGACGACGCGATGGGCTTCCAGGCGCGCGCACGAGGGCTTGCAGACCAGGCGGCCGACTACTGGCACGGCCCGCCGCAGAACGGCTACTCCTACGGCAACGGCCCGCTGCACCACGTCGAAGAGCGCTACCCGTCAGCTAACGACCTGCATGCCGCCGCCGCAGCCGCCCACCCCTTCACGACTCCAGCGCCAAAAGCGACACGCTCTGAGCGCGACGCCCGGGCCCGCAAAGCCGCACACTCTCACTCCAACTCGAAAGACGCCTCCGCACCAGCTACAACCACAGCCAAGACCTCAACCGACAAAAAACGCAAGCGCCACCAGCTCGAAGACCTCGACCTCACGAACTCGCGTCCCGGCTCCGAGGGACTAGATACTCTGATGACAGATATCCCGCCTCCCTCGGCCGCGACGCTGCATACTGGCCTCACGGGGGGACTGAACCGCCTGCTTGGGGCGAGGGGAATGGAGTTCCCGCCGAGTCCGGAGTGGAGTGGGGATTCTCCGATGCTAGTTGGGGGAGAGGTTGTGAGTCCGGTTAAGAGGACGAAGGCGTCGCGGGGGGCTGAGGGGAGGGATGCGGCGAGCGAGGGCAAGGAGAAGGAGAGGGGCAGGAAGGAGAGGAAGACGTCTGGCTCGGGTGTCACGGTTATCACGACGACGAGCAAGGGGGATGGGAATCGTGGGCGGGAACTCGTGCGGGTGAGACGGCGGCGACGGCAGCGGTCGAGGAGCAGGAGTGAGAGCAGGGACTCGGACCGTGGCTCCGGGGCCCGAAAACTGAAAGCAATTGAGTACTACGCGCGCCGGCGTGAGTCTGTTGACCCGGACACGGATCAGCAGCTTGTGCGCCACCGCGACGCGCACCACGACGGCTATGCCAACGGCTACGGCGGTGACGCACAGCAGCGCGCGGAGCGCTTCCTGTCCTTCGTGACGAAGGGCCCGGAGAGCGAAAAGGGCGTCTCGATCAATAAGGCGCTAAAGCGGTATCATCGGGAGAGGCATGACATGGGGGATGATGAGCTGAGTAAGGCGGAGGAGGAGAAGGAGTTGTGGAAGATGCTGAGGGTGAGAAGGAACGAGAGGGGGGAGGTTGTGTTGATCTTCTAGGTGTTTGCGGGAAAGCATGCGGAGGAGGAGGGTAATGCGGGATGCGGGATGCGGGATGCGGCTGTGTGATGATTCTCGTCGCCTTTCTGACACTATGAGCAGCGAGTCGGCTGTATGACTGTGTTTCGTAGGCCTTCGTCGTGGTGTACTCCGCACTGTTCTGAACTTTTAATTCTCCGTCTCTCTTTTGTTTTTCTAAGTCCGCGGTGATGTTTGTACGTTTATTTTTGACAGGCTGGCCCTGCTGTCTGGTGTAAGGCTCTAGTGTCTGCAACTGCGAGCATTTTTTTCACCTCGCTTATGAGTGCGTAATCATGTACAGCTAGACTACCTCATTATCGTACGTGTCACTGGTTTCCGCAGGGTCCACTCCAGCACTTTTAACATCCTCTCAGTCCAGCGACATAACTTTGTCGAGCTTGTTTCGTCCTGTCGCAACAAGCTCGCACCAAACTGGCCACCCACCTACAAAACCCGCCTGCCATCCTTATCCGCCTTCTCTGCGTCTCGCTGTATCGCATTTCGTACTGAGGCCGCCAATTGCCCCGTCGAGCAAGTCACGTGCCCATCTTGGCGTCTTGGCACCGCGCCCTTCACCTTCGCAGCTCTCATCTGAGATCAGCAGATAAATCCGTAGCCCTCACGAAACAGTGCCCCTGCTTCCCGTTCACTGGTTCTTCATGCTAGCATAACACCGCGCAGACAGCCGGGAGACGGTGCGCTTACAGATCTCTGTAGTATATCGCCGCGCTCACATAAGGGAAGCGGCTCCAGGGCCCCGAGGTCTGGCCAGAAACGTCCGTCAGTTTTTCCGAGACTCATGTTTCAATGGGATGGACGTTCACAGAGGCGACCGAGCGGCGGGGCTAAGCTGGACGCCCGGGCAGCACCGCGTCTTGTTGCCGAAGCAATAGCAGTTGTGAAACGCCGAGGAATCCACTCCTGAATAGGCGAGCGAGGGGCCTGGAAGAGCATGTGAATTGCGGTCTGGAAGCGGGCGGAGAGGGAGGCGTCGGTTGGGAAGGCGGGCTGGACGGGGTATGGACTCGCAGCGCTGCGGGCACGCCGGGAGGTCGGATCGCGCAGATACGGGCGTAGTGGGAGTAAGTGAACCGTCTCTCATTTGCTCTAGCACGTGGCAAGAGCTTGCGACGAACCGTTGCTGTGAACTTCTCCTCGCAGTGGATTAGGTGAGTCCTTGAGAAGAAGCACTGCAACGCTGTTCAAACCCAGCAAGGAGTCAGGTTGGTGAGGTTGGGATGATCTTCGATCGGACGTGGACCAGCGCATCGACTGCAAGGCTTCGCGTGGCGATTGTCGGTCGCATGGCGCGGACGGAAGTGGTGTTGCCCGCGTGCAAGAGTGCTTTTTCAAGCCTCTGATAGGCTGACAGTATGGTGAACTATCAGGTATCTGGTGATTCGCGGCTACTAGGTCTCCATCCCCGCGTGAGCTGAGCGTGGAACTGCGGTAATAACTGCTGTGTCCAGCATCGTCAGGCTCTGGAAGCGGCTTGGACCGCTTGGTGGATACATTTCCAAATTTAGCCGCGTGAAGATGGCTTGCTACAGAGGGCAAAGTTGTCTGAGCTGAAGGTCGTGCAGGATCGAGAGCGAGATTGCCAGGAAGAACCTGGCGAGGTTGACACAAGCATCCACAGTCGCGCGATGGATTCAGAGCAACCCAGGTGATGTCGGTCATCCGCTGCGAGACACTGAGCTTGGGCGTAAGCCTGGATGCTGATGTGCTTGAGAGGACGTCTCAGACAAGGAGGACCCGGCGGTCAGGTTATTGCTTGCTACTACACCCCTAACGCCCAAGATAAAGCGGGGCAAGTCTGCGTCGTGAAGACCGTCGATGTGCGTATCGAAGGGCGACGGGTGTATCGAGTTCCGGCGTAGGCGATGGAAATACGCGAACCGATGAGCGGAGAGCTGAGTCCGGATGATGCTCAGGTTGCTAGTCCATACGATGTGGAATTGCGCCCTTGACGATCGTGGTTTGGGCTCCGGGCAGCGCTGAAGAACCATGATGTCAGTCGGGGTGGAATCGAGGCGTCTATGACAACCCACTCGAAATGGATATATGAAGTTGCGAACGGCTGTAGCGGTGCTGGACGGACCGGTCGTCACTTGGTGCAGTTCGCAACGGCCAATATCTGGGACGACGGCTCGCTAGTCTAGCCCCAGGGGGAAGGGCATTATCGAACATGCTAACAACGGTGACAAGTGGGAAGGAGAGTGGCGCGCACCGCGCTTGGTCATACGCCATCTTGCACTTCTGCTGGGTTCGACACTTGGCGCGAAAATGGCGCGGCTGAGCAAGGAGCGACTATCAAAATTCAAGTTGCGACAGGAACGAGGTTCCAGTTGGGGATCGAATTTGGAAGATGCGTTATCTAGTCTGGCTCTAGCAGAACCTTATTGAGGGTGGCAAAGCTTGGCAGAACACGCGATCACCCGACGGTGTCCAAGATCTCGACAGCTGATCCTGGTTCGGAGAAATACTCACGATAATTCATACAAGGGTCAGGCGTATGCGGTCTGCCAGCCCTCCCTGCTTCCCGCTTTGAAGCGAACCACCTAGGTATGCTATTGGCTCTATGCAGCCAGGAGGGCTGAGAGCCCGCACAGAGCTAATCCTTGTAGAACGGGAAGAAGCTGCATGTTAACAGCTGATCTGTGGGGAGAGAGAAATCACGTCGCCATCCACGTTGCGATTCGCTGAAGGGGAAACTAAAAGGCGGCACGGAGCGAGAATACCTGTGTACCCGGTTCTACTGTGAAATAAACTTTGAAGCTAGATAAAACCAGCTTGGGGCTAATGGAGAACGGCTAGCGGGCCAGAGACGATCTCCGCTAGACAAGCGCAGCCGACAGGAGAGGTGACTCAGAGAAAGACTGATAGATACTGCAGCTAAGGAGCAGCACTACGGATGCGGCGCTTTAACATGATGCCGAGGTGACTTCTGCTAAGACTGTAGTTTCTGAAGTGGCAATTCACAAGCGGGGAACGAGTAAGCCAAACCCAATGGCGTTCTTTCTTCATGGAACAAGAGACGCATGAAGAGCAGCGCGGCATGATTTTGCAGACGAACAGCCTTAGGAATCACTCCACGGACGAGTTAAGACGCAAAGATGCAGTCCCCTGATCCGCCGTTGCGCCCAGACGGGTCCTGACTGGTGGCCCGTCACGATGCCCCGCCCTATTCCGCAAACCGGGCTGAGGGGAACGCAGGCGATCGAATCCTCGCAACGCCACGAATCCCCCCGCACGTGCTAAGAGCGTGGAGAGCCCGATGTCATTGGCTAGTGAGCCTCATTGGTTATCAGATCTAGCGGGATGTGCATGGGTCGGCACAGCTGCAGGGAATCCTTGACGACGATCTGCATGGGTCTAATGCAACTACATCGCAACTTCGTCGTCCGAATAGATAGCACCATGCCACCATTGTCTCCGAACTCGCCGCATGCCCTCTCAGGAGGTATCCTACAGCCATACTCAGCGTTCGCAAAGGAGTACCCACGGTTACAGCTGCCGGAACATGTCAATACCGCTAGCTGATAGTCTGCCGCAACAGAGTCAGTCTTACCCCTGGACCAAACTTGGACTCCCTATTCTGCTAAAATGTCCAACCTGACGTGGACATTCTCCATTGGATCCATGGTTGAGATGCTGCCCGTCCTCGCCTTCGGCCTTGCAAGCGTTGCGGCTATTGCGCCGCGGTCACACCAAGAACACGCGACTGTAAGACTCCTTTACAGCGCGATCTGGCTTGGCTCTGTATCGCTGTAAACATTGGATTATTCTCGCATACAACTCGTCGCACTGACACTTCATTGTGCTGAGTATGTTATGTGAAGCCTTGCGGAAGGCCTACGGCCCAAGCTTACTTTCTATGACTGGGTAGCGGAGTGTCCGAACAGCACACTAAAGTACTCATGTCGAAGCCGCAGATGCCTGTGGAAAGATGAGAAATAGGTCACCGATCTGCAGGAGCCGGCTCTTCGTGCATGATGCATGGTCAAGCCATCTCCAGATATAGATCTTGCGAGGCTGCCAGCACGAGCGATGCCTCATTCCGGAAGATCTTCACCACTTTCCCGATGAGACCGTGAGTTGGCGGAAGCCAAGCAAAAGGCGGGCTGTCCAGACCAGGTCGAATATCGCGGGTTGTTCGTTCCAACGGTTGCGCACCTCTGCCGGACTGGACCAGTTCTGAACCCAAATCAAGGCCCTAAGCCAGATCCTTGCGATGGTTGCGTAGTCGAAGGCGCGCTCTCGCATGGAATCGTCTTGCTTAGCTACAGCGACCAGCCTGGGCGGCATCCTGCGATATCCGTCAGAGATTGAACAAAGGGGGGCTGCCTATATAGACCGCCAGCCTCCCTCTCAGAGTGCTTTGATCAGACAAGTCCTTTTACTAAATTCTCCAGCTTGAAATCTTCCGCTACCCACTCTCTATTCTTACTCAACATCCTCCAACCAACCTACTATGAGACTCACGCAATTATCCTTCGCCGTGCTCCTTAGCATCGGCCTCGTCGCCGCTCTGCCACGGCTCAGTAGCCGTAATGCCGAGAACAAGCACTCCGCCCGAGACCTCACCGCAGTCAGCGAGGAGGCATTTGACAACTACGTTAAATACCTTGTCAGACGCGCCGAAGACGAGCTCAGCGAGGCTGTCTCCGCTAACCTCCTCGTGACGCGGTCTGACAAGCACATCGATGGGGAAGACAGCAGCGACGACGATAGCCAGAGCGACGATGGTGACGCCAGCAGCGATGATAATAGCGACTCGGACTCAGATAAGGATGACGATGACAGCGATAGCGATGACGACGACGATGATAGCGACAGCGACGACGATGACAAGACCACCACTAAGAAGACGACCAGCACCACCAAGAAGAGCACGACGAGTCCCACCAAGACCTCCACGAAGACCACATCAACCACCAAGACTACCAGCACCACGAAGACTACTTCCTCGCCTACAAAGACCTCGAAGACGACTACTTCACCCACGAAGACCACGATGACAACGAAGACGACTTCGACCACCAAGAAGCCTAGCCCTACCCCAACTACCACGAAGCCGCACTGTGAGTTCCATATACCTATTACGCTTGAGCCAAGCTTTTTCGGCTGTCCATACTTTGGAGATAGCTGCTAACTTGAGACAGAGTGTAAGAACCTCTCTCTCTGCGATGCCAGCGCCCGGTCTGCGGCTCAGTGGAATGAGTGCTCTCTTATCGATCTTCGTTCTCGGTAGTGTACGCGGTTGGGTCGGGGATGCACTAGGGGTGAGCGGGAGAGGGATTGGAAGCAATGTTGACAATCAATGCCTGTAATAGTCAAATGATTTTAGGTATTGAGCTGGCGCAGTGCTCAAGCAGTTTTCTTAGTACTACTTTCCTTTGTCCTTCACCAATATGATGTTGTCTACTTTACTGTGACATGATGATACCGTAATTTTATTAGTGTGGCAAGCTTCCTGACCCCGTGACTCGCTTACAAAACGTAGCAAAGGGGATCTAGAGACCCGTGATCAGACGACCAAAAAACTGTTCTGTCCGGCGAACACACTGCCCTATCTTGTAGCAATACGTGAAAAGACTCCACAGCGTCTTTTGCGGAGGCCAGCTTTTTTGTATGAGGAAACCATTTGATCCACAATATGAAATTTCACAGATCGAACTCGTAGATGAGAGTTGATTAGACTTTTGGCCTTATATGGGCTTCGACTGCTTAGGTCTCTACAACCGGCTCGAGCTGTTTTGACGGGTCCATCATGGTTCGGAGTTTCGGCTGAGACCGGTTGAGTGACGATCTTGGAGGTCTTCAACAAGGGGCTGTTCGAAGAATCCAGTGACCTTTAAGGTCGCCCAGTGCTTGTCTTCCGCTCCGCTTGGAGCGTCGATCCGGCGCTCGCAACCTGCCGCCGTAACTGCGCATCCCTTGCGTGCCGTGACGCGGTCAAGGTTCCGTATACAGACGCACTGTCTCCGCTCCCACCAGTCCTGAAGCGGCGCGTGCCAAGGTCACCAGAAGCACATCGGGGCCCGCTGCCGGCAGATACATGCAGCATCACCTGAGATGAGTGTGGGGGGCCGGGGAGGCGCGAGGCGTGTGGGTCGTCCGGGATGGGAAAGGAGGAGCGGAGTGCATGTATGGTACGGGTTACGCAGCCAAGCCTCGGGCGGACGGGCAGATCTGGCGGGCGGACCGCGGAGGAGAGCGGGTTTGGCGGAAGGGAAGGCGGGAGTGGAGTGCAGGACGAGCCCCATCGTGATCGGGCGGCGGATGCACTGAGTACGGCCTGGACGAGTCGCGCTGTCGCTGTACGTGCAAGTGGCAAGCGGAAGGCGGAAGGCGGAAGCCGATGTAGAGGGCTCCTTGGTCAAGAGCGCTAGCCTTCGTCACGCCGTCGCCGAACACTGCACTGCTCCTGGGTATAGATCCAACGTTTCCGCGAACCTGCATCGAAGCACGATATGCACTTTGGCGGTGCAAAGGCCTTGCTACGGCCGCGGGGCTGTTCAAGGGATCTGGTATAGATAAGGTAGGACGGGGGAAACTGTGCGTTGGCAAGATCACAGCCAGTGACATGCTCACACGATAAAAACATCATACACGTGTGAAAGTACCTGTTTTGGTCTGCGGCAGGCTGACACGATGGCTGCTGTCTCCGGTTGATGCTCCGCATCCCAGAGATCTAGAACTGGCCAGTAGGCCGTAGCCCCCAGCAGTGGAGGAGAACATGCTGCAATAGCGGCAGCACAGTAGACTTTTGGATAGAGATGCTACTTACCAGGTCAACAGGGGCAAGGGGACCTACCTCCAAACCGGCCCGCAGAGGTCTAGACTCGCGCAGCAGCACTCATGCAGCATAGGGCCAGATCTCCAGAGACGATGGGGCAAGATGACAACTAGGGCCTCTAGCTCGAGCTGATAAAGTACGTGTGCACAATCGCGTGACCGCGCAGCAGCCCGGCCGTGGTTTGGCGAGGCGTCTTGGACATGGCACAGGGAGCAACTCTCGGAAGGCATCAAGGTGGCCAGCAAAGTCGGCGCGTGCTCCAGCCCTCAGGGTCCAAACTACACGGTCGTGTGATGCGGTTCAGCCGTCCCCGTCGCTGTCGACGTCGATATCGAGGTCGGGTGTCAGCTGCGGTGCACTGAGCGCGGGCCTGAGGCCGTATGCTACCGCGCTTGAGTTCGGAGGTTCCAGCAAGGGGATCCCAGCGGCGCAGCTCTTGCGGATAGAGCTGCGGCTTTGTTGAGGCTTCGTCTTGCGGGATGGGTTCGCAAGTCATCGAGTTCATGGCCTGATCGAAGGTGAGACTGCGGTTGCTACGGGATGTAGCTGACTGGCGTGTTCGAGTAGGTGGGCGAAGGGTGCGCGGGTGGTGGCAAATAGTCTGCCTGCATGCAGGGAGGTGTAGGCCTTTGAGTTGCTAGATGGCTGCGAACAGCGCTGAAGACATGTGATCTTGATCAGGGTGGAGTCGAGGTGTGGGAGGTTACCCGCTCGAAGTAGCCATAGAGATGAGCATCGCGATGGCGACGTCGAGGCATAGGGTGACCATCGTCGTGAGCTATTGTGGGCGACATGTGAGGAGGAGGCTCGCCAGTGGAAGGGAGTTGGGACTCGGAAAGGCTAAAAAATGGTGTGATGATGGGGAGGGCATATTGAGCCGCCCTCTTTTTTCTTACTTTGCAGCATTTCGCTGCCGCGTTGGACATCCATGGCGCAAGGGTAAAGCAACCACAGAGCAAACAGCGAATATCAAGACACAAGTGTTGCAAGGAACAAGGTTCATGGCGGGAATCGAGCTCGGATGTTTACTCGCTACTTGTATACGTAATCCAGTCCGGCTGTAATGCGGATTTAACACGGGCAGTACAGCCTTGAATAGCAGGGTCCTACCACCTCTGCAGGCCGCGGTGATCCGCGCACATCCCAAGATCTGGACAGCGAATCCTGTTTCGGGGCTTGGAGGAGCATTTGACGAGTGTGATAAACGAGCATGATTACGGGACGGAGTAGCGGCTGCACAGAATGGTCAGCGACGATTAGCTGGTCCGCAAGAAAACAACGCACTACCCACGCCATCTGATCAGTGATTCGCGGAGGCAGGCGAGCTGAGAAGTAGCTCAAGACGCGAGCTGCTCTGATCGAGACTGACGATGTTCTGTCAGCGAGACCGGATCAAAGACGTTAGCAGCTGCATCGAACGGGTCCTCAGCCTACGGTGGTCTGTCCGGTGGGCGGTCTTTGATCGTGGCTTAGGGGGGGCCGACACATGCATACCGTAAGCTTACGCTGTTGGTGCAGCTGATTGGTGAGTGGGGAGGACGTGCGGGCTGAGTTGGGATTCCTTGTGCCTTGGAGCGTGCCCTTGAGTGTGCTCCCAGAGGACAGAGATCAGAAATGCCATCCATGCAGGTGTTGGCACTGAAGAATGCACCGGGCAAGTTAGATGAATGTCAGAGAGATGACAGTATCTTGGACCCCACCGCGCCCAGATTTGGGGAGCCATGTGGGAGCCAGATGGCTCAAGTTGCGGTGGCGAATGCCACTGAGATCGAGCAGGCAAGGAATAAGTCGAGCAAGTGGTGGGAGAACTTCCCGCTCTTGGGCACGCAAGAATGTCCAGCTAGCGGAGTCGCGAGCCGGGAAACGTTTGCCCGAAGTGCTCCGCGGAGAATAACGATTGGATTGGGCTGGGCCGCTGTGGACAATGGCGAGGCATTAGATCTGACCGGTCACGTGATTGTTTACGGGCGAACTCAGCGGGTGAAAGCAATCAAAGCATTCTTTCTGTTTCTTCCCGTCAATAATGCCAGCCAGTAATGCATCGTCGCATAAGATTTTTTCAGCAGTAAACCCTGCTTATTTCTGAACTTAGAAGCACGATTGGAAATCCAAGTCCAGCGAGTGGGGGGCTACAGATTTGGGGCATCGCCGCATCGCACACGGATAGGAGGAAAGAATCTCGATTGGCGACATCCCGCTTGGGGATGGTCGGTCTGGCGACGCGTGTTTGAGAGGTAGATGATGCACACACACAACTACTTGCTTCGACATGTCGCAGGCTGACACGAGCTCTGCCGTGTGGGGTGCGTTGCCGAGACGATTCTAGATGTTATGGAGCTGGCCGGTAGCCATGCGGCAGTAAGTAAAGATATGCCGCATCCACTGCTGCACAAGGGGATTCTGGAGCTGCAAACGCGGCTTACTAGATCGGTAACAGCCGCAAGCGGTTCCCTGCTTTGCAAGCCGCTGGGCTCGAGGTTTCCAGAACAGAGAGCGTGCAGCACACTCAGCGAGATCTCCAGGAACAACCTTGCGGGATGGACGCAGGCGTCTTGAGCTGATGCTACGCTGTCGCGTGATCAAGTCCATAAATTATCTCGAACTGGGGTCTGGGCAAGATAGCGAATAAGACCCCGGCCGCGATCGGATGCCGAGGAAAGTGTTGGCGTAAGCTTCGAGAGCTTAAGCTGCACGCTCGCGTAAGAGGGCCGAGGTCGGGATCACTCTTCAAGCCATTCACCTTGCCTAGCGCTGCGAAACATCGACGTGGCTCGAGCAGTGATGAACGTCCCAGCGAGGAAACCCTAGCCGTCGAGCCTTTGGCAGTCTGTTGCGTATCATTCTAGACAACATCTTTAGTGCGCTAATTTCGCGGGCTGGGATCGACGATCTGTCGAGCGAATGGACCGATGAAGGGGTGAGGCTGTGGCCTTCGTTGGGTGTAGTGGACGGAGATGCTCGAGTAGATGGTTTGGAGCACTCGTGTGGATGACGGGCGAATCGTTGGGTCTGAATGCGGTGGGAAGGAGCTTCTTGTGGCGTGACAGACGGAAGTAAAGAGCATCACCGGAGTAGGAGAGATGAAGGCTAGTCGAGCTACTGTTGAGAGGTGGGTGATAGCCCACACGAAGTGGTGCAGTGACAGGAGGTCCACCAGGGCTGCCAGGTGAGCGGGCGACAGGTGAGGAGAAGGCTCGCTAGAGAGAGTGAGACGGGACTCAGAGGAGGGCTTCCACCGAACAGGGTACATAACGCCAAGACGCTGAGGAAAGTGTTGCGCCACCTTCCCTGCGCATGGCTGCAGCAACTTACTGTTGGGCCTGGGATAGGTGGCGCACAAGCAGCCCGCATAAGCAGCCCGCACAAGCAATGAATCCCAACGCTTAAAATCTGCTGGGAACAAGGTTCCTGACGGCTATCGGCCCCGGAAGGCAAGTTACAGTATGGTGTCCAATCCGGCACTAGCAAAGGGTACCACAGCTTTTGCAGGCCGCGATGACCCGAGTGCATCCAAGATATGGACAGCCGATCCCAGCCTGGAGGGACACCAACGAGCGTAAGGGTATGGGACGGAGAAAAGGCTGCATCGCATCCATCGGCTGGTCCTCAAGAAACGAGAGGCTGCCTACGCCATCCGGTTTGCTACTGGCAGACACTGGAAAGGTGGAAAGCGGCACGGAGCGATGGCCCCGCGCGGCTGGAACCGCTCAAAATTAGAGTTCAGGGCGCAATCCATTCCGCTCGAGACTGGCCGTGAGCCGTCAGCAGGGTGGGGATGATAGCAGCTGCTTGGAACAAGTTCTCGGCTCCTGGTGTTTTTTAGTGGTGGAATCGGACTTCAGCTAGAGGCAAACATTAGATAGCCTGACGTATGCATGGCCTTGCGCTGTCTCTGCAGATGCGGATACGCGAGCGGAGAACGCATGAGCTGACTAGAAGATCGCTTAGCCTTGGAGCCTGTTCTGAGAGACTGGCATCAGAACGCGAAGCCTCGCAGATGTTCTCCCTCTGAAAAACAGGGTGGACAGTTGAGAATGCAGGGAGATGGTGGGAGTCACATAACCCCCGCCGCGCCCAGACGGCTGCTGACCGTCAGGCCGGTGCCGTAATGCGCCAGTGGAGCCCGCCAGCCAGGCTGGAGGTTACCTGGGAACAGGAAGCAGGTGATCGAAGCCTGCATATGTGGGCGTGGTGGGTAAGGTAGCCGCGGCAAGCGTCCTCTCAAACGTTCTCTCGACCCCGCGCGTGCGCTCAGGGTATCCTCGGGCGAGGGCCGGATGTCGTTAGCTTGTGAGGCTTATTGGTTATCAGATCCGGGAGGATGCGCTAGGGACGGCACGGCTACAGGGGCTCCCTGACGTCGACTTGCATGGGTCCGGTGGACTACATCACAATTGCACCCACCAGATGGGACGTGGAGAATGCAACAAATCTAGTATATCCGAACTAATCTAGCGTCCTACCGTTCCTGAGCAAGTTTTCCATCTGCCGCACGAATTCTCCGAGTCAAGCTTCCCGCAACGCCCATCAGTTCGCCACCAACGATTCGTCACCTCCTGCGAATGTTCGTAATTCTTCTACGTTATCAAATCCCCGAACCATCACTGCGCTTGACGTTGGGTTCTGCAGAAGGCTAAAGGCCATACTGGTCTCTAGCTGGGCGGCACCCAGCATGAGTGATATCAGCATTGGGTAAGAGTCGCCGCACCATCGCCGAGGGCACGCGACTTCCGTCGCACATTGCCCGGTAATCTGGCCCGGCACTGCATGATATTCCGCTTGCAGGCTGCGAGCCCGGAAGACTCTCCGAGGACGCTGTGCACGACTTGGAAGTCGGCCTGCAACTTGGGCCTAGCTATCTCGTGATTCGGCAGGATGGTATCCGATGAGAATGCCAGATACAGTATCTGCATGAGCGGTTGAATGGGACTCGGAAGAGAAGACTTCTGATGCAATCCTTGCAGCGCAAGATGTGGACTTGGAGTCTAGAGCTTCAATGGTAGTTTTAGCCTTTCCAGGAGTAGGTTACGTTTTGACTGCGAGGCGTTACTGACCGAGTGCTACCATCACCCCTCCCTTACCAGAATCTCAACTGTGCAAGGGAGTCAAGCCCTGCTAACCTGCCTAGAGCATGCAATAGACACTCTTTCTTCTGAGTGTCACATCCACCGCTCAATGGCCAATACTGGAATTGCAGATACCCAAGAAAAGGTAAGATCTAGCCCTCCACACTCTAAGTCACCTCCTTGTGCGTGACGCATGTGGGACTGCCAGTCCCCTACAGGTTCGATGCCGTAACATTGCCGACAACTGGGGGTCGTGTTCCATAGGAAGTCCGGCACTTCCCCGATAGGACCACCAGCTCACGTAGTCCATGCAGAGGAAGACCCTCCGAACCCGCCAACCACGACTATTCCTCCCGCAAACCCTCGATTCGGGCCACCCTAGGCTTCTGCAAGCCTCAGTCAGTCTTGCATGATGACTGAGGTTTTACCAGCCATCCTTGCAATGCTTGCATAGTCGAGAACAGGCCATCATGTCGGCTTAGCTTGCTTAGCCATATCGAAGGGTCTAGACGACATCTCTTCACCCCCCAAACTACGTCGGAACGGAAGGAAGTCTGACTATATAGCGGCCCGGCCTCACTCCCAGATTCTCGTTCAGAGTTAGAGACTCAATCTCCACTACTCACTCTCTACTATCAAACACCCTGAGTCATTCACTATGAGGTTCACACAACTGTACTTCGCTGTGCTGCTCGGCATCGGCCTGGTAGCCGCCTTCCCCCGCCTCATCACCCGCACCGCCAACAACAAACAGTCCGCGCGGGATGTGGGCGCCGCTAACCTGGACGAGACCTACGCCAGCTACGCAAAATACGTCGTCCGCCGCGAAGCGGAGGAGCTCGGCGATGCCCTTGCTGCGGGCTTCGTCGTAGCACGCGACGATACTCACATTGACGGCTCGGACAGCAGTGATGACGACAGCCAGTCCGATGACGGGGACGCCAGCTCCGGTGACGACAGCCAATCGGACTCGGACTCGGACTCTGATAGTGGTGACGATGACAAGAAGAAGCTTAAGAAAGCTCGTGCCCTGATCAAGAAGCTGAAAGCCCGCGCCCTAGCCAAGAAGCTTAAGACCCGCGCGCCCGCGCATAAGAAGCGCGGCGGCGGCCACAAGGACGGCGAGGACAGCAGCGACGACGATAGCCAGTCTGATGACGGCGATGCAAGCTCAGATGACAACTCGGACTCAGACTCGCAGTCCGATGACAATAACTCTGACGACTCGGACGACGGGGACGATGATAGCGATGATGACAAACCCACCACTACGAGGACCACTTCGACCACCAGGACCACCGGAACGACCTCCACCACTAGAACCACCGGCACGACTTCGACGACAGGAACGACCAGGACGACGAGCACTACTAGGACGACGGCGCCGACGCCGTCGCCAACGTAATTGGTGAATACCCCCAGCCCTGCTCTCTACACCGCCCCTTTTACTCCTCTCTCGCTGCCATGTCATGCTACCGTTTGCTGATTCGTGCGCCCACAGAGTGTGCAACTCTGCCTTTTCCTTACCAGCGCCGTGCTTGCGGTTTAAGCAGCGCTCTCGCTCTCGCTCGGGTTTCTTAGTCCGAAAAAGATTGTTGGTGGCGTCTGCCAGCGTCGAGGCGTGCGCCGGAGGTGGGAAGGAAGTAACAAGGATGAGTGACGAACGAACTAGTGCATGAGATCCGTAGGAAGAAATACGGATGCAGCTCTCTCAATTCCAGGGTATCACTTTCCTTCGCAAATGTGCAAATCGTGTAATCTAGCCTTACAAGCGGCTTGCGATCTTGTGCGCAACTCCAGCGCCCGCTGAATCCGTGACCCACCCACGTGACGCCGTGCATAAACTCTTAAGATTGCGATTGGAAGACTGACATACTGTCTCGCCCGGCGAAGACCATCACAGCCGCCGGCATAAATCCCCCATTCCCGAATTGTCCGCCCCGCCGCTGCATGAACTGCTTCCCTTGCCCGAGCCCACCGCCGTTTCATGGCGATGCTCACTTCTCCGTGGTTGGGGAGTGAGGGTGTCGCTGACGTTTCTCGGCGGCGATCTGGCTAGCGGGCCCCAAAGTATAGGTAGTTGTGACGCATGCATGTTAACTGCTCGGTCGCGTGATGCCCCTTAGGCTGTGAGTTGAGGTGAGGGCGCTGCGGAGGCATGGCGAGGCCGCCGAATCTTGGCCCTTGTCAGTCTCAGGAGTGTGTTGGGGTTTTGAGAGCCGCCTGGTTGTCGTTGAGCGGGTACCGTGCGGCTTCTGCTGCCATAGGTTAACACTATGATTTGCACGTTGTTGCAATGTGAGGTTGGGGACGCACCACGACGTCCAGGGCGAAGGCTTTACGCAACCTAGCTGGATGGAATGTGCCACACTAGGATCAAAGGAACAGCTCGAGAAGCCAGTAGTTCCTGTATTCTGAAGGCAATGAGCTACCTGCCGAGAAGGCTGGAAGCAGCGTGGCAGAGTGTGACTGAATCGCGTGAGGCACGTGGTCTTTCCACTTAGCAAGAGCAGCCAGAACGGTGTGAGCCTCTCCTCCTGACGGAAGTGATACGGCTCTTGTCGAGAGAGCATACCCCGTAAAACCGTCGCTGCGGGAAGCGTCATGCGATTGTTGAGAACGTGGCGGAGGGCCGCAATGAAGGTCCCTCAGCGACTGGGAGGCGGCCAGTTCAAGCCGGAGCCCGGAAGGAGAGCGGGTAAGGACATCGACAGCGGTGGCGGCGATGCCACGTGTTAATCGTCGGAGGGAGAGTCCGCGCGGTGGTACGGCGAGGCAGAGTGGAGAAGATGCCGTCATGATGGGTCCTGGGGCCGTCGTCGTCGTCCTAGTCGTAGACGGGCGAGGCGGTTGAAGAGGGAGCTAGACCGCGCGGCGGAAGACTTGTTCGTAGCTGCGGAGGAGGGATAGTTGGAGGCTCGCCGGTGTTGATCGCGGTTCTGGGCCGATCTCATGCTTTCAGTTTCACCATCCCTGCCGGTGCTGTTGTCATTACCATGGCTATCATCGCCACCACGATCCTCGCCGCTACCATCCTCGCCGCTACCATTCCCGCCACTATCGTCGTCGCTGAAAATATCCCCGCTACAACTATCTTCTATAAGTTCTATTCATCAGGTCAGCGGAGTCCTAGGCATCAACGGCAGAAGCGGAATGTATTCATTGTACCTTGATTTTCCCCTAGAGATTCAATGCGCCAGCTAGCGTGTTGACACTTAGGATGGGACAGCTCAAAAACGGTTTGATACCCGACCAAAGCTCGTGTAAACATCTCCTTTGCCTCTGCCAGCTTGCCCTGACGCTCGTAGAGATCGCCCAAATTGTATATGGCATCCAGCGCCTGCTTGTGAGTTCCAACATCTCCCGAACCGAGTGTCTTTTCGTATCCTTGCAGTGCGCGCTGGTACATTAGCTCGGCCTCAGCGAGTTTACCCTGATTATGATAGAGTAATCCTAGGTTATGAACGGTTCTAAGCGTGTCCCTCTGCTCTAGACCGAGACCCTTCTCCTTTCCTTGTAGGGCGCGCTCATACATCAGCTCGGCCTCAGCGAGTTTACCTTGATCCTCATAGAGCACTCCCAGGTTATTAACCGTGCTAAGCGTGTCTCTATGCTCTAGACCGAGAGCCTTCTCCCTTCCTTGCAGTGCGCGCTGCAACATCAGCTCGGCCTCAGCGAGTTTACCTTGATCCTGATAGAGCAATCCCAGGTTGTAAACCGTGCTAAGCGTGTCTCTATGCTCTGGACCGAGAGCCTTCTCACTTTCTTGCAGTACGCGCTGCAACACCAGCTCGGCCTCAGCGAGTTTACCTTGATCCT